GTTGTAAGTAGATGGTAGTTGCACTTGTGCAGAGGTAGTTAGAAGTAAAAGTGAATGTATTAGAATGTTATCTTCGTTCGCTAACACTATAATACAACATGCACTGCAACTTGACCATAACATGTTTGCGTCCGTCTTCTACGTCGTCGTCATGTCGCTCAACGGTCATGTCGCCACCTCGTCCCATCACCTGGTCCGATCTTATCGTAACTCCTGTCACGACACTTGTCACTGTCGTAGCCACGTCTCACCATCTGTCACCATCGTAGCCTCGTCTCACCATCTGTCACCATCGTAGCCTCGTCTCACCACATGTTAAGATATGTGTGACTTTGACCAATTAGGTGTCACCGTCACATGTTATACCTGTTGAACCTGTAACATAACAATGACTGACAAGACGTTTCTAAACAGGCATTTCTAACACTCCTCCTCGGTGTCAGCCTGAGTGGTCTTTAACCCGAACATTGCACGTAGCTCTTCCATTCTTGGCGCCGGCAATGACTTCGTCAAGATATCGGCCATCATGTCTTGGGACTTGACAAATCTTGGAGCCACGATCCCATCTTTCGCGTAGTTGCAGATGATCTTGAACCTGATATCCACGTGCTTGGCGCTTGACGTGCTCTTCTCCGACTCTATCTGCTTGATAGCCGCTTGATTGTCTATCCACATCGGCATTGGCTTGATCACGTTCAACTTCAATTCGTCGAATAGTCCCTTCATCCCTAGTAGCTCGCGTCCGGCTTGAGACGCCGCGATGAATTCTGCCTCCATGGTGCTCAGCGACACACCAGACTGCTTCTTGCACAACCAAAGGACAATAGAGCCATCCATGGTCAGGACACAACCGGACACAGACTTACGGTCCGACTTGTCTGCCGCAAAATCCGCGTCGCTTCAGCTCTCGATACGCATGTCCTTGGATGTCGATCCATCCCCCCCAGATGTAGCTTCAGATCCTACGACATCTTCAAGTAGCGCATGATCCTTTTGGCAGCCAATCCTTGATCGTCGGCTTGTGTGTTTGTCTTGTTGCCTTGTGCACTGCAAAGCAAATATCCGGCCGCGTGCACCTTGCGATCCACAGTAGACTTCCCACCATCGACTGGAAAGACTTCACGCTTGGGTCGTTCTTTGCACTCCTTTTTGGCAGAAAGTCTTGAGCATCCTCATCCTCGAGATTGCATTCGTCGCCTATCGGAGTCCTCACTCCGTTCGCCGAGTCCAGTCCGAACTCCTTCAACAGCAACTCGATCGTCACTTGTTGGTCCAGAATGTACCCCTTGGACTCGTCCAGCTTGATGCGAAGTCCTAAAAACTTGTTTACCGCGCCCAGATCCTTGATTGACAAACCCGCCATGTCCTTGAAGAAGTTTTCCACTGCGCTTGGATCAGTTCCTGTGACGAGCAAATCATCGACGTAGACTCCGACCACTGTGCATGTATCGCCTACGTACTTGAAATACAAACACATGTCTGTCGTACATTGTCGGAACCCGCTCTGTTGCAACTTGGAATCTAGTAGTTTGCTCCAGAGTCTTCCAGCCTGCTTGAGTCCATATAGTGACTTCTTCAAAAGCAGTGCTAAGTCGTTCGTCGACCTTTTTCCCAGACCCTTGATCTTTTCTTCGTCTATGGTCATACCTTTTGGCACCTTCATGTATATGTCCAAATGCTCCTCCTTTTCTTCCTTGACGTATGCATTCGGCACATCACCATGTCGAGCTGGTACCTTCCAACGTCTTGATAGCATCAAGATCATCTTCACCGTGCTCAAGTCCATAACCGCTGCAAAGGTGAGGTTGTAGTCTACTCCAAAGACTTGTTCGTTTCCACAGACGACCAGACAAGCCTTGTACCGCTCTATGTCCCCGTTCGCATCCGTTTTGGTCTTGTACACCCACTTGTTGTGGAGAACGTGCGCATCCTTGGGTGGTGCAACGATCGTCCAGACATCGTTCGCCTTTAACGCGTCCAGTTCTTCGGTCATGGCGATCTTCCACTCTTGATGTTGCTTGCTCTTGACCGCTTCTCCATAGTGCTTGGGGTCTTGCATTATGATTACATTTACCACATCTTGTTGTTCAGCAGAATCTTTATTCGAAGGCTCTTCAACCTGTTGCTTGCTGGTTGACCTTGTACCATGTCGCTCTATCGTCCATCCGGATTTTCGACCCTTGAGTCCTTTCGTGACCCGTTTTTTGACGCTTGATTGCACTTGAACATCCGGTTGATCATCATTGGGTGACTCCTCCTGATGGTCGACTCTCTTCAAGTGGGACTTGACTTGTTCATTTTGCTCATCCGACAGTGTTTCAATGTGTATAAAGTCAGTCAGCTTAATAGCCGACCCCGGGTCTCTGGCCATCTTGATGATAGTATCGAAACAGAGATGGCCCAACCGACGATGAAAGTGCATCAAGGTACCACTCTGAACATCCGAATCGGATTCATATTCAGGTGAATTAAGTACAGCCATCATCGCTTCCCGTGATGTGCTTGAAACGGTGTTACCGGGTCTCATCACCGTGACAACCAACACATTGTTGTTGCATTCAACATCCATTACCGGTGCACCTCCGACCCCGGAGGTCAACACACGCCTCCCTCCTCGATATTCGAGTATACATCCTTTAGCCTCGAGCTTACCATATGATATGATATTTCGCTCGAGGTTTGCAGCATACTGAACATCGAGGAGCCGGATGGTGTTCACAACTCCCAGTGCGACAACTTCAATGTCGACACTTCCTTGCATGGTGATTCTCAGCACGCCTCCATCAGTGGCTGCCGTCAAACATTCACTCTGACAGTCTTTCGGATTAACCAGCAGACTTAGATCGTTTACCAAATGTCTGCTGGACCCACTGTCAAGGATCCAATTGTTGTCTTGAATATGTCTACCATTGCCAATTGCAAAGGTAAAGCTTGCCCTTGGTATCTTCTTCTTCAGACACATCAGGTCGATGTGCCCGACTTCCCCGCACTTGTAACACGTGCGCTGGTCACCTTCACCGAAGGTTGATTTTACCTTAGCCTTGACCCTGTCCTTCGGTTCCTTTCTTGTTTCGACAGCGTTTACCACATCGCGCCCAAGGTTCTTTGCATGAGTGTCGATCTCCGTCGACTGCGCGAATTGAGCCAGTTCTTCAGCCTGACGTAAGGGGTCGGTACGATGCATATCCAACCTGGACAACATGGTCGTACGCATAAGCGGGTCTGCATAGTGGAAGATGTTGTCAAGCACCAGGTTGTCCGCCCCTCCGCATGCATCACTCACGGCCGTCAGGTATAAGAAGTGGTCCGTCCAACTTCTGTGAGTTGCCTTTGGCGCCGTGAACAATTTCATGCTCTGGGCAGGTGATATCTTGGTGTTGAAAGTCTGAAGCAACCTTTGCATAGCATGCTCCAAGGTTTGGCTTTCAGACCACCAAGTCTCCACCTGCCGACGGTAATACGTCTGCGCCTTGCCGGCCAGATGTTGTCCCAGGACATCAACCTTGATATCCTCCGGCCACGCGAAACCACACGCACGCTCAGCAAACCCGACTTGACGGACGAATTCTTTACCCCATTCAAGGAACCCACTACCGAGTCCGTGGTATAGTTCCTTCCCGCCAAAGGATTGTAGCGCGAGCTTCCGGTGTTGTGCATCTGGCATACCGGTAACTTGTAGTCCAGGATGGCCGTACATCCTGTTTGGCATACCCGCGCCTGGATAATAGTCTGCAGGTACTTCCTGCCTGTAATGTACAGGTCCAGGTCCTGCCTCCATGTTCACGTTTGCTGCAACATGTTCCGCCGGTCGACCATCAACATTCACCTGGTTGTGGCGCCTTGCCCCGAAGTATGTCGCTGGAGACACGTCCGGGTATTTCTTGGGAGGAGGGGTACGCTCCAAAGCCTGGAGAGTCATCCCCGCTCCCACTCCCAGGGCCGAACCGAAGATTGACTCCGGTGACCCCTTGTTGCCCTTGCCGACTTGCTCGTTCTGGGAAACCTCCATCCGATTCATTCGTTCGGATAGGTCCCCAAGCATGGCCAGCACCTTGTCTATTGCCCCCATGGGCACTACCGACTTCTCTTCCAAGTGGTCGTTGTCGGTCTTGTTAGGACAGTCGGTCACCACAACGGGTCCAGCTTTAGTAGCTGTACTGGCATCTCGCTTGATTGGGCTCATAACCTGTTGTAAGTAGATGGTAGTTGCACTTGTGCAGAGGTAGTTAGAAGTAAAAGTGAATATATTAGAATGTTATCTTCGTTCGCTAACACTATAATACAACATGCACTGCAACTTGACCATAACATGTTTGCGTCCGTCTTCTACGTCGTCGTCATGTCGCTCAACGGTCATGTCGCCACCTCGTCCCATCACCTGGTCCGATCTTATCGTAACTCCTGTCACGACACTTGTCACTGTCGTAGCCACGTCTCACCATCTGTCACCATCGTAGCCTCGTCTCACCATCTGTCACCATCGTAGCCTCGTCTCACCACATGTTAAGATATGTGTGACTTTGACCAATTAGGTGTCACCGTCACATGTTATACCTGTTGAACCTGTAGCATAACAATGACTGACAAGACGTTTCTAAACAGGCATTTCTAACATTTAATAGCTCATAAATACGATTCATTAGAGTATACATAATTGATTTGTGAAGGTAAACTAATCAAGTCCCCAAGGCAACATATAATCAATCAAGTTACGAGCGTAATCATTTGGCAGATTTTTGAGTAGGGAGTAGCAGATTATTTACAAAAAAGATATAAGATATTCGATAATGTTTACATAAAAATTACTTTCTTCTGTCTATATCTTTAATGTTATATCGGACTGACGTATTATTTTGTACGTTACTAGAGAACACAAAAAGTTTAAGAGAAACTTTTGGTCATAATTCAACAAATTACACAATTTTGCACAAAACCGTATTAATAAAATACAATTCACCTAAAAGTAGCGCATACAATTCACTAAACATCCATTTCTCAAAATGACATCCCTTGAAACGGTGTCACTCCCACTGGCGTGTAATTCCAACCCGTTCGTAGCGAATATGACGCTAGGTCCTTTAGGTATCGACTACGTCCATACCCACTACTGTACACTATCTGGATTGCCTTTTCTCTCGTTCTCGCTCTTATTCTTATGGCTCGCCGCTCTCTTTTATTTTCGTATGTGTTTTTATCTTTATCTTGTGCTTTTATTCCCTTATTCCGTTCTTTTAACTGTATATATGCCTTTATTCTGTAGTTGGTAGTACAGCTGATGGATACTTTTCTCCTACATTAGCGAGCCTAAGTGATCGTCTACGGGTACCTCACGATGTTGCGGGTGTCACCTTCCTGGCCTTTGGTAATGGAGCTCCTGATGTTTTCTCAGCTATTGCTGCGTACAATTCTGAAATGGGCAATGCAGGGATTAATGAGCTATTAGGAGGGGCCATGTTCATCTCAACGGTCGTAGTAGGCGGTGTGGCTGTCGCCAGTACGGTGGAAGTAAGACGCTGGGCGTTTCTACGGGACATGGGGGCATTCATTGCTTCGTTATTGCTGTTCTTACTGCTTGCTATGAGCAGCACTGAGGGAGATATAGGGGGCACGGCGGTATCGGCTTTCATGTTGTTGGCCATGTACGTAATTTATGTGGCCAGTGTGGTCTTTCCAGTCTGTGTGGCGACAGCTGAAGATGATATTCCTGGTGCTAAGTTGGCACGCAGGACGTCCTCGACTATCGCAGCTTTTTGGCATGCTCTACCACCGAGGGGTAATGATGCCAAGAACTTGGCGCGCAAATATGGCTTTATTACGAGATCTGAGGCAGGTCCAGATGTTGAGAGCATAGCAGATACAAACGGTGCTGGCGAGACACTGGAGCACAAGGATTTTGAAATGTCTTTGCCGCGCGAATTGGCAGGTCCTCGATTTTCAAGTCGAGTGTATGACGATCATTTTGATGTTGAAGAAGAAGATTCGTTGTTTTCTCCGCTGATTGTCGACAGCGTGCGTGATACTGATAATGCTGACGAGCAGTTGCTTCCGAGATGGCAACAGCACATGCGCTGGAGGTGGCGGCTGAAGCGTCGTGTTATCCGGATATTTACAAGCGACGAGCCGCTTGCGTTAAAAGTGCTTTGCGTTCCACAGGCAACACTTGTGCTCCTTCGAGATATCACCGTTCCTCTCATGGATGATGAGTCCTGGTCGCGTCCCAAGGCATGTCTGTCGCCTGTTACTGTTCCACTATTAGTCGTGACGATAAGCGGATATACCAATGTCGATATCTCTGGCGATAGGCTTTCGTACCACGTGCCGCTATGGCAAGCTCTTGTGGTCGTGGGTGCCTGCACAAGTATCATGCTTTCGTTCACGACTCACCGGTCACATGCGCCACGATCGCTAAAATCATCGTGTTTACTACTTTCCCTGGCTTTTGTTGCTTGTGTAAGTTGGATATATGCCGTGGCAAACGAACTGATGGCTTTACTGGCTGCAGTGGGTTACATTACACATGCTAGCAACAGCTTGTTGGGATTGACTGTGCTCGCTTGGGGGAACTCTGTGGGCGATCTCATTACGGATGTCTCAGTGGCTCGCGCTGGCTTTCCGCAAATGGCCATTGCTGGGTGTTTTGGTGGCCCCGTTTTCAACATTCTGCTCGGTTTGGGACTTCCCATGATGTTCGCGTTTGTGTCTGGGCGCAGTGAAGACTTGTCACTGGACGCTCATGCTTGGATATCAGTAGTCTTCCTTTTGGTTTCTCTCATCTCAACGCTGTTTGTGTTTGTCCACTACAAGTATAGCTGTCCGGTGTGGTATGGCAAGCTCCTTATGGTATACTACTGCCTCTACTCACTCCTGAATCTAGTTGTGGCATTCGGGTTGGGGCCAACGTAAGATGGCAACTGGGAAGCATGTTTATAGTAGCTAGCGTAAAAATCAAACGGCGCCTTTAAGCCATTGGAATACAGGGTCCGAGGTTTCACTAAGCGCATCGCCTAAGTCATCGTCAAAGTCATTGATTTCTTGTGTAGGCTCTTTGTCACTCGCTACTCCGTCAAAACTCGTTTGTGCCTTGGGGCAATCGTTATTCTCGCGACTTTCACCAGGAAGACTTCGACACAGAGAATATATGTTAGTAATCTGATGCGTATGCATCCATATCGAGCCCATGATTACATGTATATCCACTCACTTCTCAAAATTCCACTCGAACTTGGTTCCTCTGGCGTCTGTGTTTTAGTACATTTGCGTTGTGTCATTTTTTAGATGCACCACCTTTAAGAAACTCACTTACGCGAATCAGGCTCGGCAGCATCATCTTCATTCCATTCAGGCCGCACAGTTTTCGTGTGAAGCAGCCCGAAATCACCCACCCATCCGTCGTATCCTGCAAAGGACGCAAGCGTAATAGTTGTCAGCTTTATCGATGATTGTCAATTTACCGACCGAACTTACTTCGTTTCGGTTCTTTTGGTTGACTCGCTGATCGATGCCGTAGTTCGGACTTGCATCCGCACGAGGAGTTATCCAATACTGTTGTGCCGTCCAATTCTTCTTCTATGGGATCCTTTTGTGCTAAGCGCGACTGGGTGGGCTTACTGATTCATACAAAGATGAGAGTAGGTAAACGCTATCAGCAGTACAAAACCCAACTCGGACTCACGTTGCTAGTGGCGTTGTTCTACCTGAGACGGGCATATGTCCACGACCAAATTTGTCCATGAGAGGACTCTTTATGAAGTTGTCCACGATTTTCAATGCAACGGCACCTGTGACAGCATAATAACCTTCTTAGTCTTTCTCGATATGCTCAAATGCCTAAAAGATTTAGCGCACCGGTCGTTATATCACTGATAGGTATCTTCTTGTGAGCAAGACGCCCATCACGCGCTAGGGCCTCGGTCTTTCTCTGTGACTGTGTCTTCTTCACACGCGTCAGTTTCTGCTGCTGTGTTCGTAGTATCGCAGGCTGGATCTTTGACTGAACACGGTGAAATGAGCGAGAATCTTGTTGTGACTGCCGCTGTCGAGGTTGAGGTAGTAGAGGACGCTGTTTTTGCCCCGTATTATCATGTACAAACTCTGCTGGTTTTGTGTTGCTTCTTACAGCGTGGAAACTACTCGCACTCCGTTGCTGTCCCTTTTTGACCGAAGGAAGGTCTGAAGAATCCAAACGTGCACCCCTTCCAGCGTAAATGCTTTCTTGACCAGAACCACTTTTATTGTTGTCCGTAGAGCCTGTTTGCTGCGCCTGACGCACGCACTCTGTTACATACATGCTCAAAAACGTTGCAAACGATGTGACCGGCATTTGTAGCGGCGGAATCATCGTCACTGTTTTTCTTTGATCCACTCGAGTAAATTGTTCATCAAGTTCTTCTCTCGTAGTAATCTGCATCCCTTTTCTCTCCGCAAAGATCTTCCACGTCAGGTTCACCAAAGCCTTTCCCAACAACTTAGTAAAGTAGTCAATCTCGTCAAACGATGGCGGTAACGAGTACAAAGCTCCCTTTTCAGTCTCTGAATCTCCACTAGACTGTAATGCAACCTCAGCCACAGAAGAAGGTGTCGAAAAATCCGGCATCTCTACTTCTCCGTCTCTCCAAGCATGCGAAGGCTTGGTCCGTACTTCCACCGGCCTCCTTCCATCTTTTTTGTCAATGGATTGAGACGCATTGCGTACATCAAAGTCTCGGGTCTTAGCTGCATCATATCCTATAGTAATACCAAGTCATTAGTTTAATACAATTCGATATAGTAACATACATTTAGGGGGTCATAAAACCTGTGATGGTGCGTAATTCGTGGCAGTTCATGCCATTGAGCGAAACGCTCCGAGAGAGACATTGTATTCCATAGCAAAGTGTAATCTCGAGAATTTCCTGATCCTGCTCCTTCCCGTCTATAAAGTTATGTAGATAAGTCTCCACAGCTTGTGACCTCTCGACGTGTACCATCTCATATAAAAAATGGGTGGTTATAAAATGTTAAGTGACATGTCGTTAGACCGAGGTGGTCTAGTTGAAGTTGCTGTTAGGCTGTCGACGATACAGCCCCGTCTCAGTTTTATAAGTCGCTGCCCTGTTTCTGTTTGCACTATATCGGCTGGCACTTCTGCTGTAATTATTGAAAAAAAAGCATGGGAATAATGGACAGACTTACTAGATTCTGGCTGTTCTTGCATATAATATTTACTGAATCCAAAAGACATTAACAACGTGTCTATGGTCTTGTGTATGAGGCTATTTTTTGTACAAAATCATGGGGATGTTGTCATGATGCATAGTAAAATCTAACTACAGACGTCTTGTGATTGGTAGGTAAAGGCTCAATTGATGAAGTGGTGTATGGCAATTCGTTGTATTAAAGCAAGCTCGGCTGCACTTCGACACCATCATGAAGCTTATGACGCTGAGCTGAAGACGTTGCTAGAGTTTCTAGACCACGAAGACGTATTGGTGGCGTATGCTGCAAAGGAGGAGCTTCGGAAGGTTCTTATTAACGACAAAATTACTGAGACTAGTTGTGCCAACGAGATCGTCAGGTGAGATTGTTGTTTGCTTTAGCTGAAATTGCATACTAATCTGTAGCTCTTCATATTGTGGTGGTACAAGCAGAGCTTTTATATTGATGTCGACTACGAATTGGAGACGGGAGGCCAGTGGATTCCGATTCCAATTGCTGCGACAACTTCTTAATGTGAAAAAGGGGAAACAGCTGACGGAAGGAGGTAGTGCCGATGAGGAAGGCCAATTAGGATGTATTGTGGAGCACCCATATTTACACACAGTGCTGGTGAATCTAGTGCAGGTAGGAGATATGGTGTGCAGTGTTTTGGTGACAGCTGATCACTCTGGAGGAGGTGTTGATCGAGCAACAAGCGCACCTTACTCGGTCCAGTACGAGGCGCTCGTATTTCTGAGTGAATTTGTCAAACGACTCCATAGTTTGACGATTGCAGATCGGTATCAACTAGAGCTGAGTGAGCATATGATGGTACTCATGGACGACGTTTTCATAACGATGGACTACGTCTTACAACCAACCTTCATATCTTGTGCGGTCCTAGGACTGCTTGGTGACTTTCAAGAACTGCTAAAGTTTTGGGCAAGCCAGATACAGGAAGACGAGTATTGTTGTCTGAAATCGGTGCTTCCAAAGTGGCTCAAGCTGTGTTTGGTGTGGTTACTGCAGTCTTCCTGCACGTCTACGGCATTGCGACTACTTCATGACAACGAACATACAGCTGTGACAAGCCAAAGGGCATTTATTGCAGAGTCCAGTAGATACCCATTCTTGCAGCAATGGCTTCTCTACTCAAGTCGCATGGGGACTGCTTATCTGAAAGCTTTGCTCACTCAAAGGCAGAGTGCCGGCAAGGACACGTTACAAATGCCGACCCTTCCTGGTAAACCATATTGTTCTGCAAAGCAGCTACTGAGCCGCCAGCAACTTTTTACGATATTGGCTGAGCAAGATGATGTTATGATCGAAGTTCTGAACGGTCTCATGCAAATGACGATCCTTGCGAATCATCCCAGTGGTAGTCTCAGCCTCCTTACCCAGTGGTGTCCATCACTTACTGCGTATGTAACAGCAGAATTCGACCCGGACCTACTGTTCGCTGATCTTGTAGAAATACTTGGGCGGGACCATTTGGTGCTACTTGATCTCCTTGTGTCAAATGGTACGATCAAATCATTCATCAGGTGTTGTACTAGCTCAGCGCTCATCCAAGTTGGTCTCTGTATGCTACAGAAACTCAAATGCTCGAGTATCTTGTGAGATATCTGCGACACCTGAATACACATTGGGACGCTAGCAAGCAAAAATTGCAGGCTTGCGGACGACAAGAAAGTGTGATGAGTGTACTCATCCGGCTACGATTGGAGATCGATCGGCTCGTTACTGCCGACTTATTCCCGTATAATGCAGGGCCTCTCGTAAAGCGAATGAAGGCAATCGAACAGCTTTACGAGGAGCTGTAAGATGATGCAGAACAGATATCCACTATTTGGCTTTATATAGTTCTCAGGTGCTGAACAATTGAGTTCATGCAACAAGTCACAAAGTGGTAAGGATACGATTGACGCGACTTTAAGGCAACATATGCAAGGGACCAGCCGAAAGAACCCTGGAAAAGAGACAGAGTTGCCCAGTATCCCCTAACGAGTCGAGTCTTCAATTTGAATGCCTTGCGAGCGGCGATTGATCTTAGCTTCCAGCTGATTTTCCATAAAATGAAATTGTTGGACCATTGATGGTAGCATGGGCTCTGAAGTAGACCCAAAATGATAGAGAGACCCAAAATGATAGAGTGAGTACACAAGTTCGCTGACCTATAACATTCGAAGTACCCACCTAGTTCTTGTTTTTGACTACGCAAGATCGCAGAGTTGACTTCGTTCGCCACGCGGCGGCGTTGAGTCTGCTCCAGTAAATATCCGAGCGGCGACTCGGACGGATCCTTGAATGCAATGACAGACATCGTCCTTTCAATCTCACGAAGGAATTGGGGCTAATCACCAACCAAATAGAAATCAGAAGCCCATCTTCTATCAAAACAGTAGTATCTCTTTCAAGCTACTCACACTCTTTTGGCCGAAAGGAGCAAGGTTCTTGATAGCAAATTGCAGTGCTTTTTCAATATTGTGAACCTTAATCAGCTCAATAAGCTCTTGTTTGGCCAATAAGAAATCCATCCCGCTGTTCTTCTCCAGAAACTCTGGATCCATAATGGTCAATTTGTCACGTGCTTTCTGTATCTGTCCCTTGAGTAGAAGCTGTTGGATACTCATACGTTCTTGTACCAATTGTAAATCGACGTGTGCTACAGTATCCAACATATCGAAATCATGAGACAATCTCAAGCTTTTTCCAGTCATAAAAACGCACGTTTGGTGGACGAATCACGCCAAAGAGCTTCAGCTACTTGTCGATAACCTTTTCCTACTAAATAATCCATCACCAAACGGTTCATCGACCTAAAAAACGTCATTGTGTCAGTAAAAAGCGACTCAAAGCTCAAATTCCATGAGAAAAAGCGTCAGACTCTTTCGAGATCCGCATACGCCGTTGAACGTTGCGTTTTGGATGCAACCGACGCTCCTTGATCGACTTATCATCCACACAGACTTCTCTAGCGGCTCCTAGACGATGATTGGAGCTACTGAGCGTAACCTCCCGCGAGGATCGGCGCATCACGAACTGAAGTCGAAAGCTTTCAATTTCTACCAATCGTATTCGTTTCGTGTATTGTACACCAACCTTGGTATAAAAAAATCAACTAAAAAAAAATTAATATTATATGCTCGGCATGGGACGTTCGTCGACGAACGGCGGCAGCGGTGGCGAATTTAATATCGCATTTGTTAATGGACCGATCAAATTTAATAGTGAAGAAGGAGTTTTATACTCTAGACTCTTTCATATTGTACGCAGTGGTTCTTTCTCTCTCTTTTTTTGTAGTTGTGAGTTTATCTGATAGTTTTTTTAATTAAATTCTTGTGCATGCAGGTAGATACCGATGAAGATGGCTACATTGGAGGTACAGAAGGTGCAGCTTTTATTCGTCGTGCAAATTTGAGGAACGATGCCAATCGAGAGGTGAAGAAATGGGTATAAAATGCGTACATAAGATATGAAAAAAATGACACAACTTTTGTGATGTCTGGAAGCAGATTTGGCGGCTTGCAAGCGGTGGAAAGTCGCAGGAGAAATTAAACAAGGACTGCTGGTTTGTGGCAATGAAGCTGGTGGCGTTGGTGCAGAGCAGTGGCAAATGCCAGATGCAGAGTCTTTATTCAGGAGAGCCTTTGCCATTGGCGGACTTTCAACTTGAGCAGCCAGTTGACAATGTGGTATGCTAACCAGCTTTGCAACTGGCAATTTGAGGAAGGAACTACAGCAGTCATCTCAATGTTATATTTGTAGCTTCCAGAAGAAACGGCAGTAGACTTTAAACGATCGTTTAACGTGTCGGTAAGCACACCCGTGATCATTGGATCGGGGTACTCACGCTATACACAGTACGTGATTTTCACGAAGGTAAAGACAGTGCACAGTGGTGGCTCTAGTGTTTTGCTGGTGAGAAATATGTTTACAGCTAACATGCTTTTCTGTATTGTATGTTGAGTATAGACGAGTTGCTTGCATTTTTCGTGCACCACTGCTCAAGTCAAGCGGCGGTTTAGTGACTTTGAGTGGCTACATCAGCGGTTTCTGATGCATTTTCGAGGTAAGGATCAAGTTGCATTTTTGTGCTTATACAAATGACTTACACATGCCGATTGTTTTAGGAACTATTATACCACCGCTTCCAGAGAAGCGCTGGACTCGAAATATGGATGCGACGTTTGTTGAAGAGCGCCGACAGGCCTTGGAGCATTTCATTGTACGCGCAAATAGTTTGTTTGCTGTCACTGTCACTTGTGTTTACCCCGTTAATCTACATTTTGGGAACAGAATGAAGTTTGCACCCACGAAAAACTTTCGCAGTCGCTTGAGTTGCAAATTGTCCTCACTGCTAGCACTGAGGTGCGTGCGTTCTTTTTTCGACGCAATTGATACTTGACCTAATTGAATAGGTTTGGACAACTATTGAGACAGGGGCTGATTGCTGGAAAAGAGTTGCTGAAAGTGGCATCTATTGCTGCCGCGTATGTTCCGACTCCTGCTTCCATCAGCTCCATGTGGAGCACTCTGAAAGATGGTGTGTTCCAATCTTCGAACATGCAGCAAGTTGAGATCAAGACCGATGATGACTACGCGAGGGTAAATGAGCCTTTTTCTTTTGTTTTATCTTGACCTGATATGACACTGGCACATTTTACAACTAACGTGCCTTGGCGTTAACAGATTGGTCAGCATATGAACGAATACGAAAAGCGAATCCGAGAGGTGACGCGCTGTTCAGACATTGTCTATGCAGCTCAACGCAGTGAAGGATACGAAATGTCACGGTTTGGCAGCTATTTATCTGCTCTGTCGGAGCATGAGAAGAAAGATCGAGACATGACACAGCTCACAGAGGTATGTTCTTTGCTGTTGCTGAACAGCTAAAAGCTCACAGAAGCATGTTTCTGGATACATTTACCCTCAACTTGTGTTTAATTGCTGATTTAGGTCGCTGGCGACCACTTTGAGACTGTGTCAAACATTTATCAGGATCAGGTACGCGAAGTTGGAAATTACATGCAGGAGATAATCTAACGCCGATGTCGCCTGAATCTTGTTGTTTCAGCTGGATAAGTTGTTGTCAATGTATGTATCGATCGTCAGGTACCAGGCGGGTAAAGTGGATGCTGTCAAGGTGCGGGCTGTTGCAGTTGCGCCACCGCGGACTTCAGGCAATGACTGTTTTGTGAGTTTTGTGCTATCTAAATACAGACTGTGATGCACAACCGCGAGTCAGCTATTTACGACGTCCAACAAGCGAATGCAAGTATGCAACGTAATAAAGAGCGGTTTGCAGCTGCACGGGCGAGTAGTGGGGCAGCGGCATCTGCCATGCGAGCTGAGCAAAAAATGGCATCGGTACGTAGATAGAGCGCTGTTGCCTTAATTGTCCGTTGTTTTTACGCTTTCCACATTTACTTCCTAGGCGGAGGATCGCATGAACCAGGCCAAAGAGCAAGTTCAGTTCATTGCAAACAGTTTGAAAGTGGAAACAAAGCGGATGGATACCGGAAAGACTGCGAATCTGAAGACGGCTTTACTCGCGTTGGCGAATTCGGAACTGGATTATCACGTTCAGGTAAGGGCGACCTCATAATCTTTTGGTTCATCTTCGGCACTGACACGGCTGTTGTTCTGTAGTCTCGGGCAGCGTGGGAGGGTTTACGGTCGTTTCTTGAACTGAGCGAGGTCGAGGTTGCCGATAGTCAACAGCGCGCTCAGGCACCAATTACATATAGAAAACCAGGCGAAAAGAATTTAGGTCAAATCATCGGTCTGTTGTGATCGGCCTGGAACTTTTCAAGAACTGGAATTTTTAACACCCCTGGAATTGCTCCTTTACATTCCAGACGGGAAATCTGCGGTGGCATCGCTTCTGTTTGTTCCCTCCACCGCCTCACTGAACGGAGATTGGTCCTGAGAAGCTTCCTCATCTGCGTAGTTGCTAGCACCATCTTCGTTTTCATCTTCATCGTCGTCGTACACATTGTCATCCATTGTTTCATCCTCATCATCATCCTGTCCAGGCGCATCCGTGCCGTCAGCATCCTCCATTCCATATTCTACAGTCTTGTCGTCAACTACTGTACTAGGTGCCAGCGAGTGAAAGCTCATGTCAATGATACCGCCACCGTCCTCAAACTGTAACCCGTCAAAGATTTCTAAATCCTCGTGCAGACTCATGCTCGTAAGCATCTCATCATCATCCTGATTCTTATCCGCTAAAGAAGCCCTCAAATCACGATTGGACTGGTAGTCAGCTTTGACGTCCTCCGAATCAGTCGTGCCGTCAGCCGCGATCGGTGTTTTCTCATTGACTGGAACTGATTCGATTACATCCGCACGATAAGACTCCTTCTCGTTGATGCCGTCTACACCTGCCTTATCCTCGGTACTCGTTACTGATTTCGCGGAGTTTTCGAGTTTCTACGTACCAAATAATCAATTAATGGTTGCCAGCATTATAGACACCGGTCCAGTCAATTCAAAAGCAACACGCACCTTAGCCTTCAGGAGCTGTTTCATCCTCTCAGTCATAAGAGATTCTAATGAGGAATCGCATCCCTTTGGAGCAATTTGCCGCTAACAAATCAAATATCGATGGCACGACAGCCTTTTGGTTAACAAAAATTAGTAAAAATGAAGCTTGACTTCCGCAGCGTACCTCGTACATTGCCTCGAGACGTTTAAGCCTCACTTGGGTGTTCGCCTTTACGATCACCCCAGATACTAGTCGTTTCAGCTTTGTAATCTCGGTCGGCTGCTTTCCCCCGGCCATGGCGGTAGAGGGAAGTTTAGGGGACGAATTGCGAGCCCACTTTTCAAGAAGTCGTTGGAAGTCGAGTGATATTGGGCCATACCCGCGAAACTCCGGGTTGAGGAGTGCTCTAAATGACAAAAGCATAGACAAATTAAGTCCTCACTTCGAGACATAGCTTTCCTGCGCAACTTACTTTGAGCACGTGACGGTAGCCTTGTATTGGTCTACTGTCGAGCCATTCGACTTGCACCAGCTTCCATTAGGAAGGTGCTTAAATAGCAAGTAGCGTTCACAGGACTCGATCATGTTTTCGTTCTCCATGCTTTTGGCAAGGCCGAACAGTTTCATGCATTGAAGAAATTTTCCCACAACCTCAAACTCGTTTGTTATCATAGCCTGGTTCACGTAAGCAGGGTTGAAGATAATGTTAACCTCTGGCACAAACAGATCGGGGTTGAGCTGCAGTGTCCCAAAATTGCTCATAATATCCAAAAAGCCAAAAATCATGCGCAATCTACGCATCATACAAGGCAGTACACAGACAGAACAATCGCTCACGATCAGCTTGCATCCTCCTCTCTGTTTCAATTATATACAATTCACTCAACTGGTCGGTAAACAGTTCCCAAACGACACCATCAGCGTCAAATGGACGAAGCCCTTTGTACAATCCTCGAACGGTATTAGTGTGTGCGAAGACGTCCAGCGTCGATGCTCCAAGCGGAATACCCACTTGTTCTGTAAACCAAAAATATGATTAGCAAGAACAACCTTGCAATACAACTGCAGCCATCACCCGTTTTGCGACAAGAGATCATCTACAGTACCTGCGTAGAAAGCGGCAAGCAGTGTACTAATATACTTTGTGAAGGTCGTTGGGAACACAAGCTTGTGATGGCAGCGTGAGCACAAGTCAACCTCTGGCGCGTTTCGAATTCCGCAAAAAGCGCATAGACTCGAACACCGTACGGTTGGACATTCGATGGCTGGGTGCCATCCGAAGTAGTCCATCACCGTGAACTTGCGTGACTTCATCAAGTCAATTACTTTATGGTGCAGGCCATGAGCAATGCCGGCACGTTTCAAGCTACAAATATCAATTAGCCAGCAATAGTCAATTAGTAACTTTAACTTAAAGTAATGTAAGCGGAGTACAGTTACCTGTAAAGACCAATCATCACGGTAAACACTCCCCGCACGTTCAGCATCCACTTGTCAGTAGTTGTGAGCTTTTCTCGTATCCAGCGCTGCAAAGCGAAGTGGGTGTTTGTAAGCAACTATGTACGTATCCTAGGGTTGACTAAACTTCACGAGTACGCACCTGTAGATACGGCTCGACAAACTTTTCAGCGAACGGTTTGATCGGGTAACCTGCGATCTGCCATCATAGTGCACACTTTTAGTCTTGTGCTTCTCAACATACTTGTCGGAAAGCAAACTACTTAACGCACTGAACCAATTTCCGCCAGCCGCAGTGACGCCAAATGGCCAAACTTATCGAAGTTCGCGTTGCTGTTTGTCTCTAAATTCACGCACAAGATAGCTCTTCGAACCTACCATAAACAAAGGGCCAAGAAACGGTCAGCTTCAAATATTGTGGTGTTTGTGCATGACAACCAACATGTCAGAATCGTACCGACAATGCGTTTGGCCCTCCTTTTGTGAGATCTTCCGGAGATGCACGATTTTGTTGCACAATGAAGCAACTTCCGCATAGCTGTCCGACTAATAAGTCACAAGCATACCAACGTTATTGAAGATAAAAACTACAAAGTCACATCTCAGAACATCAGTACATACTGGCGTAATTCGTACCAACAAACGGAAAAATTGCTTCCTCGCCAATGCACGCCGGGTGCACATGGAGTTCACAACCACCATTACACGTAAAGATGTCGCCCTTCAGCCCACACACAAGACATGATTCTTCAGTGTCACTAGGGGTTGTAGGTGCCTCTAAACTAGCAGGCATCTGAGAAGCAACAGATGTAGCTGGAACCAAAGGTAATTGCTGCTCTGCCTGATCCCCGCTTAACGTGTTCATGTGAAAACTCATTCCTTGATGTCCAAGCAGTGAGGCCCCATGAACATTGTCGGTAGAGTTTGACACGTGTTTAGAAGATGTCATTGGCTTCATATTATTCAGCTGACCTGGAGAACTCTGCATTTCCATCATTGTAGCCATTGCTGCATCCTGGTGCCGCTGCTGAGCGTTATGCCGTGCTACAAGTTGAAGCATACAAATTTTAAGTAAAAGTACATGATTATCATGGTAACAATACGCTAAATCAATTAGCAGAGCAGAGCCAAACCTGCCATGGCTGCAGCGTATTGTTGCTGCTGCTGCTGTTGCTGCTGTATTTGCATCTGTATCTGTTGTGTCTGTGACGTGGGAGCACTTGATAACGTCGACATCATTGTAGTATGTGCTGGGACATGAAGTGATTGCGTCATCATTGGCTGCGAGCCGTCGAAAAAGTGAGTGTTCTGTTGCTGTGAGTTGCCAAACATGGCTTCGTTCATAGTCATCGTATTGGATTGCGCCATGTGTGCTGCCGCTTCTGTGCGCATAAACTTTGCTTCCCTTCCTTCGTCCGTCTCGTCCATCGCACGCTTTAGCTGCATAGCCGCATCCCCGACATCTCGAGTCATTTTGTAGTGGAAAAGAATGAAGGTCGATTGAAGTGGTCCACACCATGTATCTGATTCCAAGGCGCTCTTCACATTTTGTCATTAGTTAAACATAAAGATGCTGGTAATGAGAATGCGACGGTCTGATCTGCTGCCTCTGCGTACTATACGCGCCTTGTCTACTGTAGTGAAGGACGAAGTACAAAAGTTTAATGCCGCATCTTCGTACGTACAGGAATTTTCTGGTTTGTATGTTGTCTGGTTCTTGATCTGTAATGTCTTTTTTCTATAGAGATTGGTGGACACCAAATAGCACGGCGGGAATGGGACCTTTGCATCAGATGAATCCTGTGCGTGTGAAGTACATTCGCTCTCATATCATTGATCATTTTGGCCAATCAAGAGACGATGATCCAATGCCACTGCGTGGAGTTCGAGTAGCTGATGTGGGCTGTGGTGGAGGTATTCTATCCGAAGCATTGTGTCGTCTTGGCGGTACAATTGTGGCTGCTGACCCTGGCGAAGACAATATCGTTGCAGCTAAGAAACACGCAACAATGTGTCGCTATACAAGCAGTATTGACTACCGTCTCTGCACGTCTGGTGAGTGTATAGGAAGAGGTATTTAGGAGCGGTTTTGTGGACGCTGAAAAATTGTGGTGCATTCGTAGACGATCTGGTAGCACAAGGAGAGCAATTTGATGTGGTCTGTTCATTGGAAGTCATTGAGCATGTGTCGAACGTGCCTGCGTTTTTGCATTCGCTCACTCCATTGGTAAAGGTGAGTGCCAATTTATGCTGGTGCTTCTTGGTGGTATTGAGTTGAGGACGCAAGAGTTTGTCTGATGAGATATGACCTGCTTGTAGCCGGGCGGTCTGCTGTTTCTGTCATCGATCAACCGCACGGTTCTGTCTGCGTTGTTTGCTATTGGAGCCGCGGAATATGTGCTGCGAATCGTCCCGCCAGGAACGCACGACTGGAACAAGTTTGTGCAGCCTGGTGAGATTGAGGCAGAATTGAAAAAGGATGGGTTTGCTCTGAAAGACGTGTCGGGAATTGTGGGTGATCCGATTTTCCGAAGCTGGCGTATTCATCCGACGTGCACTGATATCAACTACATCATGTGCGCATCAAAGTCTCAAGAGTAATAGCATCAAACGACATTCCCGCACAAATTGAGCAAAAACCACCGGCTGACACCGAATCTTGTATCAATCGTACCGTTCATCTTCATCGCGCCTTACCGCCTTCTAAAGTGATTGTTCGTGCGTGTGTTATTATATCACTAGGCATTCTAAAACGATGCAACCAAGACGTCATCGTGCCCGTTCTTGTCGAGAGATAGTTGCAGGTCGCGGTCATTGAGTGTGGCCTGATCCTACAAATTACCACGGGAAGCAGTAATCGAGACTGGAGAAACCGCAGCAAACAAGGACGTCGAAGATCTCTTGTCATTGTGCTGATATATGCTATTTGCTGTCTAATTCTCAGGCGCGCAGTTCGTTTGACTGGCAGCTTAGAACTCATTCTCGTGGGCCCAAAGCTTAAAGGTACGGTCGAAGCCACAGGACACAACATGCTTCTCGTCAGGACCGAAGTCAGCAGACATGACCTTGCCATCATGCCCACGCAACGTAGTCATTAGTTTCCAGTCACGCGTTCGCCAAAGCTTAATGGACGAGTCGTATGACGCACTCAGCAATAGCTCACTCGATCCAGGCGAGAAGCGGACATCGCTCACCAAGTTGTTGTGGGCAGGGATCATGTACGAACACTTCTGCTGTCTTAAATCCCAAATGCGAACACTTCGGTCATCACTACCCGATGCAATCTGCACACCGTTAGCAGCAAAGTCCATCGACAAAATCTGCTTAGAATGCCCCTGCAGCGGCAAGATGGCTTTGCCGGAACGTAGGTCCCACACTCGTCCATTGCCGTTCAAATCTCCTGTTGCTACAAGCGCACCATCTTTCTGGAATGCAATGGCGTAAACTTCCTTGTAGTGACCTTCCTGCAAAAGCAGTTCTTTTGCTGTGGCAACGTCCCAAAGTCGCCATGTGTGATCGAAGCTTGTTGTACCAACGTAGTTGCCGAGCGGATGAAAAGCTACCTTACCCAGTCGCGCCTTGTGACCCCGCAACACAGCCAAGGGCTCATTGCGAGCCGCACTCCAGAGCCGAGCAGTACCATCAGCTGACCCACTGCACAGACATACAGAATCTGCGCCATCCGTCATCTCAGAAAGTGTGTAGCTCGGGTGCCAAGCCACTCCAGTAATACGGTCTTCATGCCCACGAAAGACTTTCACCTCATTAGCACTCGTTGCGTCCCAGATCTTGACAAGACTACTCCACGAGCCAGTGGCCACATGAGCACCATCAGCTGAATACCTCACACTAGACAATGGTCTGACATCGCCATTTTGGCTAGCAATGTTTGCCATTTTTAGTGCCGTAGTATACAGCTCTGCAGCGTGATGGTCAACCGTCCGGGCCCGTTCTTCCGGACTCCTATTCCTCTCCTGTCGCTCCCGCTTCAGTCGTGCCCCTACCACCCTCGAAGCGTGTGAAAATATAGCAGCACGCACGTTCTTAAGTCTGTCGTTTTGAATAGGCACATAGAATAACTGGTTCTCCTCTAACTTTGTCACATTGTCAAGCGCAGTCTTTCCTTTTCCTGCAGTCTTCTCTACCCCTGCATCTGCTCCAAAACCCTGCTGTTGAATATCCGCTAGCACCTGATGCACAAAGCCCGTCTCTTCTGCTTCTAGTTCTAGTCGAGACAGAATCTCGCGCAATCGTTCACGACGATCCGCCGGTCGTTCTCCAAACAACGTAATCGGCTCGCCAAGCTGTCGCAGCCGTCGAATCACTACTTCTACAATTGTAGGCACTACAATATTACGTGCCCGCTTCTCTGCTTCAATACGACGCAACAAATGCGCGTGTTTCTCCTGTGCAGCGCGACTGCTCTCTGACAATTCCAGCACTTCCGTCTCCACGTTGTCCGACACGTTCACGTTGCCTGCGCGGATGGCTGCCTCCAAGTTACTGGCCATACCGGAACCTCCGCCGCTATTTCGCACACTACTAGGCACCATGTCACTGGTGCCAGCGTCAATGGCGCCAAAGTAGATGCCCTTGCGCTCGCTCATTGTCTCGCTGCCTAAGAGATGGATGGATACCTTTTTTGTGACAGTTTTGTAGCAAATGGTGAGTTTGTATGACTTCATTAGCGTTACTTCATGTGCTCTTTCATATTGGTACTTCACAACACACGCATGTCACGCTTGAAGATGACGAGTCGATTGGCGGAAGATGAGCTCACTACAATGGAGCCAGCGTTTCATGGAGACGATGAATGGGTACGCAGACATGTAGAGGAACGAGATGGTGAGCGTACACGGCGGAATAGTCGTTATGGCGGCTCGAATTGTATGGAAACTGTGCGCTTTCATCGGGCCGAGTTCACCAGACAGATTCAGGTACTTATGATCAAGTTTTAGCCTTGTTCTTCGCATTCTTTTTGTTATATAATACAGTAACTCGACTTTGGCTAGGAGTTTCTAGATGCAGACGTGAGCGACGGCTTTGTTATTAGCCTTAAGCGCCGCAGAGAGTTTGCACTGCATTTGTGCGCGGACTACAAGATGTTTACAGAAGCGCAAAAGTTGGAGCTAGTGCTGGCACTGGCGGTCGATCTGGGGATACGAGATCTAGCTGTAATGATGAAGACATTGCCCTCTATCAAGCGGTCTGGTTTGGTGCTGAACGTGACGGCGGCAGCGCTTGGTTTTAGTCGCAAGAACGATCCAAACATCTCGAAGAGCATCAAGCGCGGGCTTGTGCCACTTGCAGAGCAATTTTTCCTACTGGTCGGCACTCTTCAGCCTGGACCATTATTTTTGCTCAATTTGAGAGTGGATTTGGGTATATTGATCAAGCGTTATCGAGAGAAACTACCAAAGTCCAGCGTGGAGGCGCTTGAGCTTTTAGATTTGATCATGCGTGACCTATTTGCTACACAAGGCAGCATGCGTTTCCGCCGTATTGACTTGTCATCTGAGGAGATAGCTGTGTTTGTGCTGAAGAACGAGCGTGTGCATCAACTTCGAGGCTGGAACGATCTGCGGCGCAGACTTGTCGGACAGCAACGCTACTGCTTTGGACTTTTTCACATACACATGCCGCATGCCCCGCTGGTGTTTGTGCAGGTAGTTGCGACGGACCACTTGTGCAGCAATATCACTCCGATTTTAGAGCAAGAGACACCGGTGGTAAAGAACCCGTCGCACATAATTTTCTATTCTGTTTCGACGTCCAATACTGGACTTCGGGGACTAAACATTGCGAGCCACTTGCTGTTTCTAACAATCCAACGTATGGGCAGTATGTATCCGCGGTGCACTATGGCGGCCACGTTGTCCCCAGTACCAGGTTTTGCTCGATGGTTTAAAGCTGCGCTCGCTGATGGCGATCAACAGTCTCAGGCTCCCTTGGACGGCAAAAATAGTCTGAAAACAAAGCAACACAAGAATCCAAAACTACAGCGCTTGGAATCTCATCAGCAAAGTTTCTTCACGACAGAGCAGGCGCAGCGTCTTACCACGAAATATGGTATGAATCAGCTTGGGCTGCACAAATGGCTTCTGAAAAAATTAAGCGATTCGGAGTGGCACAAGGAAGCCGAGCTAGTGGAGAATATTCGTGACATTGTGACATCGGCTTGTGCGCGTTATATTCTCTTTGAACGAAAGAAGGACAAGATTTTGGATCCCGTGGCAAACTTTCATCTCCAAAACGGCGCCCAGGTCGAGCAGATTAACTTTATGGCAGACACCACTCCGTCAGCGTTGACAACGGCGCTAGGCATGATGATTAATTATCGCTACTGCATGACGTCGATTGACGTAACCTCGTTATCGTACAAGCGTAAATCACTAGCTGCTGTATCCCCTGCTGCTGCTCGGCTTGTTTGGTTCGCGGACAGCGTTATATTGGACGGTACGAGAAGCAGTGTATGGCGGTGCGTCTTCGTTGCAGTACAATCTATAACATCATGTATGTGCTATTTTCTAGAAATCGAGCGTTTGAAGAATAGCCGCAATACGCCATTGTTCGCCAAGGTTTTTCGTGCTGGTGAAGTAATTAGTGCACGCGGATCGCTACCCACGGCTATCTACTTTATTGCGTATGTCCTCTGTTTGGATGCTATGCCTAATCGGAACAGGAAGTTACTCAAGATCGTTGTGAATATTGTAGGTCCGGGAGAGTGCGCGTATATTCGGCGCATCCATACATACTGTGCGAGGGCCATACCTTTGGGGAACGCGAATCACTGAACGATGAACCTATAGCATTTACGATTCGTGCGGAGACAGCAACGCATTTGCTGTTACTCCCGTACTACGACGTGAAGGCAATTCAGATCGAGTCAAGCGCGCTGCGTGACTACGTCGGTAATGACCCGCGGGTATGGCAGCAACATCTTTCCATGTCATGTCATGGAAGTAAACTCTAGGAGACCCGAGACGTTTATACGACAAGGCAACGATGCTGATAATGATGAATGGTGCAGTCGTCACTCCCTGATAGATACATTTCCATTCTGTATGTTCATTCGTCAAAACCCTTTTTCAATAATCAATTTTATATCCAATCCGATATTTCAAAATACCGCGCCACGTAGATCGCTCGCCCCCTTCAGAACCAAATCAATCGTGCATCTGCGCCACCTCCCGTCCTTCCTAGACGCTGCATTTCTACCGCTAAATGCTGACTAAGTTCGAATCCAAGAGTAACCGTGTAAAAGGTCTTGCGTTTCATATCAGTCGTCCCTGGATCCTCACCTCGTTACACAATGGTGTAATCCAATTATGGGATTACCGGATGGGTACACTTTTAGACCGATTCGATGAACACGATGGTCCTGTACGTGGCGTGGATTTTCATTGCTCACAGCCGTTATTCGTTTCTGGAGGGGATGATTATAAACTTAAAGTATGGGATTACAAATTACGTCGCTGTTTGTTCACATTATTGGGCCATTTGGATTATATCCGTACAGTACAATTCCATCATGAATATCCATGGATATTGAGCTGTAGTGACGATCAGACGATCCGTATCTGGAATTGGCAATCAAGATCATGTGTCTCGATCCTCACGGGCCACAACCATTACGTTATGTGTGCACGATTCCATCCAAAGGACGATTTAATCGTCTCGGCCTCATTGGATCAAACAGTGAGGATATGGGACATTACAGGTCTTCGTAAAAAGACCGTGCGTGGTGCACCTACTTCGATGGACGACATGGTGGGCCCTCCTTCGTCACGCTCGAACAATCACGATATCTTTGGAGCTAGCGATGCAATTGTTAAGTACGTGCTGGAAGGTCATGACCGTGGGGTTAATTGGGCCAGTTTTCACCCGACACTTCCACTAATTGTCTCTGGTGCTGATGATCGCCAAGTGAAACTATGGCGAATGAATGAGACCAAAGCGTGGGAAGTCGACACGATGCGTGGACACACGAACAACATCTCGTGCGTGCTGTTTCATCCCCGCCAAGAGCTGATTATTTCTAACAGTGAGGATCGTTCGATTCGAGTGTGGGATATCTCCAAACGTATGGGTTTGCAGACCTTTCGTCGCGAAAATGACCGCTTCTGGATGCTCGCGGCTCACCCGTCGCAGAACTTGCTGGCTGCTGGTCATGACTCTGGTATGATTGTGTTTAAGCTGGAACGTGAGCGTCCAGCTATGGATATTTACGAAGGTCGCGCGTACTATACCAAGGATCGCTACGTGCGCATGTACTCGTTCGCTGATGGCAACGACGTACCTGTGGCGGCTATACGGCGCACGGGCTCGGTTGGTGCAGGCATGGGTAACTTTCCTCGTCAACTAAACTACAACCCATACGACCAAAATTCGGGCACCAATAGCGTGCTGATGACTAGCGATGCCGAGGGTGGCTCGTATGAATTGGTGACATTCACCCAGGGAGCAAACGGCGATACGTCGGATTCCAGCCGTGGACCTGGACTATTTGCCGTGTTCGTGGCCCGCAACCGCTTCGCTGTCCTGGACAAGTCGCGTCACATTGTGATCAAGAACTTCCAGAATGAGGTGACGAAGAAGATCACCCCGCCTAACAGTACAGCAGACGGCCTGTTTTTTGGTGGCGTGGTAGGCCGCGTGCTTCTTCACATCGACGACAAGATGGTGCTCTACGAAACCCAAAGCCGACGCGTGCTAGCTGACGTTCAGGCTCCGCGCGTGAAGTACGTGGTATGGAGCCCTAATTACGAGTACGTGGCGCTGATCAGCAAGCACTCTATCGTGCTGGCTGATAAACAGCTTAACCATTTAAGCACCATCACGGAGTCGGTGCGTATCAAGAGCGGTATCTGGGCAAACGCACCTGCAGAGATCTTTGTCTATACGACGCTGAACCACATAAAGTACTCGCTAACGAATGGCGACGCTGGTATTATTCGTACTCTGGACGTGCCTGTTTACCTGACCCACCTGGACGGAAACAAGCTTCACTGCCTTGACCGCGAGGCGAAGATGCGCACTATGGCCGTTGACCTCACGGAGTGTGAGTTTAAAATTGCGCTGAACAAGAAGAACTTCACGGAGGTGATGCGTATGGTGCGTCACTCAAGGTTGTGCGGACAAGCAATTATCTCTTACCTTACGAAGAAGGGTTACCCGGAAGTTGCGCTGCACTTCGTGAATGATGAGAAAACTCGCTTCAAGTTGGCTATTTCATGTGGTAACCTTGAGGTTGCACTGAATTCGGCTTACGAGCTGGATGACAGCAAGTGCTGGTACCAGCTGGGAGTGGAAGCACTCCGCCAAGGTAACATTCAGGTTGTAGAGATGGCCTACCAGCGCACCAAGAACTTTGAGCGCCTGAGTTTCCTCTACCTGGTCACTGGCAACCGTGACAAGCTAAAGAAGATGCTGAAGATTGCTGAAGTGCGTAATGACATCATGGCGCGCTTCCACAATGCGTTGTACCTTGGTGATGTTGAGGTCCGCGTGATGACGCTCGAGGCTGCTGGCCAGTTCGGTCTGGCACTGCTGACAGCAGCCACTCACGGTCTCAGCGAGCACGTAGAACGCCTGCGTGCATTGTTGGAGGAAACGAATCCGGACTTTGATGTGGACGCTTTCCTAGCGCGGGAGATGCTACCGAATCCAACCCTGCTGTCTCCGCCGTTGTCCGTGAGCCGCATGGAGAATGAGAACTGGGCGCTAGTGGCGATTAATGAGCCAACAATTCAAGATCATGCAATTGCTGCTGAGAAGCGTGAAGCCGAGCGGAGTCTGCAGCCGCAGCATCAGGATCAAAATTCATTGGAGGAACGCCCTACCCGCAAACTGTCGATGGATTTAGCGATGGATGGCGCAGACGATGCCTGGGATATGGACGGCGACCTCGACTTGGACGACTCGCTAGCGATTGATGACGATTCCTTGGGCATCGACTCCTCTGCTCTAGAACACGACTTTGCTGGTCTCGGCACGGACGCTGGTTTCGTGGCAGCCCCTACGGCTGGAACGAGTCTAGCTGTACAGTGGGTTCGCAATTCATCACTGGCGGCCGACCACGCTGCTGCTGGGTCATTCCAGACTGCTATGCAGTTGCTGCACCGTCAAATTGGTGTCATTAACTTTGAGCCTCTCAAGCCCGTGTTCCTGCAGGTTTTTACGGGTAGTGCGACCTCCTTGCCTACGCAGGGCAACTACCCGCCGCTGCGGGTGTGGCTGCAGCGCAACGAAGCTAGTCAACCGGCGATCGCGATATCATTTGCAACTCTTGTTGAAGAACTCAAGCAAGCTTACCGTTCATTCACTGGTGCCAAGTTTGACGACGTGAAGACGCACTGCCAGTCGATCATGCACGCGATTCCGTTCCTAGCTGTGGATTCCAAAGATGAAGCCGAGAAGGTAAAAGGATTGCTTGCAGTGTGCCGTGAGTACTTGGTCGCGTGCCGCATTCGTACTGAGGTGGCTGCAGTGCCTTTGGAGAGCGATCCCAAGCGCAACATTGAGCTGAGCGCGTTCTTCACGCATTGCGAACTGCAGCTACCGCATTTGGTGCTGACGCTGAAAATTGCTATGACGAATTCGTTCAAGGCTGGCAACTTCATCTCGGCAGCGTCGTTCTGCCGGCGATTGCTGGAAATACCAGAGGTATCGCAGCATCCTCGCCATGAAAAGCTGCGTCTAACCGCCCGCAAGGTGCTTCAGAAGGCTGAAAAGGAGGCACGCAACGAACACGCCGTGAACTACCAGGACTCGAAGCCGTTTGTGCTAGACGCACGCAATCTTACGCCGATCTACTTGGGTGAGCCGGATGTGCGTTGCCCATACTGTGCGGCTGCGTATCACCCCGAAAGCAAAGGTACATTGTGCGACGTGTGTTGTATCTCAAAGGTTGGGGAAGAAACCATTGGACTGGTCGTTACTGCCGGTCAGTAGGTTTGATGCTGGATGATTGAGTCGATGATACCCATGCTTTAATGCTGTTAAAACTCCTAAAAAACAATGCGCTGCTATTTTATTATCGTTTTATTATCACGTTTTTGACTCTTTCTAAAAGACTATTCCATAAATTACATCGCTTCAAATTTCAAATTTATATTTAAAGCGCACAAAATCATCGCGCATTGGACTAAATCACAAATTGATTCACTCAATCATGCGGCATTTTCAACAGTTTGACCATGAGTTGCAGGACAGTGACCAGACCATTTCAACATCTGTGCGGCATCTGCGGCCTCATACACGTCTCTCTACGCTCGCAGACATCAACACCAGCAGCAACAATGAACGTTCAAGGCCTCCACGTCGTCAATTCCCGACTTCCGCCTTTTTTTCCGACACGACCGATGACGACGTGGTTCAGCCAATCACAGGCCGCCTTGAGCTCTCCATGAACGATTCTAATTGGTCAAAATCAATAGGAACCAATAAACTGCCACTACGAGGGCTCAGAGAAAGTCAAGGGGGAACAATAAATGGTCCAAAACTATATATGGACGCTATTGAGTTTCCAATGACACGATCGGTGCTCTGGTAAGAACCTTTAGAGCCTTTTTGTAGTGGGAATGTATGCTTAAAATTATGAATTTGTAGGGATCGACGTCCATTGTCAAAAGCACCGGTGATTGTGTCATTGGAGCACATTTTACCACGATTTATCGTGTCAGCACAGACGTTGAAGGATATTTACACGTTGTATAACGAGAAGAAGAAGGCTAATACTGTGTTGTGTTATCTCTATGGAAATGCAATGTCACTGAAGGTGAAAAGTGTGTTTTTAAAAGGAGTGAAGCTCAAGAAAAAGGATGCACGTGCAGCAGAGACTTGGTGTATACCGGTCTATGTTATTGGAGAGGGAAATGAGTCAGGGTTGTCACAAGAAAACTACGCGGCTACTATTGCAAGTGTCCAGAACAGTTATCGGGATGAGTATTCGGACAATGTTGCCACGAAATTTCAGCCTAAGTTGCTGGTTTTTCGATCGTCACCTCATACCGCACAACTTGATTTCCAGCTGGAATGTGCGGCGTCACCGGTGCTATTCAAGTTCTCTCTTATACGGAACTTACCGCTGCTGATGACTCCGCTTGCAGTCGGTTTAGCAAGACGTGAATTTAGTACGCAGTCTGGGAGTTTACGTTCGGGTTATCTCACTCTCGATCGAACTCGGAAGGCAGTGCCTTTGCTAAAGGTAGATCCTCTTGTTCTACGGCAGCCGCTTGTCGGCGTTTGGGTCTATGGTGTCCAGATCGATGATGCTTGGGATGAGGAGATAGCACGACGGCAACTGGCGGATCCGCTCTTGTATTTTGCGTGCATTGGGTACTTGATGTCGGAGGTGATTAAAGAGCGTGTGAGACCTGAAAAAAACACGTTCTTGGTGGCACTGTATCCTGCCAGCAACCCTAATGGTTGTGGCTCTGTTGGGTCGTTGCCACGCTTCTTCGAGTGTGGTGTCTCCGAGTTTTTGTCGCCTCGGACTCGGCTTCTCCCGATGCAGCTATATTCGCACCGGCGATCATGCTTAGTTGGAGCATCCAAGCTCTCAAATGATTTAGAGTTTACTTTGTCTGCGGCACCAACAAGCGAGTGGGAAGCAGCTAGACGCCAGGCAAAAATTCCTACTGTTCAGCGGCCAAAGGAAAGCGAAGATAGGGTGCCTAGTACAGCTCATGCAACTATCGACAGCAGCACCACATTAAATTGTATGCTGACTTCAACATACATCGATGATGAGGATAAACATGAAGATTCGACACGTGGCTGGACTATTACCGAAGATGTTATTCGTAAGAGTCCTGGTTTAGATCTGAATGCACAAAGTCATACGTCAATGCAGAGTGAGATGGAAAGTAGCAATGCAACAATATGTGCTGGGTTTTGTGTGAACGAAAACGAAGAGAACACCGCAATTCCGCTCAACAATTTACACAACGCAACCTGCGCTCAAGCTGCTACAACCACCTCGTATTCATCGCCGTCGAAAAAGACGGAAGACGGTGCCCAGCTTGATTTGCATGGCAGCTTCGCCAACTACCGAAGTTGTTGTAAAAGCCAGCAGCTATTGACCATCCAGCACCAGCAAATTCTTGAGAACCAGCAGCGGCAACTACACGAGATGCAAGAGCAGATCGTACAATTGCGGCGCCTTTTGAATGTTGCGAAAAGCGAAAACAAGAAAGAGGCAAATGCTGCCTTCAACGATGAGGGCGGCTATGATTCTGATGCGAGCAGATCCGGCATCAGGGTAGTAGATGATGTTTGTGATGTCTCCAGTACATTTGGTCGACAAGAAAATGGTTACTTGAGCTCTCAGTCGTCAATAGCTTTAACAAGTTTCAGACAAAGTGGCAGTGGACCGTTCTCTGATAAATTGTCTGCTAACAATCACCACAACGATGAAAACAAAGGCAAAGGAGACGGCAAGGACCTTTCATTGAGCTTGTTGAGCTTGTCATCAATTAGCTGTGGTTCTGCAGCTGATTTATCGTCGTCCTCATATGTGGGCGAACAGCTGAATGAATTTAGTGGTGTCCGAAGTCAGAAGGAAACAAACGTCAATGGCGAACAAGTGGAGACTGGTGCTCACGGCTTGAACCAATCTCAGTCGTCACAATTAAACACAGAAGCAAAAAACCAAGACAGAACAGTTCAAGCCGACAACAACGACATTCAAGAAAGGAAGTTCAGTGAGAACGTTTCTGATGCGCGAGAAGGCATCGATAACAGCACCAGTGTGCATGAACTATCCATCGACGAATTGAGCACCTCTTTACACAAGGAAGCTATAAACAAACTCGACAAAATAGGTGTGGCTCGTGATGACGATGGCAAAAGTGGCGATCATTCAGTCGACGACCGTCTTTTGTCTCCTGATGCATACCTTCGAAAGGTTGGGAACTTTGTCGACCATCACGGTGGCTGCTTCACGACGCCATCACTGGATTTCCACAGTTTTTGCGTGCCTCGCATAAAATTTCTGAGTGAGACTCCGGAGTGCGATTCAGATGATGAGGAGATCCGCCTTATTGAGCAAAAGTACAAGCGATTGATGCCGGCATAAGCGACCTGCAACTAGATCCACTACGTACTTTACGTTCGTTTAGCAGGTACAGTAACTTTAATCTTATGGGGCATCACGCCACGCCATCTTCCTTTCCATCGTGTTTCCTCAGGGCAGTTGTGAACACAAGCATGTCAACTGGTACAAATAGATCATCAACCGCCTAGTTGGACGCTGCCTGCAATTTCGAGACTTGCTGCGGGGCTTTCACATACACGAGGTACTCCGCTGGGATCATGAAGATACTTGAAGGCTGCCCGTTTGGGGTACCAGATTGCACAACGAATCGAAATCGATTAAGATTGTAAATGCCTGGCCCCATAAAGCAAGCTTTCAGGTTGATCGTCACCTGACTGTTGGGCGAGAACCGCGTCAGTTTCTTTTTGGTAACTCCTGTCCAGAAGAAACGCGGTGGTGCAACACGGGGTGGAGAAGCACCAGAATACGATACAGAATGTAGCTTTGTCAACGGCGCAGTAGCAGGGAGCGAAGTCTGGGATTTTTCGGGATGCAGCATTTCGACAGTAACGTCAAGTGGAGGTGAGCTCGGCGATGACTCGTTACACACCTGCATTGTGATATCTAATTCCGCAATACTCATCGCTGATGTCGAACCAGGGTACGTCGAGCTCTTCAGGTCAATGCAGTTATTGTAGCCGAGCGTGACAGTCAATGGACATGAATTTTCTTGAAGCGATGGTCGAATTTTCACCGACGTCAGGTTTGTTTGACCTATTGCCCGACGAGAAGCCACTCCAGGCCAGTTTTCACTCGACGATGAGCTGCAATCAGTCGACCACACCAGCACAAGATGACCATCCGTATCCAACGGAGACAGCAGCGCATCTCTTGACGTCGGCTGAGGCTCTAGCTGTATTTTTTTGTCGTTGCTATCGTCAGCAGACGCATCTCTTAGAGCCTTGTTCTCTCGTCTTACACTTTGGATCGTTCGAAAGCCACCGCCACGTTTCCCATCACTTCCAGAACCATCGCCACTTCCAGCACCATTGGCACGAACGATTTCTCGAGCATTTTCCAGACATAGAAACTGCTCGATCGGCAAGGTAGACGACATATCAACCCCGCTTTGCGCCGAGAGGAGAGGTATCTTGCATAATTCTGATGCCTTAGTAGAACTACTCCGTCGTGGAGTCACGCGAAAGTAGCTTGTGCTGGCTTCGAAGAAACCCAAACACAGTGAATCACGCACGTCTGTTGCTTTCTGAGAAGGGGGACGCGTCAAGGCCTCAACTGCCCAGGAGCTTACGCAAATGAGATCCTCCAATCGAACTACTCCGTCCAGAGGACCGACCATTTCACCGTGGTCACTACGCTGGTTTGACACTGTAATACCAAGAATGTATTCGTTGCTGGCGCCAAAGCTCGGTTCGATGGAATAAGATACATCGACGCATGGCAACAAGTCCAGACCAAGCTTCATTTTCACTGTGCGTGAAAGTGACGAGCTAACGCGAGCTTGTTCTTCTCCAGAAGCAGTATATTGAAACAGGAGGGCCGCGTCACGACGCCCAGGCACTAGCCCTCGTGCCCACATCTTGATCTCCTTTGTTTCTCCGGGTGCTAACATCACTCCGTTTAAACTCACGACGTGACCACTAGCCCCAATATATCCGCACAAATTCTTTGTGGTACTCGTTTCCGATGCACAGATCAACAAGTCAGTGCAGCAAATCTGGAGACCAGACAGAGCTACTGTACCGGAGTTAAGAAGCAAAATGTTTAACTCCATCAGCTCACCGACAAAAGCCTCAGCCGGTAAACCTTCTACTTTCACTCCAAGCCATGGCATAGACTCCACAACATTCGCAATTAGACTCATGTTCGGTGCACGGGCCCGGGCCTCTCGGTGTGCTCTCGTGTCTTGCAGCAGCGGGCCAGGAATATCAAAGGCGTGTTCGCCTTGGACGTCTCCACCGCATATTGACCAGCGGACCCCAGTCAGACTTAGCTTTCCGCGAATTTTTGGGCATACTGCAAGACGGACACGCTCTTCGCTGCACGGCAGGAGCTGCAGGTTCACGCTGTCGATTACAATGCGCTGGTCACTAGACTTTTTGTTCTCGGGAACACAAAATGCTTCCTTATCTTCATCAGCGGTCTCAAATCTTCCAAACAAATGAATATTCGTTACATCCACTGCACACGAAAGAGCATTCTTCATCACAAACTCAACAAAGATCTGTTCTCCCAAAACGTAGTTCTCGGGTTTTTGGATTGCAGCACTCTTTTTATTACGGTAACCAGCATACACATGCGCAGGTGCAAACCAGCTCTTCGCTTCGTTACTGTTGCCTGACGTAACATATTGGTGCAGCCGGTTTTGCTTGTCGATGATATCCCCAAGCTCTTGCCATGTCTCTGCTTCAGAATGATTACCGTCAATAGATCGGTCAATGCCAAACGCGTTTGTCGATGCAAATACAACGGCCGACTTGTCATCCAGCTCAGGCATGCACAAATCTCTTACAAGTAGTTTCTTGGTGCTGCCATCGCCATTTTCTATCAAGATGGGCCCGCCTCGAGCAAACGAAGACGCGCGCGCGCCGGTACGCTCTGTTACCAAGAAGTCTTTGACCATCAAACCAAAATCGTACAACATAGCTTCCTGTTGACTCGCTGAATTGCGGCCCGTGCCGATAAGCTTGAGAAACAAATTTATAGAAGCCATGCGGTTGTCCAGCTTATTTGCCTGTTGCGCAAGCATAAAGTTTATGTGATCTTCGACAAGGAACCAGCCGCTGCAGTCATAGATAGCTCGCGCCAAGGAGTAACACCTCGCAGAATGCTGCTCATGCCCTAGGGAATGAAACACGTGGCCAGCCATTACCATTCGAAATCCGTACTTGCGAAACTTTGGTAGTCGCGCGCGGAGATCGCACAAGGCTGCACACTCCATAAGAACTGCCGCACAGATGCCTTGCTCCATCGTCGAGCCACGAATGAGTGCAGCGGAAGCGTTGTCCATGTAATCTGTACTCAGACCTGACTTACTCAACGTGTGATACACCTCACCGGCAATGACCGCCGCACGAATAGCTAGACGCTGGGTCAACGGAGAAGGCGTTTTGGCGTAGATCGCATTGGCCGAGTCGAGAGCATTCGTCATCTGCATGGGCGATCCCTTTGTCAAAAGTAAGCAAATTGCTATCATCTCATTCACATTGGCGCAATGTAACACTGACTTGTCCGATTTGAAGTCGTCACGCACCAAGCGATACATTTGCAGTGCCAGCTCGTAGTCTCGAACGAGAAAAGCTGTATCGGCCAATAGACGAGTCTGCGACTCGATGGAGCTGCAATTGTATACAACACCACCCGATACTGACGCATTCGACTGACGCAAGTCTTTCGGTTTGCGTAGCCACGACTTGAAGACATTTTTCACACCTTTCTTCATGGCCGAGACCACTTCATTCAATTGGAAAATCCGTCCTTCAAGCGACGATAGGATAAATCGCAGTCCGAAATCTCGTACAAAAGCCTTCACCTGTGCCACATCATCTCTAGACAACAACGTGCCTACTCCGTCGCTCACTTGTGGATATATGTCGAGCTCATAAGGGAACAACGGTGGTCTCACATACGGATTTTCCGTCCACACCTTTGCAAATGGTGATGGGACAGGGGCATCTTCCACCGGCAAGGAGTTGATCCTCAACACTGCTCCATTAACTGTTGTAATGTTCATATTCCTCAAGATCGCATCGGGATCAATTGACGTGCCCTTCGTCTCAAAGACATCATGGATCACCATATAAAACTTGGGCACCAATGTGGCATCATATAGTTCTTGTTGAAATGGCAATGGGAGATTCCTTGGTGCTATCAGTTCCTCGAAACTATGACGTGGATTCGGATCCGTAGAGCTCACAACGACCATCATGGCCACAGGATGACACAAAAGACTGTACTCTTCACAACGGAATGTGTCCATAAGTGTGTGTTTGAAGGATTGATACCAGGGCATTATATCGTGGCTGCCTTCAGCATCTGCTCCAATAACTTGGAGGTACGTCGGCACATCATCGACACTCGTAACTCGTGGGATGTCCAGCTCCACAGCCAACGCCGCGTTATGTTGCGGCGGATGACGCTTAATACTGTCGTTAAGTTGCTCCGTAGCCTCATTTAGTCCCAGTGTATGAAACTGATTAGATGCGAGGAAGCGAAAATTAAAGCACGCGAGTTGAATCGGATGCGTAACGGAACGCAACGGCGTATCGGCGTCATTTAAACGTGCAAATCCATTAAGAATATCAGCTACAGAAAGGTTGTTCTTTTGCGCAATACGTTCTGCTTCAGGCGTGGAACATGTGAGTACCACGGGCGCAAAGACGTCCTGCACCCAACTCTCCATGGACTCCATAATGGATAATATCGCAGATTTCGAAGTGTAATCGGTATCGGTATTTACACCGGTATCAATATATTTTATTTTGCAAAAGAATGTTTTCTACTCGTAATATAGGAAAAGCGCTATTTATTACCCATACTTTTGTTAACCAGCCTCTTGGATTTATTGAAATAATCTGATTAGTCCGAATGCCAGATCAAGAGAAATTATAAAATTACTTGTATCTAGATCAGTGGTGGCACAAATGGTTTAACGCGTTTTTTAACCACCCATTAACCCCTGGTTATAACCGGTTAGAAGGATAAAAAATATCGGCTGTTTAACCACCAACCATTTAGGAAAATGCTTTAAACCGATAAAAACTGTGGAATTCGTTCGAGAAACTATCACTGCAAGATGGGCAGCAATCATCAACCAATGAAGCAGGCAATAGAAAAGAAGCAAATGTCAAGAATACGAAAGAGATTCGTGACTTTGAGGGATTGAAGTCGCTTCGCGACGCATCTGCGTGGATTTCGCTGATGCTGGCGCGGTCTCGCTTAATGGAGAGCAAACCGATCATGTCGCCTGACGTTAAGCTTCAAAGAAATCAGAACAAAGCTGAAAAGTTGGAGGAATTAACGCACGAAGTGCACAAAAGAAACAAGCCAATACCGCTTATTCTCTCTTGAAAATAAGTCTAAGAATCAATATTATTTGGTTCGTTGTTAACATTGCGATCCCAATGGCGAAAATTTGTTTGAAGGGAGGGCAAGAACCATGAAAACGCACTTGAAAAAGTGCAAAGAATAATTGAATGCCCTGGAGGACAAACAAAAAGAAAGTGTTGATGAAAGCGATGAAGAAGTCTGCTCAACCTTTACTTCAGTCTCTGGACAACTAGCGAGTGCAAAATCTGTTCGTGGGAAGAGAAACAGATTGGATTTTTTTCAAATAGTGGCTTGACGAACAAGAAATTGAAAACCTATTCGGTCAAAACAATACTTGATCGTGAAATGAGGCCAACTGAGGAAATCAAATACGACAGCGTTTGGTGGAAATGATTGCCGATAGTGGAATATCTTTCCAGTGAATTGAACGACCATCAACGATCAGATTTTTTAAAATGATACGACCAAGTGTAATCAAGGCATTTCCAAGTCGAAGAGTTTTGGGTGGAAGGCTTCTCCATGAGGCTGCTATTTGTAGTCGGAACGAACAGTTACCCGATATCAAAAGACTCATTGAAGATGTAGGTGTCACAGGAAATTATTCTGTGATGGATATGAAGATGGTGCCAAGAATCATATTCTAGGGAGCATATTTCAGGCTTTGAATAAATGGATCTCCTATGATGAAGCGCTAGGAGATGGAAGCGCAATAGAATGGAAATGGATGAACACCACGAAATAGCAACTGCAAAACCGATTGAATCTGCGTTCATGAAAGGTAGTCAAGATTTGGGGAAGCTGATTTCGTGTGTGGTGACGGACGATGCTGGTCAGAGAAAAGCGCATTTTAGCACTACGTTTTCCGCATATGTATTTTGATAAATTATATGCACATCAACTGAATCTTATTGTGCAAGATGGTACATGTGGACCTTGTGGCGCGTGTAAAAGCATTGACCAAAGCTAATAACAAGAGTGCAAGTAAATGGCTCGTGAGATTGACAGACCGATGCAAGAAACTATATGGTTGTTCGCGTAGCTTGCTAAGAATTATGGATGTTCGTTGGAATAGTGCACAGAGTTCTTACGCAAGTGTATTACGAATACGCACGGCTTTAAAGTTAATACAAACAGAGTATGGTGGCGTAAGTGATTTTCCAAACGCTCTAATGGTCGATGACGTTTTTTTTGAACAATTGTGCAACGCTGAACAACTACTTTGACCACTTACAAAGGCATCATTTGTAATACAACGCGAATCGACTTCTTTAGCGGATGTCCTCAATATGTATGGTTTACTGTATCAAGAATTTGCGAAAGCGAGCCAACACGCAGATGAATTGAAGGAGTTATTAGAAAAACGATGGGAACAACAAGAGCAACCAATGATCCTTCTAGCTTTTCTATGTCATCCCAAGTACGCAAATATTTTCCGAAGTATCGCACGTTTCGAAAAAAAGCTTGAGATTGGCAAGATAATTCAAAACTCTATCCTTTACTACAAGAATTTCATCGGTGACCTCACAGAAGCCCAACTATTTTGCTGTGAAAGTGAATGATTGGGTTCAGGACGCGATATCAGATGCTCAATTCCTGATATCGTTGTCTCCGATACAGTTTTGGAAGGCGCTAAAGCGAGCATGCCCTTTTACATCACGTTTGGCCATTTTTTTACTTTCAATTGTGATTTAAACAGCCACTTGCGAGAGATTATTTAGCGCGTTTGGTAATTTTCCGACGAAAAAGCGAAATTAACTGCATTCACAGAAGGTACATCATCTGGCACAAGTGAAAAGATATGTAGCCAAAATGGACGAGAAGGCCTACAATACTGCGTCTTCTACACGGCCGAGAATAATTTCGCCCACAGAATTACCGCGAATAGACACCGAAGAACAAAAGGTAGTTGAAAGCCATGATGAAGACAATGAAGTAGGCATTGTTAATATGGAAGGCATTGAAAGTGATTGTGATGATGAAGAAGACGACAACATTATCGAACAAGATACAATCCTTGACGATTGGACTATTGTGCTTGATGAGCTTGATCGAAAGATGAGCAAGAATACAATGCATCCGTTCATTTCATTAAACAGGCTATGGCATTACATATGATGAATGAAGTTTTGCGAATGAAGCACTCTGGTGGGGCCGAGTATCGCCAATTCATCCTTATCCAGACCACAATGTCCCTAATTTTCCGCAAGAGAGACTCACAGGTGTCAAGAGTGTTAAGTTTGATCTAGAATCTCTGTTACCTACATCCACTGAGGCGTTAGATGAATTTAATATCCTTGAATAATAAGCTCTTGTTTAACCCATGAACCATGTGGCTTAACCAATTAACAATTGTTAAACCACTCCAAAATCTATTAAGCTGGTTAATGCCACCACTGGTTATAACCTATGTTAACTATATTAAACTACAACTATGTATGTTGACAACTTGACCTTTACTCATTGCGCGCGTCCATCGGTAATTGGTCAGCGCGTTGGTTGATATTATGGCCCATATCAACCAATTAGAGGGCATCTCCAACTTCAAGGAGATCTAGGGACAATATTGTAGGAAAAGATAATATTGTCAAATATTATTAATAATCATAATATTTAATTGACACTTCATATGTAACGGGGCTAGAACGTACCGTCACTAGCTTACACGCGCGCTTGAGGAAGACTCAAGCCCAAGTATTAGGTGTTAAGTAAATTTAACTCTGATTTTATCTGGTTTTAATTCGTACTAATTACGAAGATTTCAAGTCGTAATAAATACGACAGTGTTCCCGCCTTTCGGGAACCACACAATTTCAGGTTGATTTATCATTGGTCCATATTGGGACTTTAGGCCCAATAATAAACCAATAATAAATTGCCACGCTGTGCCCGCTATTCGGGCCCAGCACCTGTCTACATATGTAATTGTTTATTTGTGCTAACTATGTGTGTAATGTAGCCCTTTTTTACATCACGCCCTTCTCATGACAGCACTCACCAACCGTGAGTGCTCAACTGTCGAAACCCCATCGCTCACAAACGAACAAGCAATGTCCAAAGACCAACAACCAATCCAGCAGCACTCCCACGAAACATCAGCGGGAGTGCAACAACCAGCATCATGGCGCGACAACTCATTCCTTGGTCACTGTACGACTTGTCCGGAGCTCACGCTCCGTAATCACTGGACACGATGCGGGACTACTTCCGCCGATTTCGAAAACTGCGCGGGAAAGGTCTTGATGGAATCGGGTATGAGGCCCTACAACGTTCTTGGTGTGCCTTCATCCAACGTTGGAATCGGATGCTCGAGGATGGTAGCAGCTTCCAATTATAGCTCGCCAATCTAGAGGAGCTTCGCTCCGATCACTCCATCGGCGCGCTACGCGAAAGAGTGTGTGAAGATGCTTGGAATGAGGACCGCCTCTGCTTCGTTCATGTCAATGGAGAATGCCGGTCTTGTGACTCGACTCCACGTCCAACTCATGACGAATGGCGACGACACATCGCTGAGTGTCCACTCAGTGATCGCGAACGAAGTTGGATTGCAAAGTATGAGCGAAGTCTGAGCGAACGGAGAAGCGCAGTTATTCGTGGTGCGCCTCGCTGGCAGCACCACTCGCGACAGCGGAGTCAATCTCCGCGGAATCATCAGCGCAGGGCAGCGACACGTTCGCCTGCCCGTCCTGCTGCGCGATTCTCGCCTCGCAATCGTGATAATATGTATTCACCACGACGTTCTCGTTCACGGCATCGTTCTCGTTCACGACATCGTTCTCGTTCGCGTCATCGTTCTCGTTCTCGTTCTCGACGACGTGGATTTCCTTACCGCTCTCGTTTGTCACGAGAGCGTTCGCGTGCTCGCCCGCATTGGAATATCCCGACTTCGTGGCTCTATACGACAGAACCACATCTGGAACGTCACGAAGGAGTCAGGAACGTGGTTCCATGTATCCTTCTCGGGAGGGAATCCAAGCCAACGTACTCGGTACCTGCGCACGGATGGAACCGCGCGCTTTTCATGAGCCGACTGCAGTGCTGGTTGTGGAGGGTCCTCGTGACCCACATTGCGGTCTACAATCCAGCGCACCTGTCCCTCCGCATCAACAAGCGGAGGAGGGCCCTCGCGATGGTAGTGCTGGCGTCCTAGTTGATCAGGACGATGTTGATCAGGCCGTGAACATAGCTGCCGATGCTCAGCTGGAGGCTGAGGCTGCCAGTGAACGTGCTTTCCGGGCGGAGAAGACTTCGAGTGAGAACCGACAGTCGAACCGTGAGCTGCTCGAACGGATAAGGGTTCTGGAGCGCCAGGTGCTTGGTCATGTGCAGACGGGATCGAGGACGCGCCCCATGTCATTGGTGCGTCGAGCACGACGGAGGTCCGATCGACTTACGGACCCCTGAAGCCGGCATCGGAGCCAAACCGTGAAGCGTAGCCGAGAGATATTCCTTCAGCCGCCCGACATAGAATGTCGGGTGGAGTCGCAATGACGAGAGGACGTCGAGTGTATAAGCGTCGCCGATTGCCTTCAGAACCTTGAATGGACCGATGAAGTGGGGAGTTTACTCGCCAGGTTAGTGACCGCTGAACCCTTTAAACATTCCGTATATAATAATACACAATCTCCTATCTTAAACTTGCTCATGTTCTTTTTGCCATGTTTGTCAGCGTTCTCTTTCTGTTGATTCACCGCAGATTGTAGTGCGTCGCGTACAAACCGGGTGATGGCTTGGCGTTGGAGTATAGAATCCGACACAGCCATGTCATCAATTGGTCGCGCCGACTCAATTGGCGCGTAGTTGGCAGTAGGAGAACGCTTACCCGAAGACGGGTCCAATCAATGTCTGCGCAGTCCATCGAGCTAATGGGGACGCCACGTCTCGTGGGGTCAAAACATCAGCTTTCGCCTTGGATCGGGTTACTACATTCGCGCTCAAAATACCGTGAGCTGCACTCGAATCTTGTTTGTCACCGTTATCCCTCCCAGAGTGGATACACTAGGTGTTGTGGGTCGCCCCACGGCCACGAGAGTAGGAACACTAGGGTGGCGAGCCGAGTTCACATAGAATGGCTATAACCCTGTTGACGCGTGTACGGCGTTGTTGAGTGCGAACTCAGCGAGTGGTAAATTTGCACTCCAGCTTGTGAATGACGTATCTTAACTTTGAAGAACATCTTCGAGGACCCGGTTCACGCGCTCGGTTTTCCCATCCGTTTCCGGATGGGCCGCAGTCGACATCAGCAGTTTTGTCCCGAGGAGCTCGAAAAGTGACGTCCAAAATGCGGACGTAAATCGTGGATCACGGTCCGAAACAATGTTTTCTCGAAGGACATGATGACGGAACACCGCGTCGATGAAGTGGGCAGCGGTCTCTGCCGCGGTGATCTTAGCGTGAACAGGCACTAGGTTTGTCATTTGCTGAATCTGTCAACAAAAACCAAGATGCCCGTTCGAGCTTGGTTATCGGGTGCAAGCCCGAAGATGAAGTCCATCTAAACTGATCTCCAGGCCTCTGATGCAATTGGAACGATCGCAAGGGAGCCTGTGACGATGGAGATGGCTTCACACGCTGGCATATTTCGCACGTTCGGATCCAAATTGCTTACCCACTTATACATGTGGGGCCAGAAGACGTCTCGAGACACAGCCGCGAAAAAAGTCTTTTCGCGGCCTAAATGGCCGCCAGCAGGAGCATCGTGATACTCGTGAATGATTCTTGCACGCAAATCCATGTCGTTGGCAATCACCGTGCTAGGAGTATCGAATTGGTCGATGCTATTCAGAAGCAAATCGCCATCTAGACTGTATCGATGAATATGGTCGCGCTTGGTTCGGGATAAGGCTCCCAGTGCAGCATCGCTGGGAACACGCAGATACTCAATAATGTCTGCATAATCTGAATCGCTCTTGTACGCTGCGACGATCTCATCAAATAAACACAGCTCGGTTGTAACCCGAGTTAGGTTCAGCGATACACACATCGCACATCGGTCATCATCGTCCTCGTCATCAGTAGCCTGACGACTCAGAGCAGTTAGAGGATCGTAGTCGGGACGCCGTGACAAGGCGTCATCGCGAATATTATTCCTGCCTGGCTTGTAATGCAAGATGAAGCTGTACTCATAAAAGAATGAAAGCCATCGTGCCATCCGTTGGGACAGGTGTGGGATCTTCATCGCTGTACGCAGCGATGCATGATCGGTGTACAAAGCAAATGTACGTTCATTAAGCAGATGCACGCGAAACTTGATAAGTGCATAGCGCATCGCTAACAGCTACTTGTCGTGAACCGGATAGTTCTTTTCAGCTGGCTTTATCTGTCGCGACTGATAACTCACGACTCGTTCGCGGCCCTCATCATCAAATTGCATGAGGGCACAACCGATTGCAAAATCACTGGCATTGCAAACCACGTGGAACGGCTCGGAGTCGTCTGGTAGGACCAGCACTGGCGCTGACGCCAGGCTCTTCTTCACTGCGTCGAAGGCTTCTTGGTGCTCGGGACGCCACAACCACGTGGCGTCTTTCTTCAAGAGTGACGACAAAGGCTGGATAGAACCAGCACAATCCTTCGTATACTTGTGCAAATAATTAGCCAAGCCGAGCCACTGGCGCAGCTCCGTAGGGTTCTTGGGCGTGGGCCAAGAACAGATGGACGACACCTTCTCTGGATCAGTTCGAACTTCCGATTTACTCACATAGCAACCCAACACAGGAATTTCCGGTGAACAAAAGACACACTTCTTGAGATTCGCGTACAACTTATTGTCCCGCATAACTTGAAATACTTCCTTCAGGTGTTGAAGGTGAACTTAGACATCGTTGAGGTTGCCCTCGGCGCGACTGTGGACGAAATGTCGTCAAAATAACTTGGAGCAAAGTTCCGAAGGGGTCTCAACACTTGAGACACCATGCGATTAAAAGTGGCCGGAGCGTTCTTCAACCCTTGTGGCATAACCAGCCACTCCCATAACATGCCACTCGGGGCGGTGAGTGGGATATCACTCGGTCGCATCATAATCTGGTAAAAGCCATCGGTCAAGTCGATGGCAGTGAAGATGACACTTCCTGACATGGAATTCAGCACCATGTCCTTCCTTGGAATTGGCGTTTGCGCAGGAATAGTGGCATCATTCAACTTATTGAACTCATGCACTATCCGCCAGCCTCCCGTAGTCTTCTTCACGCAGAAGGTTGGACTCGAATGTGGTGAGATACTCTCACGCACATGACCAGCCTTGCGGAGGCCATCGAAGAATGCGTCAATAGCTTCAACTTGATACCGAGGCAACGGCCACTGCCGTGTCACACGATACTTCGACCCTGGCACGAAATCAATCTCGTGTCGAACACCACGGTCCGCAGGAAGATCAGCCGGGATCTTGTCCGGGAACACGTCTGCATAATCAGGAGAAATGTCATAGACAGGGTTACCAGACTCTCGCAGAGCCTCCCATGATTGTGACGCAAACCTTTCTTCACGCGCTGACTTTGACTCAGCGCTTCGAAGACGCGTCATATGCTCCTCGTTTGCCACGGTAATCACCTCGTTGGTGATTAGATACACTTGTTCCACAGTGCCTCCCTTAAGTTCACGTAGGAAATGCTTCCAGGAAAGCCCTGGAAGGCTGGTAATGGAAGGCGAATCACGAGGAGGACTAGCGAATTCAATGTATTGGCGCCTTTGTGGACTCCCTTCCACGTACACGATAGCGTGGACACATTCCAACGCTATATTATCGATTCTCATGTCCCCATCGTGCTTCGAGTCACTACTCGAAGCTGGCGAACCGCAGTCAGGTGAGAAACCACCCCCCCCCCTCTAGGCACTGGATGTTTCCTCATCCGCAATGCCGGAAACACTGGACGGGAGTATCCCAAACTCGACCGTCGACACTTGATGCGGGAGCTCCTGCTCGGCCGCCGTAAACCCGTGTGGGAGCCCCTGCTCAACCGCAATGTGCTAATGTAGAACCCGTGACAGGGGGATGTGGGAACCCCGGTTCGACCATCATGCTCTCGCGTGGGGACTCCTGTCCTTCCACTTCACACTCGTTGGCGAGCTCTTGCTAGTCGTCACAATGCCCTTGTGGGATCCCCTGCTTGACCACAATAGGTGCAGATGGGAACCCCGGTTCAACCACTGCATTCACGTGCGGGAACCACTGTTCAACCGCGTTAATGACACGCGGAAAACCCTGTTCGATCGCGTCGTCCTCTTCGTCCTCTTTGCTGTGTAGCGAGGAGTCACTGTCACTTGTGTCTCGAAGAACAGCACAAGCAGTGCAGAGAGGGCCATCGCTCGCTCTGTACACCGCCAACGTCGTGGAATCACGATCCACGACTGTGACGTTCGGCCAGTCACTTGGAGATACCAAGAGATGGGTAAACACTTTACTGACATCGAACTTGCGTCGACGTCTCACTGATCTGGCTAACCAGTCGATCTGGGGCTCATAACGTGCCAACCATGGCATGCCCAGTATGCAATCGAATGCATAATTCATCGCGATCACCAAAAAATCATCATTACTGCGAAAACCATCAAACGTGTACGGCAACGACACTTCGCGCCGCGATATGCGGTGTGGTTTCCCGTCAGCCAACTTGACGACGACTTGGCCAGTTCCCTCACGGACCTGAATGCTGGGAGGCAGCGTCGATAAATAAGATTCACGAAAGAAATTATTTGTTGCTCCTGAGTCCAGGAGTGCTCGCAGAGGTCACCGGACGCCGGCGACATGTAAACTGACAATAATCAGACGTGAATCACCACTCGTAGTGGTGGCATTTAACTGTGCGCGTAGCGCAGGAGGCCTGGAAGGTTGGGCTGCCACCGGGGAACCCGGACCTCCGTACCAAATAGTAGGGCGCCCTGCACCTACTGGTCCCGACCGTTTTTTGGACGTGCGGCCGGTACAGCACCCTCATGATGGGCGTCCACTACTTGCACCGATATCGGCGCTGGCGCACGGCACTCAGCCGCGCGATGCCGTGGCTTGCGACAACGAAAGCAAACCATTTGACGCCCGGTGCGAGCGCCACCCTTATGGGAAATGACGCGTCGTCGGTCACCCGACGACTCAATCACGTCGATCTCCATAGGTTCTGGACCAGAAGGCCAGGGGACGGTGACGACCGAGGGTTTGGCATAGGCCTTGTGACCCTAAAGTCCTCACGGAGTGCAATTGCAAATTCCTCCTCCGATGTGGCAGGCTCCGCACTCTCGAGAGATAAGCGAATCTGCCCTTCACGCATACCATCCACAAAGACATTCAACTGCTTGTACATGTCCATGGGGTGCGTGATGTACATAAAGCCAGATGATTAGCCATCTGCACGTAGTCAGGCATCGCCATTTTACCCTGTCACATATACAGGAACCTTGAGCGCACCAATTTCTCCTCTTGCGGTGGCTCGAAGAAAAGACGAAGATCGTTCTGGATGGTATGTAGGGTGGGGAACGCGTGCTCGTCCACAACGAGCTTACAAAAGGCCCATCCCTTTTCTTTTTTTCGGTGAGGCGATAAAGAAGGAAGTTGACCTTCTCCTGAGGTGCCTCGAGAAGCCTTAAAAGCGATGGCGATGCCGATTTTTCGGAATTTTCGATTCAGCGACAATAGATCTTTACCTTCTCCTAAGTAGGAGGAGGTTTCCATCTTTACGGACTCATTTCGTGAAGGTCGCGAGGGAGTTAAGCCTCGCCGGCTGGATTCGGCGAGCTCGCGTGCCATAAACTCATGTATGGCGAGACGTTGCGCGTCAGGGGTCGCTGATCTCATCAGCGACGCGACGAATGCCTCTCCCGATATCACCGTGAGGCGATTAAGGGCATCCCACTCAACACCAGTAAGATGGGGGAAGGTTGCGTGCTCCAGAAAAAATCTGGAGCGTCAAAGTACGACGACTCGATCATCCCATTCTCGGGCATAGGAAGGACTACTTAGTGCTACCAGGTGTAACGGGGCTAGAACGTACCGTCACTAGCTTACACGCGCGCTTGAGGAAGACTCAAGCCCAAGTATTAGGTATTAAGTAAATTTAACTCTGATTTTTATTTTGGTGTTATTCGTACTAATTACGAAGATTTCAAGTCGTAATAAATACGACAGTGTTCCCGCCTTTCGGGAGCCACACATCTCAGGTTGATTTATCATTGGTCCATATTGGGACTTTAGGCCCAATAATAAACCAATAATAAATTGCCACGCTATGCCCGCTATTCGGGCCCAGCACCTGTCTACATATGTAATTGTTTTTTTGTGTGTAATGTAGTCATTACACCTCTCGCTTGAGCGAGAGTGCAACGAACAACTAACAAGTGTCCTACTTACGTCACGCAGAAGCTTTCTCAGCTCCTCGTGTGCAGTAGGCAGTATGTAGTAAACTTAAGACGAAGTTTATTTAATGTTTTATAATCAAATATAAACTTAACTACTGATTGGCTAATTATGTAAAGATCGGATACGCGACTCTTTAAAGACGTATCCTGACGTGTGAGTTCAAATCTAGATTCAAGTTCGCTAATGACGTCCTTCTGGGACATTGTGATGCCTAGCTTCAACTAGCGTCGTCCCTTCCCATATGAATCCATCAATGGATATCACGTTCACGAGGGTGGATCACATTTGTGTATCGCACCCAGGTGACAGGTCAAAAAGGACTGCTGGAGCCGTTTGGATGGCATAAGTCCACAGAGACTAATCGAGTAAGAAAAGTCGGGATTCAAAGGCTGTTTAAACTCTGAATGTAGCGCAGGTTGTTCACGCCTCGCAGTGCCGGCTGTGTTTCTTATGAAGGCGCCGTAACGTCTCGGGAAATTTGTAATGGGGCTCCCTCCAAACATACTGATAACAGTATAGTCTACCTTCACTGATAAAGTGAAAGCAGGTGCCTTAAGACCTCTCTAACACAAGAGGCAGAGGAAGCTATACTTCTAAACGACACGCTTAGAAGTAGGGAAAAAGAAAACTGTATTTAATATAGTTAACTATCTGATAAAACTAATCTGTTATAACCTATGTTCACTATATTAAACTACAACTATGTATGTCGACAACTTGCCCTCCACTCATTGCGCGCGTCTATCTGCTATTGGTCGGCGCGTTGGTTGATATGATGGCCCATATCAACCAATTAGAGGACATCTCCAACTTCAAGAAGATCTAGGAACAATATTATAAGAAAAGATAATATTGTCAAAATATTATTAGTTATAATAATTTTTTTATTGACACTTCATATAAGTGTCAATATTATGTAACGCCGTTACAGAAATTGTGCGGTAAAAAAGAGGTTTACCAGTTTTAAGTTTATAAATGTAATGATGTTTAATTACGGTGTTTCTACCTGAGTAGCATATATCACTTGAGCAAGAGACTAAATCTATCTGTAATATAGTGAAAAGCACACAAAAAGAAGTCGAGCAACCGTACATCATTAAAAATAAGTACAAACTTTGTTCTAGAACAAATTCTATTAACTGTTCATTCACCTTTCGTGTATTAAATTTAACAGGTCAGCTGAACAAAATATTTAATCAGCCAATGAACGTGCTGGAAATATCGTAGGGACGAAAATTTGACAAAACAAAAAAAGCAAAAAAGCCCGACACGCCGCCCACGTCGCAGATCGCGCACCTCCACGCGTTCACAAGACTCGCGTAAGAAAGCGTTCATAACTAAAAGGACAATGAGTGCCCATGTTGATACAAACAAGAATGTTAACTGGATGGATTCCCGCGGCTTCTGGACTTTTTACATCTTGCTTTTGGCTTCCCTGTACATGGCGATACCCATCATCCTTCCTCATGGTGACGCTCTCACAGCAATGAATGTTATTCACGGCGTGGTACGTGGCTATTAGAGACAATACAAGAAGATACTTACAGGAACATTGTTGTTGGGGTGAAAGGGGAATGTGTTGTGGACTGATATGAATGCTTTTACTGTAGGTCTCTTTTGGTATCATGCACTGGATTAAGGGCTCACCAGACGACAACTCGATGGGCGACTACCGTGAGCTCACGTTCTATGAACAGATCGACCAAGGTCGCCCATGGACGAACACAAAGAAGTTCCTCATGATGATTCCAACGTTTCTATTTCTGGCCGCTTCGGTCGCTACGGACTACAATACACGCCACCTGCTTATCAATTTTCCCATCTGGGCGACGCTCATTTTGGCCAAACTGCCTGAACTTGATCGTGTGCGAATCTTTGGCATTAATTCTACGGTTGGCATTGACGATCACAAGAAGAACTAGGTGGGAAGATGCTGCTGTTGAGGAGAGAAGCGTAAGTTGTGACTTTTTGCATGAAGGCAGCGCCATAGCAGCAGCAGCAGATACCTCTTTTTTTGTGAGTAAACCGACGAACAGTAAACAGTATGAATGATTAGCTAGCTAGAGAGGCAGAACAAGAATGGACTGAGCTGACGTCCGTTTTGAAGTTTGATTTGATATGTATGCCTTGGTCAATGACGAAATAGCAAATGTACGATGATCTCCACATCATGAAAGCGCTACTATTGTTTGGAGCAGGTCATCATCCGATAAATACACAACTTCAAGAAGTTGTAGCATGCGTGCAATTTAAAATCATTGATGAGAGAGAGTCTTTAGAGCGGTCATAACCATACAGCTCACATATATCTACCGTTGCTCTTCCGCCTGCTACGACACAGTACAAGAAACCTAGCGGTGATCTCATTTTTCTTACTCTTTCTTCTTGCTCTGCCGATAATTCGCTCCCATCGCTCTCTTCCTCCCTCTGCCTTACTCATCCACCCATGCATCTAACAGGAAAGTGTATATCACTCGAGAACTCTCCAATCGTCATTCGTGTCACGAGGGATGGAGATCACACTGACATTGAAGTTGCAGGATCCATAGTCAGTCATTGTAGCGGTGAGGTTCTAGCAGCACCCGCTCTTGGACTTGGTAGCCTGAGGTGGAGTGATTGGAAATGCCTCGCGCTCAGGCTGAGGTGGATTCTTTGGTAGTCTCTTTGCAATTGCCACAAACAGGTCCTTCACGTTCACGGCTGTCTTTGCCGACGTTTCCATATGGAGAATATCATTGTCCTCGGCATACTGGTGAGCCTCTTCGAACTCCACATTGCGGCGGGCTTCAAGATCCGCCTTGTTGCCCGCAAGAGCAATCACCACATTTGGGTCTCCGCGGCGTTGCAGCTCTTTGACCCAAGACTTGGCACCAGTAAACGAGTCCTAAAGATCAACCAAGATGAATAACAAGGAACATCCAGCATTTAACATAACCCTGCGACAAAGTATAAGAGAACTTTCACTAGATCCGTACCTTGTTAGTCACGTCATACACGACAATAGCAGCTGCGGCACCACGATAATACATGGGTGCTAAGCTACGGTATCGCTCTACGTAGATAGCCAGCCACACACAAAAGAAAAGTTAACACCTTGTACACATTGACTTTTGTATTGCACAAACTTGCCTTGTCCAGCGGTATCCCAGATCTCAAATTTAACAGTCAACCCGTTCTCAAGACCGACCGTTTGTGTAAGAAAAGCAGCTACAAATCCATCACCCAAAAGATAAAAAAGACCTCAATCAACGCGTACAGCTCCAGCAAATAACCACATTATATATCGTCACGTACCGCCGATTGTTGGCTCCTGGAATTCAAAAAATTCATCACGTACAAACCGTACGACTAGACAGGACTTGCCCACGGCCGTATCACCCAACAACACGAGCTTAAAATGACACGTCTTTCCTTGCGACATTTCAATAAGTTTTTCTTGCTAAAAAGTGCTTTCTTCTCTCGACGTCTGCTGGCTGACTCGAAGAAGAACCGATGTGAGATCCTCTTGATTCTGTATACTGTGCTGCTTCTCACTGTTCGATACTAGGACTCGTCTTTTACGAGAAATCACAGATGGCGGGTAGGTGAATTTATCTGAAAGATTGAAAGGCAGACGCTTTTTTCCTTCTTAGTAAGATGGGAGAAAAAATGGCTTTTGTAAAATGATGCATATAAGATTAAAGAGGTAAGTGGAGGCTGAACTGAACTAGCATGACATGACGAGCTATCATGTAACCGAAACCATGGTTTTTATAGAAAACTTGTCTAAAGAGATACCCTTGACATCGATCAGTTACGAAAGTATTACTATAGTCATGTAGCAAGTTAATACCTTTGAGCTGCTTTGTGACATGTGATCCACTTCTACGGAATGGGCTTGATCTGAAACAGCAACAATGTGAGCAATTTGACGGTTAGAGCTGCAGAAGATAAACGTACCTTGAAGTGCAGTGTGATCAGCGAGAAAACCAGACACTTTAGGTCCTGCACCAAGAAGTACAGGACGTGTAGACCTTCAGGGTCCTTGCTATCTTGCACGTCCAATAAGGACCCAATCTTCGCACACTACAGACACAACCATTGTCAGTTCCATTTCTCCATGTAAAATGCCATGTGAGCATCACGTACCGTGAAGGAAATATGGTCATTGCCCAACACGATCTCCAGTTCCTGTCGGCCAACACGGTCTGGCTCGGGCCATTCCTTGTCGTCTTCTCTGTGTGCCAGCACTTTACTCAGCAAGACTGTGTAGCTCACTCAAATGTTTTAGCACGTACTTTGTGATTTCACTGTCGCTAATGATCCGCTTCACCTCGTCGATCACCGACTTGGACACCGTCACTAGAGCAGAACAAACAAACAAAAAAGACCATTCACATTACACCTAGAAATACATCATGTACGAATATCAACACAGTAAGAGTGAAAAACTGCTCACTTTCTTTCCGAATCATCGAGTCTTTCTTGTAATTTGAATTATTGGCGTAACGAAGTTTCCCGTCTGCACGGAACTCAAACTCCATAAATTCATGGCCAAACTTACCACGATGTCCGACACTGTATAAGCAAATTATTACAGATAATACATAACACATAGTCATTAAGTTAATCAAGTCTCATCGAAGATTTCTCAAGGGCTTTACGCACTAGTAGCGCACGTAAAAGTCGTCGTGACGCGGCATCTTGGTCAATGTCGCTGCAAGAATTAGCCAATGAAAGGTCAAAAGAAATTCAGAATTACAACCAATCGTCTTCACTGATGATGACGTGCTTACGACCCGTGTTATAGTATCACGCTTCTTTATCTTAAGCCAAGGGTAGCATCGGAAACGACGAGGAGTCAATCTGCACACACTTGCACTAAGAAGTTCTTATGTCTGCGCAAGGAACGCCTGTTTCCACTACTTTACAGTCTCCTTCTGGAAGAACAAGCAATCCAAAAGCACCATCGAAAGCAGCAGGGAAGACGAGGACAGGAGCTGTAAACAATCGAATTATGAAACGAGCAACACGTCGAGAGCTTAAAAAGTTGACGGAGATTGATTTAGAAGAGAAGGATGACGTTTCTTCCATGGGTTCGTGTGCTATTTCGCTGGACACGTTGGTCAATGCTCTTGATTGTCACTGTATAACTCTTTCCATTCTGTGGACAATGGTGTCTCTCTTTAGGGCTTAAAGCGGAGAGCATGCCATTTGGAGTGGATACAGGGATCGCATCTATTACACCAACGAGTCTTCACGATGACTTTGTGAACATGATGAAGTCTCAAGGGTTAGAGAAGATGGCGACGGAGATTGGGATTTTGAAGAATGGTGTTCTTGTTGATGCACCGCTACCTGCAACCCCGTGTGCTGCAACACGTACACCTGCCAGATCGGGAAGTGGAAAGAAGCCAATGTCAGCATCATCAACGCTTGCAAACCAGTCGTTTACTAGCCCGTGCGTAGTCGCGTAACGTGCCAATTTGAATACTTTGGTACGAGGGTAAGATTTTCAACCGATGTTGATGTGATTTTTTACATTTAGGTCACCTGGAAAGAAGAGAAAGTATTTGAAGATCAACAAGGGGTTACGCCATTTTAGCATGAAGGTGTGCCAAAAGGTGGAGGAAAAACACGTGACGTCCTATAACGAGGTCGCTGACGAGCTTGTGCGCGAGTTTGTCACGATGCGTCCAAACGATTCGGTAAATTGTTGGGATCAGAAACATGTGGGTGAATGTAGTGCACTTACTTTTTTGTTCTTGTGGATTGTAAGGTATACGATGAAAAAAACATTCGCCGACGTGTGTACGATGCATTGAATGTGCTAATGGCCATGGATATCATATCGAAGGAACGTAAGGAGATCCGATGGAAGGGACTGCCCGCCAATCTACAACATGACACGGAAATGCTTATGGTGTGTCTATACTAGTAGTGTTGCTGTACCGAGGAAATGCAATGATGTACTCACTCGCATATGGTTTTCGCGGCAGGCTGAGCGAAATGAACGCATCAAAAGCGTGGAGCAGAAAAAGCAGCACTTACAAGACCTTTTGGTTCAGCAGGTTGCGATGAAGAATCTCCTCAAGCGAAACGCAGAGCGTAAACGAAAAGAGAGTGAGAATCCCACATCCGTCAATATCATACGCGATGAAGGACGAGTATTTCTCCCATTCATCGCCGTGAATACCAGCAAGGACACTGTGATCCAATGTGAAATGTCGGAAGACCGTCAAGACATTTTTTTCAATTTTAGTGCACCATTTGAAATCCACGACGACGCAGACATTTTGCACAAGCTAAATTTGCACAAGGCTCCTTATGCCGAGTTGAAGCAAATGGTGCCCGACAAGTTACTCTCATACCTTCCAGCCGAGTGTGAAATGAAAAGTGAAGAGTAGATAGGAAAGTAGGAAGGTAGTTTAGTTAGAAAGCGTGCAATAGGAACTCGATATTCGTGAAGAATATATCATCGGTACTACTTTGTCGTTATTTTGTACTACGTAGTACGTGTACAACCGCTAGTCACTACCGTTATCTCATGTGTTTATTCTGGTGTTCTTCTGTTAGCAGCTTCAAGTTCGTCGAGTAAGAAGTTCGTGCATTTATCACTTACATTTTGCCTGCAACAACATCAGCGTAACTGCGTCTTTTCGAGTCCAACTCGGATTGTCTCTCTTCCGCGAGGAAGACCCAGCCTTCTACGTCCGCTTCACGAGTAAACGTCGTCTCTTGAGACGTTTGTTCTGTCGGTTTGTTAAGGGTGGTAGTATCTTCCTTACCGGATATGCTTTCATGGGCAAAAAGACAGTGTAGAATGGAGTCGAGCATGGTTGTTCTGTTGATAATGGAGGAATTGATTGCAAGAGGTTGCAAGCTTTTTTCACAGTGTTTCTTAGAGAAATGGAGCAGGCGGGAACTTCAAAGTGGCGCAACAAATCTGCGACAATGCCGTTCTATAGTAAAACCAAGTCAAGGGTTGCGTTTCAAATGAAAGCGCGAATTTACAATTAACTGGCATCAACCGTTGATAGATCGTCATAAAAAGTAACGCTAAGGTTTATATATTTGTTACCGGTATCCAGGAAGTTACCGCTACTAAAGTATGCCTTCAGGAGGTGTGTGGGCCACATTATCTAGTGTGTAACTGGTGTGCAAAGCTTCCACTATTGCCCGATGATGTCTGAGGCTACCGACACGGAAGCACCACACGTTGTTACATCCACAACCACCGATGAATTTGTAGGTGATAGTCAAGCATCAAGCCAACACACGGAAGAATCTGTAAAGAACTCGCAAGATAGCGAGGTCAATGAGGCAAAGCAGGAAGAAAATGACGCGCAGATGTCAGTAAATGACGCAACAGAGAAAGGAGACGTGGAAATGACAGAGACAACAAACGAAGATATGACGAAATTATCACAAGAAGAAGCAGAAGAGGACGAGGAAACACTGTCTAAAGATGTGGATATGGCACCGGAACAGATTCGAGAGATGAGTCCTGACGCAATTGAATGTGATGTGGAGATGGCGGTGGATGATGAGACAACACAGGGAGCAAAAGAAAAGAGCGATGATACTGCTGATCTTTCTGTGGATGTGGATGCTGTTTCAGAAACGAACGGAAGTGTAGCACCAAAGCCTGCTTCTATAATAGCGGAAGAGGAGACGTCAGTTAAGATTACTACTGATGATACTGAATTTGCTGTAGATGCAGAGAGTTCACAGCAAAGTGATACTGAGATGCTGGATAATGGCAAACCGTTGGGCCTTGAACGTGAGGAATCGGTGCAGCCACCCGCGTCTGAGTCTTGCAACGGCGTTGATGAGGTTGCTGAATTAATGGAACCTGTGGCTAAGAAACAGAAAGTAGACGAAACTGTTGCGCAAGTCACCGAAAAAATTATAAGTGTATACGAGGCTACGGATCGATCTGATAATGCTTCGCCATCTGCGATTATCTCTCGTGATGACATGGCAAAGATGGAAGAGGACAGCGGACGACTGAAATTTGATGTGATCACAAACGATGGTGCGGATGAGCATATGATCCAACTTACGACGCTGAAGAATATCTTTGCGAAGCAACTTCCTAAGATGCCAAAGGAGTATATCGTTCGACTGGTTTTTGATAAGAATCATCGGTCCATGCTTATTCTAAAAAATGGTACCCATGTGATCGGTGGCATCTGCTACAGGCCGTTCGAAAAGAGCGGGTTTGCAGAGATTGCGTTTTGTGCAATTAACGCCTCCGACCAAGTGAAAGGATACGGTACACGGCTGATGAACCATTTGAAAGAGTACGTGAAGACCAAGAACATCACGCACTTCCTTACGTACGCAGACAACTATGCTATCGGCTACTTCAAAAAGCAGGGTTTCACTAAGAGTGTATCGATGGCTCGTCCTAACTGGTACGGCTACATTAAGGACTACGACGGCGGGACTCTGATGGAATGTACAATCCACACTCAGATCAACTATTTAAGGATCACGTCGATGATTCACAAGCAGCGCAAGGTACGTCATTTGCATCATCCTTCATGTTTTTAGCAAACAAAAGGTTTTGCTAACATTCACGGGATTGCACAGGCAATCCAAGATAAGATTCAGGAGCGATCGCGTGCAAAGACGGTATATTCTGGCCTGACAAACTTTGCGGAGGGCAGGTTGATGGATATTTACATGGTTCCTGGCGTTAGTACGTGCTGTGTTTCTCTTACGCTGCTCGGCCCGTAGGTTATTTGACATTACAGTATCGCTGACATTTTTGTCAATGTCATTGGTACAGAGGAAGCAGGGTGGTCGCAAGCAGTGATTCGAAACAATCGCATTGGGTGCGTACACTTGTCGTCTTCTTGTACCTACGTCTGTTGCAAATTTTGTAATGTTATCTTTTTTGTTTGTGCATTACAGAACTCGTGACCAAGGCAGTCTAAAGTCGCAACTCTTGCAGTTGCTGAAAGCAGTGTCAAACCATCGTAGCGCATGGCCCTTTCATGAACCCGTCGACACTACCGTCGTAGTCGACTATCTCGACCACATCAAGGAGCCGGTGGACCTTCAGCTCATCAGCAAACGTATTGACGATGGCAATTACATCTCCAAAGCTTCATTCAAGACAGACTTGGACAAGATGTGCGAGAACTGCATGATCTACAACACACCCGACACCAACTACTACAAGTACGTCTGCTAGTCTGCTCGTTTCTCTTAATTTCTTATTACTCGTGCATTCTTATAACAATTGCTCACTTTATTCTGTATAGAGCTGCTATGGACCTCCGAGAATTTATTCAATCACGAATCCAGCTCAGGGATCAAAAGTAGTCGACGACATGCAAAAAAACATTCATTCTGCTGCCAAAACACTCTATTCTGTTGCCCAAAAGTTGCGCTATTCCTCTTATGTTGCTCTACCACTCCATTTCCATTCATTTTTATAAAAAATGGCGACGATGAACTTGGACGATATCGATTTCGATGAATTGGACGACTATTTGGAGCTTTTTCAGCAGGATGAAGTGATTAAGGAGGCACTATCACAAGGTGTCGACTTGCGCGAATATACACAGCAGATTGACGATGAACTCCGCGCCGCTGAGGCCGCATCAGTCGCGCAGTACGTCATGAACTCTGCCGACATTGTCGAACTGCACGATGAGGTACAGGATTGCGACAATTTATTGGCTAAAATGCAAGAAATGCTGCTGGGATTTCAGGCTGATCTAGGCGGTATCAGTGACGAGATTCGACACTTACAGGACGAGTCGATTGGAATGAACGTCAAGCTCAAGAACCGACGTGAGACGGAAGAGAAACTGCAGATGTATCTGGATCAAATCACAGTAGCTCCATCTCTAGTAAGGACAATAGATGAAGGAGAGGTGAATGAGGCTTATCTTCATGCTCTTGTGGTACTGAATGGAAAGTTGCGCTATGCAGCATTGAAAAATCCAGACCCTTTGGGCTCGAGTTTTGACTTGTTGCCTTCACAAACAGCGGCCTCTTCAGATGTGGAAAATCAGTTAAAGAAACTAAAAGCAAGAGCTGTTGCTCGGATTCGAGAGTTTTTACTGGCAAAGATAAACGAGATGAAGAAACCAAAGACTAATGTGCAAATGGTACAGCAGAATACGCTGTTACCGATGAAATATCTGGTGATATTCTTGGCGGATAATGCACCCGAGGTGGAAGATGAGTTTAGAGAAGTGTATGCAGAGGCTATGAGCAAAACGCTGGTAAATGTGTTTAGGTCGTATCATTCCGGTCTTATGAAATTTTGCGAAGAAGTTGCTACACGCACAGACGTCATTGTCGTGGACGAACAGTCGTTAAAGGGAATTTTCAGCTCAAGGGTAAATTTGAGCAAACGGAACGATACATTTTCCATTACGGAGCGCGAAAAGATTCTAGAGACGGCGTCGGCACCTCCATTGATCCTGCATGTGGCGCAGCAAGAGGAATTGAAGCTGCCGTACGAGGCTGTTTTCCGCAATATGCAGCAGCACTTGATGGACTCAGCTACGTCGGAGTATTTGTTCCTTGTCGATTTCTGTAAACCTAGTAGCCAGCAGGAGAATGTGTTTCGTAGTCGGGATCTATTCTTGCGCGTGTTTGCGAAAGCACTGTCGTTGTGTCTTGAGAACATGGAAAATTATCTGTTCACGTGCTACGATGCCATCGGACTGCTACTCATGATTCGCCTTACGTACGCGCAGCGACTGGTGATGGAAAAACGTCGTATCCCGTGCCTGGACGCGTACTTTGATCGGGTAACGTTGCTGCTTTGGCCTCGGTTCAAGACTGTATTCGACCTAAATTTGATGAGCATCAAGAACGCCAAGGTAAAAAAGCTGGGGCCGATTGACCTACATCCTCACTTTGTCATCCGACGATATGCTGAATTTGCTTCCTCCATTCTCAGCTTGAGCATGTACACGCAGCAAAGCCAATTTTCCAAAGCTAGAGTATATGATCCAGCAATTGCTAGCGCACAGATGCACGAAAATGGTGCAGGTGACATGGTTTTCAATAACCTGACGGTGATGCGTGACGAGATTCTTAGCTTGCTCATGCGCTTGTCCGAGCAGCACGAAAACGCAAAGGACAAATGTGTATTCCTCATCAACAACTACGATCTTGTGCTGACACATTTTGCAGAGCGGCATGTTGCCTTCGAAGAGATCTCAAAGTTTGAGGAGTTACTTGCAGGGCAGCGAGAAAATTTTGTGGAGGAGGAGCTCGCGACATATTACGCGAAGCTCATTCAGTTTGTCCGACAACACGAGCATGTGACACTAGATGAAAGTGACACTTCAGCAACGGAAGGTAGTCAGCAAGCTAACACTGCGCAGATCGAAAACATTGTGCATGAGTTTGCTGCAACCTGGAAGACTGGGATTGAAAAGATGAATGGCAATGTGATGACATACTTTTCTAACTTTCGCAACGGCATGGAGATTCTCAAGCAAGTCCTGACGCAGCTTTTGCTCTACTACACGCGCTTTGTGGAAACCGTCAAGCGGAGCTACCAGCGACCACCCTCATTTAATTCGGAGATTGTTACAACGCAAGAGATCCTGTACGAGATCAAGAAGTATAGTCGGTCTTTTTAGCATACAACGGCGAGTTCAAAAGTGTTGTTTTCAATCGCGAAGCATTTAACAGTGATGATGTAAGAACGATTGTAGCTGATCTTTTCTTCCCCGCTACTAGTCAACAGGATCACGTAGCAATCTTGGTCTATAATCCCAACATAGTTGAGGTCGAAGTGATGTTGAACCCAAGCACGAGCACAATAAGGCCGTAGCCCAGCGTGACAATCAAAGCCATCGTTACGAGTGAAAATGTCACTCCCACACGCAAGAAGTCCTTCACTTCCAAGTATGGCTGGCCGTGGTCGTCCAGTACCAGCAGTGAGTTGATGTTCGGAAAGGACGAGAACGGGAGCGCCATAGCTATCATTAGTAAAACATAGAAACTAGCGTTAGGGAAACGTTTAAACATTGTAGAGTACACACATCCTTTCTTACCAGCTGAGATTGCCATCGCACAGCAAATCACAGGAATATGCGGGTGTCCGATCTGAATTGCCATCTCAACAATTATTGGCAAGAGGATGATCGAAGCAACCGTGTGCGAGACAAAGGTAGTAAGGCAAACCACCAGAATGCACAAAGAGACCGTGACCATCCAAACGTTTCCGGACGGCAGCGCGTGGATGACCGACTTGCTCAGAGTATCGAGAAGTCCAGATCGTTGAATAGCCTGCAAGCGACAATTTTTAGCAATTCGCTCGACAAAAAGTGATCAGTATCAGCAAACAACAGGCTTACATCTCCCAAAACGTTGCCACCACCGATCAGGAAAAGAATGTGCCACGAGAACGAATTGAAGTCAAATTGGCTGAGCATACCCGTGCCGAACATGATGAACTGCAAAAATTGAAAGCTCACAATAAGTACTAGCATCAGAATTACCGAGTTTCGCAAGCCTTACCATAAACATCATCGAGATGATACCCAAGTCTCCAAACGTTGTGCTCGTCACCGAGAAAGATGCCCACAAGAAAATTGTGAGCAGGGTCATTGAAATGACGACGACGTGAAGCCTGCTGATCTTTTGCTTTTGGTCGTAAACAATCTGTGGAATGTATGTAGCGTCCCGAGGATCCATTACCCAGAGCAAAAACAACCAGCACTGTCACGTCGGAACAGTAAGTAAATGTCACCATATAAATCAAGGATAGGTTGCACCTTGCTTACCATAATCGTGCCAACGGTGCAAAACGGTACGGCTATCGCCATCCACTGACCAAACGTAATGGTATACCCAGCTTTCTCCAGAAATGACACGGCCAGAGTGTTCTGCAGCGACGAAATCGGGGTCATCATTCCACCAAGGTTGCAGGCGAAGGCTAAGCCGATGAGAAGCGTCTTCACGTAAGTGCTATTTCTAGGAAAATCCCGGATGATAGGGAGCAAAACCTAGGCGCAAAAAATGTTGTAGCGCATAAGTAAGAAGTTGTGCTGGCGTTGTACGCATGACAGGATACCTACCGACACGCACAGCACAGGGGCAGTATGGTTACTGATCCACATCGACAGAAACAGTCCCATGAGCATGATTGCGAGCAGGAACAAATTCGGGCTCTTTTTAAACCGACGTTGCAAGAAAGCAGCAATATAAAGCTCGATCTGGCACTTCGCGAACGCTGCAGAGATTGAATAACTGCAGCGGTCCATGTGCAAAACCATTTAGTAGTCACGTGCTTGATACAGGTCATACAAACATCACATAACGCACCCGCCCATAATTAGAATAGTCGTGTGGTTGACAAGCATTGACATCACCTCCTTAGCGGATTGCTCTACAGTTGCAGCAGTCAAACGAGGTAAGGAAGGTGAAAATGTCGTAGTCGCATGTCAGCAATTCTAAGTAAAGTGACGTACTAGCTGTGAGGAGCGTATCAGGGTGTGCCTTGTCGTTCAGAATGTGCAAGAACACGACAAGTGGAGGGACAAGAAGTGCTGTAGCGAAGTACGGAAGTGCCTCCGTCACCCATAGTGTCGTAATAAAAACGAGCATCGCCAAACATCGTTGTTGTACGTCCTCCCCTGTAGTAGTCGAACACTGCGTTAAACAAGGATCCATGCCAGTTTCTAGGTTCAGTATAAAAAGTCTTTTACCTTTAGGAGTGACCCGAACAAGTAGCAGAAATACAAAAAGCGCCACCGAGATGCCAAAAGGGACTAGTTTTACCTGAAACAATTACCCCAATCGACGACACTTAGTACAAAGCACAGCTAAGATTCTGAAGGGCGACCATCAGTATTGCTCAGTAAATCCAGTAAATAAACATACTTTACGAAACAGCGAGTTCTGGTCGCCCTGCATTCGCTGCATCCGACGCTCCATGTTCCCCGCCTCCAGCTTGTCCCTGTCATTGACCATTGCACATAGTCAATCCTTGCTTCAGCACGCACAGATACAGTAATAAAGCCCGACCGTACATTGACGTAAGTCCAAACACGCGATCCAGCAACTTGTCAATATCATTGGACGCATAAAAGCGTTCGTTGGTCAACCGCTTCATAAAAGCTTCCTGCGTGTGCGATTTCACTGTCTTGTCAAACTGTTGAATACATTACAAAAATGTATCAGCAATTTAATGTCCTCAACCCTCAGCTCTTCCCTCTCTCTCTGTCCCACCTTCTTGACAATCTTCCGGAATCCCGAGTGGTTAATCTGCACAAACGTCCGCAAGTCCACTAACGTATCATAAATCTCCTGCAATGCCGCAAACCCACGATCACCTGAAAAGAATACATCACACCACATCACCCGAATCCCAGCACCAGATTTCTCTTTTCAGTCCATAGATGTTCACAAAAGCTCATTTGCCTCTCATTGTTTCTCTACAAACCCTGTGAGTGTGTGCGTGGACGAGAATGAACATGTCCGGTCGATATCTTTTCGTCCTCTAATATGGCTTCAAATTCTCCCACGGACCGTGTGAGTTTCATGGCTTTGCTGACGTAAAAATCATTCACAAGCTTGAGATTTGTCTCCAGCACCTCCCAAAATTGATCCTTTGCATCTTGTATTTCATCCACCACGTCCTTAAGTAACGGATGCGTTTCATCCACGAGCACTTGCACTTGGGTGGTGCCCATATGCGTTTCTATCGTTTGCTGCAACTTAAGCTGTTTGTTTTGTTTCTTCTCGACTTCAAAAGCCACGCGTTTAATCAGTCGTTTTAACCGTTTATACTGTACGTAATTGTCACGCCATTCCGGGTTTGCCGAAACCTCGAGCTGTTTGCCAAACTTCATAGCGAATCAAGGAAAGAATCCAGTACACGCGACTCAATGGTGCGGCTTCGATTATGAAATGGTTCAGGAACTATGAGACGCAGCTACAATCAGTTGAAGCACTTGGGATTACGCAACTTAAGACGGAAGATACGACTATTTATTTTAGGGACAGAGGTAGCATTTCTAACTTTATTTCTAACATGAACTCGTGTGCACCACATTCCCAAGCTGTTGACACAACCTTCGCGTCACTCCATATAATGGCGTTCCGTCGCGAAGTCTCGCCGCTGGATAAGATCGTGCTCAAGTTTATCTCCAAGTCGCCTCGTCAATTAAACGTGATCCTCAATGATCAGACACTGGCGCGTGCACATCGTATCATGAAACCAACCAAGTCACGTACGCACAAAGCCAAGCAAGAGGTTATTCGTGCGCTGCTGCGTGGCGGACGGCTAGGGGACGACACGCTGCCTGCGAGTTTCTTTGACCCGAGTATGACACGCCTTGAGATTATTGGGGCAAAGATTTCGACGATTTTTATTGAAATGGTCCGTTGGGTTGAATGGATTGGGTTCATTGTCGAGAGTATTGAAACGGGGGTTTTATTTATTGGGCATGTGTTTTTTTAGTTGTCCAAGATTTGTCCCAAACTACATTCGGTGAACTTTTCAGGATGTTTTCGACTTACGGACGAAGCAATGGAAGTATTGCTGAAAAATTGTCCAGGTGAGGAGGGTTTTTGTTGTTTATATTGAGATTTTTACTTTTTACTGTGGGTTTTTTGTAGAAATGAAGGAGATGAATATTGACAATTGTCGAAAATTGACGGATTTGACACTAGACTATCTGCGTAAACTTGCTCCGAGACTGCAGGTTTGTGGCTGGAGTCAAAGGAGCTTAACGATGTGAACAGAAATGGTGGATGGGTATTGGTTTTAATATCTTCTGTAGAGCTTTGATATCAGTGGCAATTTCAACATGACGATTTCAGGCATTACAAAGCTTATTGAAAGACACCCAAATCATTCCAAGTTTATAAAAGTTCATGTGTCGGGTCACGCTGTGACGGATCAGTACGTTCGGTAAAAGTGTGAGTGTGCAACGGTGTCATTGCAGTACTGATAGATTCTTATTGACTTTGTAGAACCATCAGGATCATTACGGCCAAGTGTCGGAAGTTGCACAGCTTGAGTGCCGGGTATTGTGCTATCACGGACGAGGCCTTGATTGCGCTGCTGAAAAAGCGCGAATCTGTGTCGCGCTTGTACTTGCACTGGAATGTTGCGATCACGTAAGTTTTTTACTGTAATTGCAGAACTTTTACTACTTGAACAATTTACTCCTGCTGTTGATGTATTGCTTGTCCGTGATACAGCGATCAATTCTTACGCTTTCTCGGATCGGAAGCTCGAAACTTGCAGGAGCTGAACCTGTGCGGTGTAAAGACTGTTTCGGCTGATGTACGTTGTCTAAACGTGGTAAGTGTTTGTCCATTGCATCACTAATACTTTCTGCTGGGCATGTCAAGTCTATCGTTGCCGCTATCCACGCCAAAATGGGTGTTCGAAACGAGTTGCTCGATTCTACAGTACCGCTGCCTTCTGACGATAATCCTGAACCTGAACGAAAGCGTCTTAAGAAGATTGATTTCCGCTACACAACGTAAGTGATGTCGTTCTAGAAGAGCGGTCAAATGAAGTAACTCACAACAAATGATCGGCTTTACTCCAGTGTTACGAAGGAAGTTGCTGCAGCTGTCAAGGAGCGATACCCTGAGCTTCAAGTCACATTTTGAATCGGATACAACGTTTCAACAATAAATCGTGGCTGTTGAATGCTTGTGAGTACTTGTTGAAGTATGGTACATGCCTACTTCTGTATTAATCAATGGATACATGCACCCAACATGAAACTAATACATCGTCTTCTTTGTTTATTCCATGTCATCGTCGTACATGTTTCTTGACATTCCTCTTCGTCACTAAAACATGTTGCCATCGAGTCTTGAGCTTCACCACGATGTGATGCAATTAATCCGATACACAAAACTATTTACATATTTGCACTCTGTTGACAAAAGATGGCACCTTTTTTTCCTGAATTTTGATAACACACGTTAATCTACTTCATCCCCTTACTTTATCTCTCCAAAGTTGCTACTTCAGTGAAGTTTCCTTATTGCTCCGAGTACATATCATGGACCCACCTCCTCCGCCTCCACCGAGTCTCTCTTCCTCTGTACCACCACCCCCTCCACCTCCTGGTCCACCTCCACAGACGTCTATTACAACCACTCACACTCCTTCTAATTTTACTAGCAACAATCACGTCACTTCTCCCGTCTCTACTAACAATGCAGCAACATCAACGCCACACTCGAAGCTTCTGAACCATTTACCACTAGACGCGCCTGATGAACTCGATCGTAAGTGGTACGCACATTTCTATCACATGCAGAAGACCATACAGGGTAAAGACGAGGCTGCGACGCTCGCTATCTTGAAGCAGCAGCCGGCCGAAGGTCTGACGCCGCTACCGTTCCAGCCTGATATTGCGTTACTTTACGCAGTGCTCACGGAGCCTACACAATCCAAGCAATATCTTCGGTACTTGACGACTGTGGCAGCTATGGACAATTACAAAACTTGTATGGGGTGGCTCCAGAAACTCATTGATCTCAAGTTTGTTAAGTTGCTGGTAGCATGTCGCAGTCAATTGTTGTGGCTTGTGCGGGAGTTCGTGCATTTAAATGCACCAGGTGTGGACAAGGTAATTGTCTGCTTGATGCGATATCTGACTGGTGGAGATCCTAGTCGTACAACGGTCTGGCTGGCGTCGTCAATTATTCGTGTTTTGATTGAACATGAAGCTTGGCTTTTGTCGTGCTCGAGTTTAATCCCGTTTGTTTTCCATACATTTGCAAGGATTTCACTTGATCACTCTGCTGCACAACATGCGAGCTTGTTGAAGCAGGAGGTGGAGCTGTGCACGACTTTGTGGAACCGTCGTCAGGCGGATGTAGCACAACTTGGACGAGAAATTGTGCGCGTACTTAGCAACGCAAAGGATGTACGTTGACAGTAGTGTATTGTGGTGGGTGGTCAGGTGTTCATAACGTGAGATATGCACTGCATGCAGATTCCGGGGATGAGTGTGCTTTGGAAACAATTGAGAAACGTACGGGATACTGCTGAAGCTGAAAAGGATTTCACGGCATACTCTGTAGCGCAGTTGATGGCGATTCCAACTCCTCCAAAGTATCTTGCGTACCGTTTGAATCCTAAAATGGAGGAATATCTACTCTTCATGATGGCACGTGTTTGTCATATTTGCTAAGTTTGGGACGAGCAATTACTGATCGACACATTTTTTTTCTTTTAATGGTGTGACTCTAGGAACGTGTTCAAGCTGGATCCGTGACGCGCTACCAAAAATGGTTTTCGTCCCAGTTTTTGAGTAGCCCAGGGTCGGATGGACTTGTTCCCGATCTTGTGCGGTACATTTGCGCTGTCTACCATCCTTCTAACCAGGTTCTAAGCTCTAAGGTCACGCCTCGGTACCATATTCTCGGGTGGCTCTATCTTCTCTGGTGCGTTTTGTTTGTCCCTCTTTTGTTGTTGTGTTTGTGCTAAATACTGCATTTTGTTGCGGGTGAAATAGCCACGGCAGTAAGACACCCAGTGTGCTGGCTCGAGTACAGCTTGCTATGTTTTTCGACTACTTGTACTTTAAACCGTCGGACAACATCATGACGGTAGAGCCTGCAATTTTGCTCATGGTGCGATACGTGTCAACTTGCTTTTTGTTATCAGACGAGCGGTACTAACATTCACTGTCCGGCAACTTTAGGTGAAATCACTTAAAAGTCACCCTATGGTAACGCTAGCCATGATTCAGTTCGTTGTCTTCGCTGTGGAAAAGTTTGCTGCCTCACCAGTCAACCGAAAGCTCATGCAGAAGGGTGTGTCCACTGCGTTCTCGACAATATTAAAACTTGGTGTTGTGCCATCCCTCCACTCGCTCCAGAATTTTCCGATGCTGATGTCGAGCGCACCAGAATTGCAGTCGGAGCTTCACCGCATTTTTCCGGAGCACTTTCCCTCCGCTGAGAATGTCCAAGCGCAAGGTCCACTATCGAGTCCAATATCAAGTGCCGGTGGAAGTCCTGCCAGGTCCCCTGGCCCAACCTCGTCACCTGGAAGACAATCACCTATCCGAGAATCGCCGGGTCGCCAATCACCAGTCCGAAGCATCCCTATTGGCACAGAAAGCCCTATCACATCGCCGTTACGATTGCAGAGTCCGACACATTCGGACGCAAGTATGAGTGGTGGTGGGGCATCCTCTGATACGACTTCTCTAGGCGCGCTTTCTTTCTTGCCGGATCACCAGCAAACTGTGGATTCTACGACGGATGTGGCTACTCGTAGTGACGCACTTGCTTCGACAGCACCAGCGACTATGATTTCTCACAAGCAGCCTATTGTTGACATTCCTGAATGTCTTAACGCACTGGGGAGCGATGATATTAAGCACTTTCAGCAGTCAATGCCCGAGCCATGTTCTCGCCCTACGGAGAGCTTTCTGGAGTGTTTGAACGATATTTTGATTTCGTGGATTCGACAAGACAACGTTGTTGAAGTCGCTGCCCCCTTGGGATCTTTCCTACACGCTTCGCTGGAAAGGATTATCGTGTCATCCCGAATTGCCTTGAGTGATTCACCCAAAGTCACATCTGCGGGTGTGTTCAATTTGATGCTAGACCAGGTGGTCAGTGAAGCTGTGGACATTTATGTGCCTTTTTTGAAGGCTATGTATGCGCGAGATGTTACAATATCCTACCGCCTGCTCGCCTTCTGTTGTTCACGAAGTAGTGGAAAGAGTCCTGAGGTTGCTCTGGGGCCTTACGCTGCGTTTATTGATGCCATCGGTGGTGACATGACTGAACATATCTTAAAAGACTTGAATTTGAGCCAGCAGATTGACGATGCGCGGGCACAGGCTTGTGCTCTTCTAGACAAGCCGATGTCTGTTGGTGTGTCGAAGAACGAGATGGATGCTTTGAGCGCTACTGCTCTTTTCGTGTGCCCCTACCTATTTGCGAATATGCAGCACTCGTTCTTTTCCAAGCTGATGACTCGTAGCGAAGCACTTGTACAGGTGCTCCTTGGTCTGGTAACGCCTGCAATGCTAAATGCATTATGCACGCGTGTGGTTATGTGTGAGTTTGCAATTTTTAAAAGCCGACTGGCCAACATCGTGCTCTCGTCGTTGCAATGGACTTCGTGGGAACAGTACGCCATGTGGGATCTCGTGCTCGCAGAGCTCCAATCCGGACGTTCAGCTATCGCCGAAAAGAATATAATGGCAGCGGCACGAAAGGTGCTGGTCTGTGTGAATCCAAAAGAGACTCCAGAGACAATGACCGGGTTGCTAAAGTGTCTGATCCACTTCAGCCCCGATGATAGTGTGCTCCAAAGCGTGTTCAAGCTCTCTGACGCATACGATGACTTTCCATTTGCAGTATTGACGTGTTGGATGGAGAAATTCCCGGACGTTGTCACGACTTTTGTTCGTACATCTTTGGAAAATATCAACGACAGTGACCTCTTCAAGGACAAGACCCTATCCGAACTAGTCCGAAAACTCGATCATCTCCAAGAGTTACGCATTCGCAATGACACAAGTGAAGTAATCGCAGTACTTCAGGACGAAAGTATTATCTCGCTCTTGAAGAAGTTACTACATCAACATTGCCCAACTGATGCATTGTCAGTAGTTGATACGTATCAAGCATTACGCACCGTGCTATTCGACGAGGAACCTCCATACAAGAAAACAAGGCTTGGATGATATAACTAACCGGCACTTTATTACTGTTCAAAGGTGTTACAAAATCCCCTCGTTTTACTGTCCCTCCACATAACTTTCCACAATAAGAAAAAAAAGTCAATAAATAAAAAATAATATGGGAATTGTTATGTCGAAAGTGTTTGCAGCTTTGTTTGGCAGTAAAGAGGTGCGAATCCTCATCTTGGGCCTCGATAATGCAGGCAAGACGACCATTCTCTGTACGTTGATATTCTTCACCTAATAAGAAGTAAAAAGAGCGAGAGAGAGAGAGTGATATGGTATTTATTTTTTATTTATTGAATGTATATACAGACCGTTTACAAGCCGATGAGATTGAAGAGACTGTGCCTACGATTGGATTTAATATGGAAACGTTGCAGTACAAGAATATCAAGTTTCAAGTGTGGGATTTGGGTGGACAGACAAGCATTCGACCTTATTGGCGATGTTATTATCCCAATACAGACGCCATTATTTACGTCGTGGATTCGGCCGATGTTGACCGTCTTAATATTGCTAAACAGGAGCTACATGCGATGCTTGAGGTGTGTTTTTTGCTGGATCTTGATTGGATTCTTTTGTTGTCGGTTATGTCACTCACTCACTTGTGTGTTTTTTTACAGGAGGAAGAGTTAAAAGACTCGATTTTGTTGGTGTTTGCTAACAAACAGGACCAAAAGGGGGCGTTGAATGCAGCTCAGGTTTGTTATATGAGCTGATGAATAGAGAGTGGATTGTTGGTTGACTAATGACGTGGTGTTGATATTAATGTGTATAGATTTCCGAGGCGATGGGGCTTTCAGACATTCGCAACCGTCAATGGTCTATAAAGGAGACTACAGCAACACAAGGCTCGGGTCTCTTTGAAGGATTCGACTGGTAAGACGTTGTCACTGCCAAGTCTCATTTGTTGATGGAAAAAGGTTAGTCTGGTCTAACGTGGCATCTTGTCTGTTGTTAGGATCGTGACATGCATTAAGGGCGAGTAGGTGTGCGTCTCAGCAGCGCTAGCATTGTGCTGCATATCAAGTCTGGTCAGCATCGAGACAGTGTCTGCCTCCCTTTAAGTTTACGGAGCTCTCTGCACGGTCAATCGTTTAGAGCAATAGAATGAGCACAGAGAGGCAAAATGGTGCATGAGGAAGGATAGCATGCAGAATGAAAGCGTTTACACCACGTGCACAAGCAAAAAGGGTGAGAAACTTTACATGGGAAAACATTGCTGGTCTGCATTCTGCTTTGTTGTTTTGGACTGCAGGCGTTTTTTTTGGCTTGTGACTTGGAACGCAACACAATATGGTCGCCTTTACGGTGACTAACGTATAGGTACGGTCTTCCGAGAGCTGCTTTGTTGTGTTGCTGTATGAAGCTATCGTTATTGGCGTATACCGTTCGACAAGGATGTGCTCGCGTTTAATCGAGACACGGAATGTCGATGGCCTCGAGCCAAGTCTGTCATCGATGATCAGTGGAAGCCAATCTTGTGAATGGTATCAAGCTATCGTCAATAAGCTATCAACAGCTACGGCATATCAGACCGAGCGACCAGCTCGGAGCTATTCGTAAAATGTAGCCATTATTGAAAAACAATAGAAGTAGCGTCGAAACGCCAGGATAAAACCGGTATAACGAAAAAACATGTTTTAAACAACATGATTGTTTATTTTACAGATTATATCGGAGTGAGCCATGTACCTTAATGACTCTGCGTCCTCTTCTTCGTCGTCTGACGGCGCCTGGTGCCCAGAATTTCACCCGACACGTGCTGAATTCCAGTCGTTTGCTACCTATATTCGTACCGTCGTGGAGCCTCAATGCGCCAGTATCGGCATTTGCAAGGTAAAATCAAGTTTAAAATCGTTGAAACGGCTTGAGCAAAATTTGCAAAATGGTGATATCAACAAGTAAAACCCAATAAAACGTTGCTAAAACCATTTTGATCATTGGTTCTACACAGATCATTCCACCTCGTAATTGGTTCAGTCGCTCGTACGACGTCTCAGACTTGAATTACCAAGTCTCAGCTCCTGTATCTCAGCATGTGGCTGGTAAAAAGGGCATTTTTAATGTGGATTTGGTGGAAAGAAAAACTATGAGCCCTTTAGAGTTCAAGACAATGACAGAAGCTGCTACGGATCAAGAGCCTGAAGGTATTGTTAAGTCTATTACCGAGTTATGTGGCTACATTGTTTCAGGGTTTATTCAATTTATATGTGGATGGATGTAGACACAGGTGATCCATTAGAAGTAGAGAGGAAGTTTTGGAAGGGATTACGGGGAACAATGGACCCTCCTGTCTATGGAGCAGATATTGTGGTGAGCCACTGCCTGATAATATGTTGGGGTTTTATGAAGTATGTTTTTATTGGTAATAAACTGTTTTTATACCGTTTTAACATAGGGCTCGCTGTTTGGTGAGACGGACACGACATCGTGGAATCTGAACGGCCTCAATACAATCCTGCGTAAAATTGACCTTCCTGGTATAACGCAGGCGATGTTGTATTTCGGCATGTGGAGAGCAATGTTTGCATTTCATACGGTATATCGATACTGAATTCTTACCTTGAGTGTCAGAATCTTGTCTGAGATTAATGATTTGCTTGTGCAGGAGGATATGGATCTCTACAGCATTAATTACGTACACACAGGAAAGCCCAAGTTTTGGTATGGTGTTCCTCCTGATGCTGGTAAAGACAACAAAAGCTACACCATTGTTGTCTACTTGGATTTAGTGTAAACTCATATGTTTTGATCGCTTCGTGTATATGTAGCTCCTCAGCTTGAGAGAGCTGCGCAGTCGATGTTTCCCGAAAAGTTCCACGAATGTCACCAGGTACGTCTACTTGCAATCTCAACGTCATCGTAAGATTGTACTTCCGTGTTGATACACTCTTACTGAACTGTAGTTCCTGCGCCACAAGACATCTCTCATTTCACCCGCTAGACTGAGGGAGTTTGGTGTACCCTTTTATCGGGCATATCAAAAACCGGGCGAGTTCGTGATAACCTTCCCAGCAACTTATCACCAGGGATTCAATCTCGGTAAAGCGTAGCTTGGTGTTATTGGTGTCATTTTTGTCTAATCAATCTCTCGCTGTGTCAAGGTTTCAACGTAGCCGAAGCTGTCAACTTTGCAACGCTGCATTGGATTCCATATGGATTACGAGCGAAGGTACGATAACAGCTAGTATTGGATGAAGAATGCCGTTCACGACCGACTTTGTTATTACTGTTATGTGTATCAGGTTTGCAAATGTCTCCCTGACAGCGTAAGAATTGACATGGATTCTTTCCTTACCAAGCTGTTTGAAGAGCCTCAGTGTAGCCCCGAAGTTTTGGGCGAAGACCCGTGGATCTTTAGCTGCAAGTGCAACAAGTATTGCAGCAGTAACAGTCCTCAAGTTATTGTAGAGGTACGTCTTACACCGTGAACGATGTTTTGCGTACCAGTGAATGTTTTGTAATAACCATGTGCCGTCTGTGTGCTAGGAACAATGGTTTGAATGCTCCACGTGCAAGATTTGGGCCCACGTTCGCTGCATTCACCCTAATCTCGCCGATACGGCAGCTGACAATCTCCCTCAGTCGTTGTTGTGTCATCGTTGTGTCAGTGGGGAAGCTGGGAAAAAACCGCGCACTTTGTCCAGCGGTGGAGTCGGGCGTCGAAGTGGCACCGCGTCCAAAAGTGGCAGTCATAAGCGAAAAAAGGAAGCTATGGTTCACTCGAAGAAAAAGCAGGCAAAGGTGCCAACTTCGGCCGTCATGTTGTCACCTTTAAAGAAGAAGAAAGTTACGTCAAAGGTCACTCAAGCACGTGCTACTACACGTACAAATGCAACGGAGGATGGAGCTGCTGTTCGTAAGTATCTAAAAGTCAAAGGCTCGACTATTCGTTTCGAGGACATTGAGGTTTGAAGTGTGATTACTTGTTCCTGTCATTATTGAGTGTGATTTATTGAGCTGACGCATGGTGTTGTACAGGCCAAAGTTGTGGCTGTAGAGGGCAAATTTATTCGCGTGCACTACAAGGTGAGGGATTAAAACTCTGGTGATAAAGTGTTGGTGGATGGAGCTCACATCGTTTTTTGTAATTTTTGTTTAATAGGGCGAGTCTACAAATGATGACGAATGGCTGTCAGTGACTTCGAGGGAATTACGACGACGAATTATTGCAGTAGAGCCGCCACTTCTAAAGTCAAAAGATTGAGTCACTTATTGATAAATATAAAAACAATCTTGTTAAATTTTAATATTTAATCTTTTCTATTAATGAAAAAATAAATCTGTGACTTGTGTGCTTTTAAATGACCGAATATTTGAGGTAATATATGAGGTATTTTGTCCAGTTTTTTAATTTGGAAGTATACATTTTCTAGAACGCTAAATTAAGTAATCCGTCACTATGCTCTAAATGGGGAGTTCGAAGTTCCGTAAAGATGTCTCCGTGGGTGAATACGACCTAGTAACAGGACTCACGTATATTACGCATCAACGTGGACGATTATTGTTCAATATGGGGGCAAGTGCAAAGAAACAACAGCGTCAAGAGTCGGATCTCAAACGGATACCTCCCACCCCAACACTCTCAACCGGCACGTTTACAGGTCTATCGCTTTATCCAGAAGAGGCTCACTATTTGATGCAACGAGACGCATTGGTGATCTATTTCATGTCAGTTGGAAACAAAGATGCTAGAGAAATAAGTATTGCAGATTTTACAGCAATATTAGCAAGGGATACTCGTGTATCGCTTCCTTGTTTAGAGGTATACACGTTTTTGAAAGACCAGCAATTGCATCCTCGACGTTGTCTTGAACCTTTGACAGAATCAACTGGTAGTGAAGATGGTCGAAGTGCTCCTCGATATATCAAGGAGACAGAATTCTGCGACGTTGCCTTTGATGTCTGGAGGACAGTGACAGTCGATGATCTGCTGTCTGCAGATGATAGAGAGCAAGCAACACAAGTATCAGGGACCGTTACAATGAAGGGGAAGAAATTAAAGCAGAAGAAGAAGAAGAAAAAGTTAATGCTTGTCTTTCGTGTTGCTGTGGCTCGTTATTCAGACGCTGCCTTAAGCCCACAAAGCTTTCGACAGGTACTTTCACGCAGCAAAGCTCGAGATTGTAGGTCTAGTAGTTGCAGGACATCAGTGAGTAGCAACCATCTTCCTGTGAAAGTAGCTGTCGTCCATCATGATCAGAGCGTATTGATGTTTGAAATCAGCGAGTGATAGGTGGTAACAGCTACGAAATAACAAGAGGTCTTGTTTGAGAAGAAAAACTTGTTTTTAATAATAATGATACGCTACTCCGAGGAGAGCGCCAGCTACATGTAACGGGCTACAAACAGCCAACGCAACAAGAGCTGGTAAAAGGGGGGGTCTCAAAAAAAGTTGTGAACTGCGGACGGACGGACAATTAGGACGGCGCTCTTCGAGGAAGCTGCAGCACTTGTGACCACCACGACGTCGTCCTTCCCACTTTAAGCCTACTCGTTTGGAGCGAAGTAGCTCGAGAGAAACTTCTCAGGGTCCAGCACAAAGTCGTCGTCGTCCAGGCACAAGTCTGCAGTAAAGTCCTCACCATCTAGAGCGGCAACTTCAATATCCGCGAAGGATTCGGTATTCGCAGTCTCAACAGCATCAATCTCCATGTCACCATTGGGAGAGTTTTCCTCCGTGCTCGAAGTCGAGAACCACTCGAGTTCTTCTTCCGTGAGTTGCAGCAGATCGTCGTTGTCAATAGACGCCAGTGTCTGATCCACGCAGTCAAGCGAGTATTCAGCCAAAGCCTTGTCTTCAGCAAAGTCCAAGTTCATCACTTCCGCCGCAGCATCGGCAAAGTCCAGTGGAAGCTGGTGGGGCGGTTGCACGCCGACAGGATTCTTCATATTGCGGCCAAACATGAAGCGTGCGTCCATCGAATTGCCAAAAAACAGCTTATTATTGAGAAGAGAAGACGTCTTCTGCTTGGGGGACATATGAGCAGTTACTGCATGTTCACGAGCAAGACGCTTGGGTACACTAGGCAGTACTGCAGCGTCGCTTTCAATGTCCATGTCCATGTCCAACAATGAGCACTTGCGTTTACGCATCAAGTGCATCTTCTTCTTCTGTGAAGAAGGACTTGTTGGCGTGGAAGGGGGAATGGGACCCGCAGCAATAGCCGCACGATCCTGAGCTTCCCGATCCTTGAGACGTGCCTCTTCCTTCTCCAGCTTCTGGTAATATTTCTGAGCATGAGTACGGATTTGCACGACAGTGCGCGTCTTAATAAGCGTCGCGATCTTCTTCCACGCACGGTAGGGAAAGGTCTCGAGGCCTTGCAAGAAGAGCTTGTGTTCGGCTTCCGTCCAGCGGCCGGTGTTGCTCTTGGTGAGTTTACCTGACGAACGTGTGACGTCCTCCAAGCCATCGTCATCATCATCAGACGCATCGCTTAAAGTAGACGACGGGATACACACGCGATGGCTGGTGAAGGTATTGGGACTCGACTGTATTTTCGAGTCAGGACTCACGGACGTGGAAGCTACAGCCGCCAATTTAGCAGCAGGGTCACGTGGGGACACCGTGGCGGAGGTAAACAGCGACGAGTCAGTGCCCAGAGGGGTCATGGGCGCGTCGCCGTTGCAGGATAGGAAGGCGTCGTCTACGTGTTGAAGCGACAGAAGTTTGGGATGCGAGCGCACACTCTTGAGAACAGTAGCAGAGGCCATAGTGATTAAAGGTAAAGAAAGCGAAGAGGGGGGGAGGAGGATTTGTTTGTTCTAGAAACGATGACGAGGCACGTTGGAAAGAGAGTGATGGTACGAGTGCGTACACACAAAAGATACACAAGACGGCAAAACGATCGATCACCAACAAGCAAACAAGAGCGTGCGGTGGACGATGACAGACAGTAAAATGATACTGACGTGGGGAAATGCACGTGCCCAGTTGCTGGTAAAAACTCAAATGACAGCAATCTTTCCTTTTTCTTACGTAGGCGGCATGGTCCAATCGCCGCGTTGCTTGAACCTTTTGGCCAATCGCGGCATCGGAGAGCGTTCTTCTGGGTTTCTAGCAAACGACCCAGACTCGTTGAAGCTGCTTTACAAACTACAAGATATTTGATGGAAACTAACCCAAGACCCGACCCGCTTGGCCATAGACATGGTCCTCCGGGCGTCGATGCTGCACAGTTACGCCCGAGTCTTCAAACTCACGGAGTTTGCCGGGATTTAGCGGCCACGGATGACCAACACTGGTATAGCTCCTTGGTAGCATAGCTGCTTTGGCAACGTGAATCTTTGATGCAGCATGCATATGGATGGATAGCCCTCGACATCTGCTGGCTTCCATAATCTGGCGTGTGTGGCGCCGATGCTGCATCATTGAAGTCAAGGCAAATTTGTACTGTACAGAGCCGAGCCATCGGGTTCGTGGAAAGTTCCGGTACTCGGGGAAATAAATCAGCCTTGGGTAGAAAAAGGAGTGTGCTTAAACGGTCGCGGTATCTTCTGGCATGTCCGGCTAGAGACGATTCCTTTGGGCTCAAATAGCTTGCCATCAACACATGCAGCTCGATACAGACGCAATATGATACAGACTATCGACCAGAGTTGGGTAAGACGTCCTCGAAATTGCATTGCAGGGTGACGCAGTAGACGTTTTTACGAGTGCTGCAGCTCATGCTGCGGTAACTCACTTCAACGTCAGTATAAAACTGTTTCTGTTGCATTCCGAAAGGACACGGTGCACAGGCACGACCAATGAGTGGACAGCATAATTTATGCGGGCTGTATGCCATCTAGTTTAGCCATCTTTGACGGCATTTAAGTGGTCGGCAAACACACACTGGTCAATACGCATGATACTGAGCTCCTACCAAGTTGCTGCGACGTGGTTGTTATACTGGTTTTAGCTGCATTTGCAGCGATGCTAGCCTGGCCAAGAGTTGCGCTGACAGGGAGGACCATACCACGTTAGCGCACTAATCTCGCGTGATTCTCCTGCGCCTACGACGATGCCAGCTGAGGGCGGAAGAAGAGCCTCGCTGTCGGTGATGGTCTCAGCTCGAGCAGTGCTCGATGAGAAGTTTCCAGTGTAATTGCAATGTGCCACCATTGCACACAAAGAGTCATCTGCGAGCAACTGATACTTCAAGTATTACAGTTGGCGCCTCCGATACCGCTGGTGGTTCGAAATAAAATGCGGCGAACGAAATAATGTACCACGGTGCTGCTTAAAGTAATTGGAGCATGTTCGTTCGCTACCGGTACATGTGTTAAGCATGTTCCGTACGAACGAGTGGCGGCGGGTTGCTATATGAACCCATGTCTTTGTGCTCGAGTCTATCGCTCCTAGCAAGTCCTGCGTGACATAGATAACAAGGCAGGTTGTTACTGCTCTGGTTGGATGTGGGCGATATCCCACGGGCCTAGAATTTCGCTGCAAGAATCACATTCGTGCGTCAGTCGGATGCGCATCGTCTGCGGAACAAAGAAAATATAATGTAGCTCACGTACTTCTTCGACTCCTGCACATGCATGAACCAAAGCGGGCACACAAAAGCCAGAAAGAGCACCAAGACACCCGATACTACGCTTAGCAGACCTGAGAGTTGCCAGGTCAATGCCAACGAGAGCGCAAAGAGGACAGCCGTCGTCATGAGATGCAGCCTCTCGGAGTGGCGCTGCCGGTGGACACACAGCACAAGATAGACAACGTACGCACAGAATGAGCTCGGTACGACTCGTAGACAAGCAGTAGGTATCCTACAACATATCTGCACCTTAATCTCGCGCTGAAAGATTGGGAACATGGCAAAGATCTCTATAGCCAACAAGATGAACGCAAAAACGTGCTCGTTTGACTGCAACCGTGAGCCGAGCAGCACCGCCGTGAAGACCGCGGCGTTGAGCGATATTGTGCCGCTGAAGCTACAGCACGCAATGGCAGCAAACTCGTTAATGTCATAGGACGATGACGTCACCAATACTGTACATTGTAAGAACCTTTACCGGCCAATGCCCGAGTTGACGTAATTGTAATCATGTGTGATGAGGTGTAGCAAGCCAAGAAATGTCGCCAGTGCCCATATTGTGTCGTCGGCATATGATTTTGTAAGCGTTCGTAGCACGGGTGACATGAGAGACAATGTCGCGCAGAAAAGAAGACATGAACTCAGCGTATCCAGCGTGTCTGCCCTAGTTCATTAGCTCTAGATCAGTGATACGCTACGGGTATCATCCGTCAAAGGATCTACTTACGCAGAGGTAGACCAAGGTGAATACGAAGCACCACAAAGCCAGCCACGGCCAGGAACACGTCGATAATGCCTAGCAGAACGGCGGAGACGGCATCTTGGCAGACAAACTCAAACACGGACTACAAAAAGTACCCGCAAACAGCCTTAATCTTAGTAAAGCAACAACATTTACATTGTAAACAATGGCTGCAAGTGCAGCCAGAGCTCTTGAAACGTACGAAGAAAATCAGAACGGCGCAGATCTGCTGTGTGATGGCAGCAGACGAGCGGACCATGCCCCCATAGTCGTGTTCCCGGACATTAGCTGCCAATACAAAACATATGATTAGTCTTATGGCGCATTTCTACAAGACCAAGCAAGCTTTTAGCTAGAATATAGTGAGACAATAGCCAGCATACCGTTCGTCCGCATCTGTTCGAGAAACGTTTCGTCCACGTAGTTGTCCTCATACGGCTGGGGCGCGTATAAGATTTTCTTCCATTTAGGCTGGTAGATGAATGTAATTATGCACATGAGATTTTGATTATTCATGTATAAGAAATGGATGCAGCGCCCGCACCTTGGAAGCCGTCATGGTATGCAGCAATAATGTCGTAGGTCGTGGAACTTTCGCACAAACATTAATTTGATTGGTTTAAATAGTAGTGTTTATTTAAAACTACAATATGTTGCAATTGACTGCTTTGAAATTAGGTGTATAGATTTTTAGATCATCATTTTCTAGAAAGTGATACTTAGAAATGATTGGTTGGGCGGGGACCGGCCCCATTTAGTCACCCTAAAGTAGTGGGTTTCTAAAAAAAGGCCATTCCACCTCCGTCATAAATTATAAACCCATGGATCACTAGACCCAATAGGCAGTCTTACTTGTCAGATAAGACGTTAGTTTCCTTACTCATTGAGTTTAAGCCAAATATCGGTTATAACTGCTCCCCTACTGCTATATTTACAAAAGCTCCGTACGAACAACAAACGCAGCTTGGTGGACATAAATATTGTGATGAAAGAAATACATGATACAAACTAAAACTGAAGCAATACTTGATGGCGTGCATATTGGCCTTGCTATCAATAGCAGTCGATCGCAAGTTCGATAAGTTCAAGACATTTAGCACCTTGCTCACTCTAAGATACATAGCCCAAGCATAAGCCATTGCTTGACAGCATTGATGATATCAGTAAACCGAGCGCAAAAGGCGAACACCGATCTTTCTCATTTGACTTAAAACGAACCTCAAGATGTACCATTAGAGCTTCCGAATTCGTGGTAGTAGACCCTATCTTACAGAATCACACGCGAAGTATGAGAGCTATATATGCATATGGCAAATCTTGTTTACAATTTCTACGTGAGCTAAAAAATATCATCTTGCTGCGCCTGTTGCTGACTGTTGTATTCACGTGATTGCGCATGTGGTCCTGTGTCTACAGAAAGAAAACGCGGCGATATTTTCCACAAGCTGTTTGGCTGTCGCTCGCGGGTATTCACGCCTTAGTTACCACGTCTACTCGACGCTAGCCTCATCCACATCTCGGAAATGGCACTCCGCAGCTACCGGGCGTGCGGCTACGTCTATATATTGACGAGCAAGACGGCAGTGAGACATCTTCTTCTGATCCTCCACATCATGGTCCACTACCGCCCGCAAAAAAATGTGTGCTACTTCCACCGCTAAAGTAGGCTCACTTCCCTTGACGCAATGATTGTAAAACGCAACATCTTGTCTACAAAAATACTCGTGCAGAAGTGCAACAGCTAGTAGTTGAATACGGTCGTTAATGTGTAAGTGTATTGAGATATTCCGTCTTCAATCGAACCTATTCCATCAAGGACAGTTTACCCGATTAATATACGCATCTTTTGCACCAAACCATGTGTAACACACACAAATTGCTAAACTGATCGGTCCAGAAATACTTTTAACCTGTTGTGACGACCGCAAACATGTAGCCATCTCTTTGAAATGGCTTTACATTCATCCCCTTCGCCAACCTCGAATTAGTGACTTTTAAGTGACTGGCTAAAGATGGACAAGGTACAACTACAGCAGACCAAGCGCGACGCTGCGCTGCATTCACGCCGTCGTGAAGAGCTCGACACGCTCAAGAAAGAGCGTAAAGAGCGTGCGAAGAATACTGTGACTGCCAATTTCAGTGGTAAGCAGAAGAAACAGCAACTTCGTGCGCGCAAGCAGCGTCTGACCTCTCGAAGAGACGAGGAAGCGTCGCTGGATTTGAAAAGTGCGCAATACGAAGCGTTTTATACGGAAAAACCACCAGCAATTGAAGAAAATGAAGATGAAGAGACAGAAGCCGAAGCTTTTCGAGCTGAGCCGGACTTTTTTGCTCGGAATAACGATTTGGACAATGATCTCAGTGCTCGACTGAAGCTCACGGTTGCTCTCGGCAAGGACAATAAAGATGCAGTAGGAAAAGAGCTTTCGAGTTTTTTTGTAAAGGAAACAAAAGAACAGATTCAATTGCGACTTATGGAGGGACAAATGCCTTTGGAGCTGAAGAAGAGAGAGACACCGCTGCTCGCTGGAACCAGTGAACGTGATCCGATTCTAGATCATCCGAAACGACCCAAATGGACGTATAGGATGTCTAAGGAAAAAGGTTTGTGGACAATTGAGTTGTGATGGAATTTGTGGCTTTTAGAATTATGTGTATATCGTGGATGTAGTGGACAACAATGAGAGTCTCATGTTTGACCAGTGGCTGACCAAGATCCACGACAAATATGACAACGAGCACTTGAACCATTTTGAGCACAATTTGGAGGTGTGGCGGGAATTGTGGCGCGTCACAGAGCGAGCAACGCACATTGTGGTCGTGGCAGATGTGCGGAACCCGTTGCTTCATATTCCTGCGTCCGTGTACGACCTTATCACCAAAGAGCTGGAGAAGCCGATGGTCGTGGTGCTCAATAAAGTTGATCTCGTCCCACCTGCTGTGGTTCAACTATGGAAGCGCTATCTGGCTGGACGGTTCCCTCTTGCTCAGCTTGTCTGCTTCTCGTCCCGCTCTAAGGCTGTGCATGGTGATAACGATGTCAGCACTCGACGCCGTGTACTCAGGTAAGAGAAACACTGATACGTAGAGGCTCAATCTAATAGACCTGAAGACTGATGCAACATGTATATTTCGTGACATTATTGCAGCAAGAAGCTAGAGGTTGGAGACGCGTCAGCGATTAAGGGCGCGGTGGATATTCTGGTGGCTTGTGGTATTGACACTACAGAGGCACAACAGCTAGCTGAAGAACTGAATACGAGCTTAATGGAACACGAAAGCTTGCAGCAACAATGCAATGTGGTGCAAGAAAAAATGACGAGCGGCAAGCGACGTAGTAGGCGCAAACAGAAGCCACGTGTTGGTATCCGACATGGTAGAGCGGGTAACGATGGCTTGGCCACGCTCCATGAATGCCAGCATTGCGGAGGCGACGATGCTGTCGTCGCTTGCATGTCATGCGCAACTGGCGGGCGTCCAAGCAGTGCCGATGCTAATGTGAAGAACGAAGCGGATGCTATTGCTCGGGGATATTTGTTGTGTGCTCGGTGCGACCGTGAGGAGCATACAGAGCTCAAAGGCCATTTCCAGGTGCGTCTGCAGTCAGCATCCGCTGCGATGTCGACTGATTCCGCCGTGGCTGGTAGCGCTGGAGCGCTTGGCCTGGCAAACAGACCAAAGGTGACCATAGGTCTCATTGGACATCCAAACGTGGGCAAGTCTAGTGTATTGAACGCATTGGCCGGCAAGAAGATTGTGAGCGTCTCGCATACGCCAGGACACACAAAGAGACTTCAAAGTATCATGATTGCTCCTGAAATATGTATCTGTGATTGTCCTGGCCTCGTATTCCCGTTTGCTGGTGTGCCAAAGTATCTCCAAGAGCTTAGTGGGCTGTATCCGTACTCACAGGTGAGGGGTCGTTACCACAGAGCCTTGGCTCACACAACTTTGAGTGCGTTCGTTATTGCTGACTCCTATTTATGTTTGCGAAACGTGGCCAGATTCGCGAGCCATACTCAGCGGTACGCTTCCTGGCGGAGCATGTTGTTTTGGAACAATTTTTAGACCTGAAGCCTCGCACACAGGTTTTCGATGGTCTAGAGGAAGAGCTTGTGCGGTTACCTTCCTAGCATTACACTAGATCTCAACAATTATGCTAACAGTTTGCGTTTCTCTGTGCTACAGGAATGGACGCCATGGACTTTGTGTGAAGCGTACGCAGAAAAGAGGGGCTATCGCACAGACCGCCGTGGTAGGCCTGATCACCAGCGTGCTGGATCGGAGCTGGTTCGCGATACAACGGACGGTATTTTACCACTGTTCTTTCTTCCTCCTGATTACACTGGCAAGGACATTACGCCAACGAGTCTCGCAAAGTACTGCGAGCAGGAGGAAAACGGGCTCAACAATGAAGAGAATGACGTTGGTGGCGAGGACAAAGACAGCTCAAAGGAAGTGGAAGTGGAGAATTCCTCAACGGCACAGCCAGCAAGAAGTAAGAACCAACACGCAGGGCCTCATAACGTTTTCAGCCTCCTGGACTCGGACTCAAGTGATGAAGACGGTGACGAAGTCTAAGACACTTAACGAGCATTATCGCAAAACCCACAAATAGACCACATATAAGTGTAGCAAGCACGCAGCATTTTTTCAGCAAAAAACGCCATCGCCCATCTATTCTACTTGGAACGTCTGATACCATTACTTGGTGATATAGTATAGCTTAGCCCTTTCGACATCCTCCACAGGACACTCCTCCAGTTCCACCGTGGCATCCGCGACGCTTTGCGCGGGCAGTTTGACCTCTTTGAACTTAAGCCCTGAGTCGATAATCTGTTTCTGTACGACGTCGTGTGTCACATCAGCTCGAGGGATATGACACAAGACGAACACTCGCTCAGTATTATCCAGCATCAGCACTTGCGTAACAGTATCAAAGAGCAGCGGTAGTAGTTCGCTCTTGTAGAGCACATCACCAGCCAACACAACGTCGACATCCGTTAACGCATCCGGGAATTCGTCCAGCAAGGTCTGTGTCGATGGCTCATCGCCCCAAAACAGCGAGCGTGCCGTCACGACATCTTCCACCATGTTCACATGCACATTTTTAGCCAGTAGCTCCACTACTTGCTCGTCGCCATCCGTAGCCAGACATTTCACAGCACCGAGCTTAGACGACACGATGCTACAGATACCAGTGCCAGCTCCAAGTTCCAGTACACGCTTGCCTTGCACAAGCTCCGGATGATGCCACAAATACTGCAACAGCAACGTCAACATTGTTAGCAGTTTCAACACCTCCTCGAATAGTATTGTACTTGTATTATACTCGTGAGAGGAAGTGAGAGCCTGTCCAGAGGCGTGTGCCCGAGATCTCTGTCACGTTGGCATCCATTTCTGCCAGCATGAAGAGCGAAGCAGCCACCGGCAGCTCTTCCATCTGTAAAACTTGCACCTTTAGGTCACCCACGACGACGCACTTTGTCTCGTACTCTACACATGCTCGCCAATCAGCTTCATCCGACAAGGTCCGAACCTTTGGAGTTGATCTCTTCGTCATAGAAGATGAGCTCTTCAACCAGTCAAAAAACTGACCCAAATGTATCCATATCAAGATGGCTACACATTTGCCATGTAGGACTTGAATTGATTACTGACGTGATTTGATTACCATGTAGCATCCAAAAAGAGCTATTGATGTCTCACTTGGTAACAGTCTAGGGCTTGTCGCTTTTGATTGCCACAACAAGCATTTGTTCGAGTACAAGGAGAAAATCGATAGGGTGGACGGCGACATAGCACGCCTTTTTCGATCTCACCACGTTGTTCATTGAACTCGCTGGGCTTGAACGTATAAGAGATATCAACACGTTCACATGCCTTCTACATGACGATCTCCAGCCGTGGCGGCTGCTGGAAACAACCATCACGTGTCATGACGTTTCTTATCCAGAACAACGTCTTGCCTTGCGTTGATGCCACCTTCAAGAAGAGCATGCAGATTATAAGCGTGATGACACCTCTTCTCGAATCCCTAATGAGCGTATACCTTTGCATCTTTCTCGACATCGAGTCCGTCGATGTACTGCGTCACCAAACTTGAAAGTTCTGCACGACTTTGTGGGCACTCTAGCCAGTCAAAACGTGCTTCCGATAGATGGAACCAACTCGGAAGAATGCAACCGTGGTCAATAAGCACCATTGTGTACGGCTTCTTCTCACCCATGAGAAGAATACTGCCTGGATGTCTGTCCGTATTGAAGACGCGTACGTCCAAAAGCGCAATATGGTGCACTTGCTCCACAGAGACGAATTCGCGCGCTTTGTCGAGGTCAAAGGGCATGCCAAAGCTTTCCATACTTCCAATGGAGCTTGTCATGAAACGTTGCACATCACCTTGTTTTTCTCGCCCCATATTTGCTAGTCGCAGTCGAGCCACTGCTGTTGGCGGCACACCACAGAATCCATTGCTGCGATAATCGAGCACGTACGCTACCTCCTCGCGAACAGCCTCATCACCAGCGTAAAGTCTTTCACGCACGATTTTTTCCTCTTCTGTAGGCTTAACGCAACCTTCCGGCTACTGGATTAAGATTGCATTGCATACACACCACCTTCTCCTTCACTTATCGGGTCAGCGATACCATCGGCCGTGGCGCTCAGTTTCGCCACATTCCAAAGCATGTTCCGGCGTATGCCCGATCCCGAGACCAGACGTTGCAGTCTCAGCTTTGCGATAAAGCCGTCCTTACCGTGTTGAGCCAGCTCATGGACATCGACATACACGTCTTCAGCCGTGTTGTCACTTAGTACTCTCATATAAGGAGGAGCTAGACACTGCACTCGGTTGCGTTGTGTGAGCGTCAACATTGGCACGAAACTCGCAAAGTCCTGATAAGCGACGCACGCTTGACAATGCTAAGTGGCGGTTCAGACACTGGCTGAGGTGCTTTCAACGGCGTTAATCAAGCTGAGTGGATTGCTGGCGTTGGTCGCAAACTGGACAGCGCCAGCTTCTTGATTGAGCTGCTGAGATCGTGCCCGTTGTTGGCTCCATCTATAGTTGTTTTGCAAGGGCTCGAGCTGTATCCTGCTGACAACATACATATCTTCTCGTCCTGTGGTTGATCATTCTGCTCCTGTGTAGCAGCTGCAACGACGCTGTGAAGAGAGCCTTGAATCTCATCCAAATTGAATCTACTAGTGCATAGCTGCTGAGACTCGCCCTATATACTACTTCCTGTACAACTCGTCTAGACTAAAGCTGGCACACGAGAATTCTTCTTGAATATCGTGGTATCGTGGGATTCAAGTGCGAGAGCAGTGCTTGGCGCCAGAGTGAGCATGGGTCTCGTGCGCCTTCTTTCCCCGTACTCATCTGCGAATCATAGACAACGTGTAGCATGTGTTGCGACATCTTCTTAAACTCCGTCAGAGTAATGCCTTTGCTACGACACGCTGGAATAGTCACCATGACAGACTGAGCTCTATGCCGAACTGCCTTTCCACCCGTCAACTAAAATTTCACGCTAGACACGACGATGAAACGGCTGATAACACGAACATAATAGCACACAGGAAGACGTTGGCTTCCTGCTAGAAACTTGAGCTTGATAAGTTGAGAAGTGGGGCGCTTACTAGAAGAAAGAAGAGAGCTCGTTCATATAGTTACATGATGTTGTTGTGGACCAACGCACGACAATACACAAAACCGACAAGAACTAGAAGCACGGTGGCACTAAATTACTGCAGCTATCGATCGAATTACTCGTTACTGCACTGCATAGAACAGTAAACGTCACTGTTTTACTTTTACTTACAAGCAACATCACTTTATATCGTTATTTTTGTTTTGAAGAGCCCGATACTTCAACCGTTTGACGTTGAAGTTGACAAGTCTTTTGATTGGCTATGACAAACACGTCCAATTGCCTACGACGTTTTGTGTCATTAGAGAATTCCTCCACAATTTACGCTTTTCAGTGTACATTCGGTGTCAATCTTACTAACTAGCCCCCACCCCCCCCGTAATTTATTATTTTACGTCACTGAAGCGACAATTGGACGCTAAAACGAGGGTTTTATCGCCACTTGCGACGGACAGGAAGCCAAGCCTGACGACGTCGTCGTCGTCTCTATGATGACACCGTCCAGTATTGCCGGCAGCTTTGGTGGAGCCATTAACATGACCGCCAGTAGCATCGCACCCACGTGGACCACGCAGCCACCTCCGGGGCGTTCGACTACTGTCACATTGCAGCAACTTAGTGGCTTTAGTATGCGCAACTTATCGATTTATGGCACCAGTGGCGACTCTTTACTCAATGTTTACTTCAAATTAGGTACACAGACACTTGAGATGATGTCGTACTTAGTATTCCTTTATAAGCTCCTACTAATTGCTACTTGTCTCCTTCTTTTGTGTCTCCAGTGGTGGACGGTTGTGTCGTTTACGAGAGTGAAATCGCGCGGAATACGCTGAATCCAGTATGGGTGCCGTTTCAGTCCGAGGACGACAGTAGTGGCGATGGATTGGCAGGAGTAGAGACGTTGCTGAGCGGCACAAGGTTTGAGATTGTCGTAGTGCGTGTACACGACCGGAAAGCCGTAAAAAGGCCACGACGCAAGTCGCGTGCTACAAGTGATCGCTTGTCCTTTGAAGACAATCAGCCTATGAACAATTCGCGGTCTTTTCATGACGCAACAAATAGTTTTGATGATGTGGATGAGTTGGGACCAAATGACGGAATCACGGACTTTGATACGTCGACTTGGACTGGCACTGGCAGTGGCAATGAAAATGATATAAAAGTATTTGGAGAAGATATTTTGAATCTCAGCTTTGGAGTACGAGAGCTTGAGCCGCTGCCTGTAGCACTCACAGATTTAACGAATCTGCCATTAAACACTTGCTTGTTTGAGTTTTCAAGCCACACGTACGTGCATCGTGAAGTGCTTGAACTTTTATACGAAAAAGGTGTCATTGCAGTTAAACACTCGAGGAGGAAAGGTTCAGCTATACCGTTAAAGGACTACAGTTTACATGGAGGTGTGGATGCGCTAGAACAGATTTTGACGACCAAACAGAAGATTACTGAACTGACAATAACGAACGCAGACCTAAAGGAACGGATCCGGAATAGGTTGCTGCACTCTCAGCAACGGATTACGCGCGAGCAGCAGCGCACGACGCTAGAAGAGCGCGTTCGCGTTGCACGAGCGCGAGTGGCAGAAAAGCAGCACGCGTTGGCGCGGCTTAAAGCCGTGATGGAGGACGAGCGCAGGACGTTTGAGACAGATATTCATATTGCGAAGGCACTTGTGAGCACAATGCAAATGACCATGCGTTACAAGGAGGAACGTCAGAGCATCCTTGAACGTCGATGCGAGGTGTTGCGCGCTGCGCACAAAATTCGTTCTCGACAGGCGATGCTTGTGAAGCAGCTCGGCACTGTGTACCCCATCGAGTATGTTGGTGCTGGCGAGTACAGCATCCGTGGGATTCGCATCGCCAACTCAGATCTCACTGGCGGTGGCAGAGCTGATGAAGAAATGATTTCTACAGCTTTGGGATACATTGCGCATCTCGTGTTCATGCTTAGTAAGTATTTGCAAGTGAACCTCCGATATCGTGTGGTGCCGTACTCGTCGCGCTCTTTCCTCAAGGATGAGATTAACGACCCTCAGGGCGAGTATCCGTTGTACAAGAGAGGCGTTGAAAAGGATCGCCATGAGAAGGCAATTCGTTTTCTTCGCAAAGATGTGGAGCAGGTACGATTCTTTGGTTTTTTACTGTAAGGTCCGTGCAGATGTCTAACGCTGCTGTGTGCATGTCTGAACTACAGCTTCTGTTTGCACGAAGTTTAGATCCCACACTGGAGGCACCTATTCTCGCTCGACTAAAGGAGCTCACAGATGCCGAGAGCGCATGGCTTGCGATCGATCGAAATGCAAGCAGTATGAACGGCTGTGACACGGGTGCCATTGTGCCCAGGTAGATTATTTTTTGCAAACAGTATGTGCAAAGAAGCCCGAGGCTGACAAGGATCGGGAAATTGACCACTCGAAGAATAGTGGGCGTAGTACTAGTTAGAAGTTCATTCATTTATTGTTCAATTCTCTGCACGATGAACGACGACACGACACGTTACAGCTTTGAGCTGGCAGCATTGTTCGGGTAGTGAGTCCGGTACCAGTGGTGCGCGATGTCCTCGCGTTTGCAAATCCAAATGTCTTGGAAGCTCTGGACGTAGTCCAAGAAACGTAGTAGTCCAGCAATACGTCCAGGATGTCCCACGATACGACAATGCAATCTCACTGACATCATTTTTGGTTGTCCAGCTCGTCCTTCCTCGAGCAAAATATCAAAAGCGTCCTTCAAGTACGTGAAGAACTGGTCACTACAGTTGAATCCTTGAGCAGCTACAAACTTCATATCATTATTGTTAAGTGTATAAGGGATCACAAGATGTGGACGACCAAAGTGGGTATTCCAATATGGCAAGTCATCATTGTAAGCATCAGCGTCATAGAGAAACCCTCTTTCCTCGACCACCAGTTGTCGGGTCTTGACATTTGGTATGCCTTGATAAATACCCACTGGTCGTGCACCTAATAGTTTCTCATGAACGGCAACAGTTTTCCAAAGATGGTCACGTTCTGTAGCTTCATTGACATTTTGATAGTCAATCCAGCGATATCCATGACTTGTAACTTCCCATCCAGCGTCTTTCATGGCTATTGCTGCCTCTGGATTCTTCTCAAGTGCAAGACCAACAGCATAAACGGTCAGTGGAAGGTTTCGCGTCGTAAAGACACGATAAAGTCGCCAAAAACCTGCACGACTGCCGTATTCGTATAACGATTCCATATTCAAATGACGCTCGTTTAAATACGGGACAGCACCTACAATATCCGACACTAGATGTTCCGATGCTGCATCGCCATTCAACACACAGTTTTCGCCTCCTTCTTCATAATTAAGTACGAATTGAAGTGCTAGTTTCTTGTTATCCGGCCACTTGGGGTCAAAGCCATGTCCACCATAACCCACCAAATCTCGATCTACCATACTGTATCCCTCTAACGTTGCAAATAGAGTTATAGGGTACGCTATAATACCGCTGAAGTAACACAACAATATGCGTCGTACTTTATTGAAAAAAACCAAGATACCTTAGTTATTTTGGATCGTAAAAGGGGGAAGATCAGACATTCCGAGCAGCTCCATTTAGTCAATTAAACGTCATGCCTGGAGACGGATACGACCGTCATATCACCATCTTCTCACCCGAGGGACGACTCTATCAAATCGGTACGATATATCGTCATGAAAGTAAACTATTCGAAGCCATAGACAACAAAACACACTGTAACACTTCTCGCTCGTTCCTTTTGTCTAGAATATGCCTTCCGTGCAGCAAAGGAATCGACCCTCACGTCTGTAGCTGTCCGTGGCAAAGATAGTGCCGTCTTTGTCACGCAGAAGAAAGTCCAGGTACAGTCAGTTCCAAAAAAACGAGTAAAAAACCCTTCAAAAAAACCACAATCGTGTTTAAGCGTTTTCTTGGTTTTTTACTCCTCTCTTTTTGTGTAGGACAAACTGATTGAGCCTGATTCCGTCACCAATGTGTTTCAAATTACGCCTGAAATTGGCTGTTTAATGACGGGTCTTTATGGTGAGTACGAAGACAATGAGGGTCTAATTTGTTGTGGCTATTGTGCCCTAATTTTTTCTTGTTATTGTAGCTGATTCCAAGGCACAAGTGCAGCGTCTACGCTTTGAAGCCCATGAGTTTGAGAATAAATTTGGTTACAAGATTCCGTGCCATGTCCTGGCCAAACGCATCGCTGACGTGGCGCAGGTGTACACACAACACGCTTCGATGCGTGCGTTTGGTGTCGTCACGATGCTCATCAGTGTGGATGAGGAAAAAGGACCTCAGCTGTTTAAAATTGATCCAGCTGGTCACTTTTGGGGCTACAAGGCCACGGCAGCAGGTGTCAAGGAACAGGAGGCGCAGAATTATCTGGAAAAGAAGATTAAGGCCAGTTCGACGATGGACTATGACTTGACGCTACATACGGCCATTACGTGTCTCCAATCGATCTTGTCGGCGGATTTCCGCCCCAATGAGATCGAAGTTGGTGTTGTGCTGCAAGGCCAGCGGTTCCGTAAGCTGACGGAGGACGAGATCGAAGTCCACTTGACTTCCATCAGCGAGCGTGATTAGTTCTGAAGCTTTTGCTCGCTGGAATGGTGCTAGTACAGGCACAATGAAAAAGTAAACAAGTGGAAAACAGTGTGGCAGATGAGCGGTACCGTGTTGACGTCTTGTGCCATAACTCTTTGGGATGCTCATTATGTTTGGTAGCAGATTGCAAAACGTTGTGGTGTGTGTATCCCGTTTAGCTGCTGGACAACATCACGGCTCTGGAGTCCACATTGTGACTCGTTTTGCACCACCGTGTATAAGTGCTTACAAAACAAACAATCATCATCCTCAGCCGAGTGGTGATGCTTGCTCACGTGCATGTGTGTAGCTTATTTTCTTGCTTTGACCAAGTACGCCGCTTTGCCAATTTTGTCCCGTGGTAAAATTTGTGCGTTTAGATGTATGTATAACATGCAGACTTTCTGGATTGACGTGTTCCCCGTTCTACCTACAGCAACCTCTTCAGTGCACCTGGTGTGAGCGTGCTTCGTCGAGAATCACAAGGGGGCGAGCTTTTGATACTGCCACGTTTAAAATCTCCAGGTCCCAGTGATTGACGCCTTGTCGAATTAATCTGCCGCACAGGAGCACCAAGCTCGCACTGACTCACCTTTTGTGCAAAGCGCATGCTACACAACGACTCATCGATGGACGCATATGTCGGTGACAAATTAGCCATCATTAGCGTCTTGCCGTTGCCCGAGAGTGCAGGCTGCAATGCGTACGTGAGCTTGCTGTTGCGATACGGGACATGATGAGACTTCTTGGCAAGAGCCTGGAACACGTCAGCCAGAGCGCTCAAACTCTTATTGATCGCTTGTGCCTCTTTCAAACGGCTACCCGTGGCATTCGATCGACTCAGCCGCTCACTGCCGGCGAGATCCACTAGGCTTAGACTTCCTTCAACCTCGGTATTTTGTGACTCATTGTACCCTTGAATCGATAGCGCGAAAATACTGTGGCTACGAGACGAGTGTGCGTTCATGTCTGTGCGATCGACAGAACGGTTGCAAGCTGCCAAGTTGACAATTTCATCGATCTGCTCTCCTGCCTGGTCGAAATCGATTAAGACCTCTGTCAGCCCTTCCACGTAATTCCTCCCGCGATTATCAGTCCGGATGTTGTGCTTCGTATCGTTGCTATTCTCCAAAGTGAGCAAGTCACAAATGCTTTCATTGTAAATTTCGTAGAACTTCACCTTTAGTGCGAAATTCCATCCCATCGATGTCAGCTCTTTGCAGCAATTGATGATTAAATCAATCGAGCGTGGAATGATACCGCGCATCTGCGCCTTTCCACTTCCTTGCATAGTGTGCGTCTTTCCAGACCCCGTTTGGCCATAAGCAAAAATGCACACGTTGTAGCCGTCCATGGCCGACTGGATAAAGTCCGATACATCCTTGAACACAAATTCCTGCGAGTCCGACTGACCGTAAATCTTGTCAAATGCAAAGGAATGTGGGTTCCCAACGTTTGTCCTAATCGTGGAGGAAAAAGTATCGCACACGATGGCCGACTGTGGATTCTCAGCCAACGCTTCCCCACCATCAGAGCGCAAAAACGGACGCAGCCTCACGTGCACGCGAATGTTACCGCGCAGCTCTTGAATAGTGTTGTGCAATTTGCGGCGCATTATCTCACCCTCAGCGATTTTCATCTCTAGCTCGGCGATAAAATCTGACTTCTCGGTGAGCTCCTGTCGCGCCTCCAACAAATCGTCCGTCAGTTCCTGAATACGTTGAATCGTCTCTGTATCATCAGCATGGGGCGTAGGAGTATCAAAATTCGACCTACTGACAACACTGCTGCTGCCATACGATGGTCTCTGTGTGCCAGGTTCAGTTTTGCGCATCAGCCTGTTCTGATCCTGCAAGAGTTTCATTTCGCCCGCAAGAGATACGTTTCGCTTTTCATAACGAGCCTGCAGTTCCTCCATCTTTGCTTCATACATCGTCTGCAGAGCCACCATTTGTGCATACAGCGCTGTGTTTTCCACGGTCAACTGCTCCACGTTCACCTGGAATTTCTCCCGACGATTCTTTTCGTCTTCGAACTTCGCTTCCACAGCAACTAACTTGTCTTGTAACAAGTTCTTTTCCGCTACCATAGATTTTGACGCACGAACGCGATCGCCATTTTCGGTTTTCAGACTCGATGCCTTCGATTTCATGATCGCGATTGCTTCGCTTAGGTGTGCAATCTTTTTGTTCGCCTGAGACAGATCCTCCGTCAGATTGCGGTTCTGCCGAGACAGGTCAGTTGTTTTCTCCCAGAAGCTATGGGCACTAACTGATCGGTCATCGTCATCGTCATCCATTTGCTGTTTAAAGAAATCCCGTTCCGAGCAAGCAGCATCTAGATCCAGCTCCAACTGCCGCACCTTCTGGTTTAGACTAATGTTTAGCTCTTCAACGGCCTTCAACTCATCGTCCTTGCCATGTAAAGTCTCAGTAACCAAACGCGAGCTAGAGAGTACCGATGCCGATGATCGCTCGCGTTCCTGAGATAATGCCTGTTCATGTTCCATGAGCTGCTCGGCAAAACGCATTTTCCACTTTTCTTCAATCTTATCTGTGGCCTTTTTCAAGATTGTACGCACGTAAGCCGACAGTGGCGAGTCTTCCTGCATCGCTTGCTGAATTTCTTGACGCTGTCGATCAGCCTCTTCACTCGACACTCTTGGGAAAATGTTTTGTGAAGAAGTAGTAGAAGCGGTCTCCGAGTCGGATGTTGGATGATATGACCTGGACGATGGCCCATCCCCGTCCTCTAGCTCCAACCCCGAGACCAATCCTTTTGTGTGTTTCACGGGCGACTCTGAGTTGAGCAATTGAGTCAGCCGTTCAATCTCTGCAGCGGACTCGTCTACATATTCGTTCTGTTCCAGAGTCCTCACCTCAAAAGCCTCGCAACACTTCATCAGACCTTTACTGTGGGCGCTCAATCTACGCAATCCTGCCTTCAACAGCTTGATCTCTTCTTGTCGAGTCTTCATGCTTGCTGTATTCGGCGTTGAATTCGTCGACGCCGAAGACAAGTACGTCAGCAGTTCGTGCACCCCTTTCTCCGTCAGCTCGTGATCCTCTTTCAAGGCCATCACCATCTCCTCATTCAGCGTAAACTCTTCTGGAAGCGTTGTCAAAGACGGAGCTGTAGCCGGCCAGACTTTCTGCGCAGCTGGCGACGACTTGGTACGTGCTGATGACGCTATGCCAGCATTACTGCGTATATTGATTCCAGTCATCCTAGACGACGATGTCCTCGATGACGTTGCAGATCTAAACGACATCGACGTTGCCGACGACGACATCGACGAGCACGACGACTCGGAGCCCAAACTACAGCGTCGGGTATCTTTATTGCTCTCCACCAGCTCATGTAGTGTCTTTCTCCTCTCCGATGCTGCACTAGCCGGTGGTTTGTTCCTCGATCTCGACAGTGACGACGATACACTGCTGGCAATACTGCTCATGCTCATGCTGCTGTTGCTATTTGTTCTTTTAAGTCCACTGATTCCATCAGCCATACGCGTCTTAATAGACGCAGAGTACGCGCGTCGAGTTTCCAAAGTCGATGGTCGCTTCAATGCACCATCTTCTACCACTGACCGCGGCTCACAATCACTCGCTGTTCCCACACGTTGCACCTTTTTCTCCAATGCACGAGGTGTTGTCCTCGCTGCCATTCCTAGTCGATTACAAGTCTGCTTGGCGTTTGGTGACACCACAGACGTCCCCGAAAAGACACCAGAACTTGTTCTTCTTCCAGACAAAGAGGCCTTGGAGATTTTAGTCGGTGTACGTAGTCTTGAGCCAGAATGAATGTACGATGATGAAGTATCCATGGACTTGTCGTCTTCCTTGTCCTTTGTCTCGACGTAACGCATGGAATTCACTGGATATGGAGAAACTGACTTCAAGGTATCAATCTCGACATTCATTGGGTCCATACGTGTCTATTGTAATTGTATGAAGTACAAGAATAGACGATAAAAGGCGTGTCTTTCGTAGCGTTCGTCTCACTTCCAGCAGCTACTTTAAAAGCCAAATAATAAACGTCGTAATACACAGAAAAAGGGAGTCCCTGATGTGGTCCACGTTACAGAAGAACTCTCTGTTCACAAGTGACGATGGGGATTAGAAACTGGCGACTTATTGAGACTTAGGCCATTTATTCATACTTAAGCGGGAGCATACAATTATCAAGTATAATATAGTAACCACGTCATTCTGACGACCCTGACGAGTCAGTTCAGAAAAATGCTGGTAAAATCCTCGAGATCTTTGAAGATATTTTGGCTGTTGGTGCTGAAGATATTTTGGCTGTTGGTGCTGAAGATATTGGATGACGATGGTATTGGATGACGATACAAAAAAAACACAAGGGTAGTGTCTGGTAAAAAGTGACAGTAAGTGACGAGACGTGCGTACTTTTTGACTGCTTTGATAACGTCTTCCTCCTCCGTCATAGATCCGTATCACAAATGTATCGATTGCCTTCCGATTCCTTGATCTCCGCTCTGTCACAAATGGTTTACATCAGGTTATAGCAGCCTCTTTTGATACTCAGTTTCATATATAAACGTGCCTGTATCTGCCCATGGTCATCATCGTACGGTTGCCTCCTTTCTCCGGCTCAAGTGGCGCTACTATATCATGATTCTTTTGGCTATTGCTCCCATTGGCTGCCAGTACAGCCCCAGGCATGCTTTTACCGAAACGTCGACTCACACCTAGAGCCAACTTTTCATCAATCACTTGTATGCATGCATCACACACACGACAATCTTCTTGTGCCAATTGATTCGGATGAATCTCCTGCTCTACACAAACGTGCACAAGGACAAAAGCACAAATGTGTCAGTGCTCTCAACAGCTTTAAAGGAATGACCTCAGCATGACTTGTAACCTGCACTTGCCTTATATATAAACTTTGTCCGACTACTAGAACATCCGTCACATACGACAGCTCCACAACGACGACAGTGGTGACGCCGGATCCAGAAGTTGAAATCGGTGCGGCAGAGCATGCATGTGTTTACAGAGACGTCTGGAACCCATTGCCCATCACTCTGTGCATATATGAACGACTATTAGTCAATTCACGAGAACAGAAATGATGCTTCGGTAGGATACACACCATGTGCTTTCGCCAGGAGCTCTCCAAAGGGTCCTTAGAGCGCGTCTTGAGCAGCGACGGTGTTACGATTTCTTTATTCATGCAGCAGCTGATTGATTGTAGCTGTTCACAATGGAGATATTCGTATTAGGGTTTGAATGCCCTACAATAAACATTTTAACTATAATTTTTGAGCAACATTTATAAGCGACTAAGTGCGCTTTAAGTACTACCTGGGGACTAGAGTAAGTTCGCTTTAAGTACTGCCTACAACTTCTGCTTCTTGGTCAAAATCTCAACCTTTTCAACTTGCGTGCCAGTCTGGAACTCACGGTCGCCTGCGTCGCCAAGACCTGGCAAAATGTAGCCATCCTGTGAAACAACACCACAATTAGTGGTCAGAAACATACCTGCGTGAGCATACATCACAAGCTGCAATTTACCTCTGAAAGTCCATCGTCAATTGCGGCGAGGAAAATCTCCACGTCCGGGTTCTTGGCACACACTTCCTGCAGACCTTGTTTCGATGCAATTGTACTCACAATCTTAATCTTCTCGACGCCCCACGTCTTCAAGACTGCCAACGTCGCAATGATTGTGCCAGCTGCAAATACAAAGATATACATTGTTACAAGACAAATTGCGACTTGATTAACATCTAACATGGCATCGGCTAACTGCTCACCCGTAGCAATGACAGGCTCCAAGATGATCGCAACGTCGACATTGCACTCCTTCGGAAGCTTATTGTAGTACTGCACAGGCACCAGCGATTGTTTGTTCCGATACATGCCTATTCACACAGTAGATGTCAATGTCTACTCAATATCTAAACAAGATACAGCATCATCGTACCAATGTGATGCACTGTAGCATCTGGTAGCACGTCTAGCATCGGTTCCACCTACACAATAGCAAAGCCGCAGCGCAACTTAACAAGACAAAGTATTGGAAACTCCATGGCCTTGATCATCATACCATCCCCAATCCAGCTCGAAGGATTGGCACTAGTGCCACCGACGTAGACAACTGAGCACCTTCATGATCACCCTTTGGAGTCTGTGACACCTCATATCTGATTCAATCACTGTCCATCTACTAGTAATTAACAACTCGGGTAGTTTGTACCTTAATTTTCTTGGGAATCGTCTCAAGATCATCTGTTGCGTCGTATCTGCAACATAAATACATACAAGACCATGATTAGCTTTTCCTCTGAAGCAAACTAGTTGCATATTGAGAGTCATAAACTGCCCTTACCCGAGGTAGAAAGTGACTTCTTGCAGCAAATGACGAAAGATACGGCTGTCTGTGCGCTCGTCGCGCAGCTTCGTAAGCTTATGACGCAGCACCGGATGGTTTGCACACCAGACCTGACTATTAGGCGCAAGGCCGTACTTTTCATTGTCTACACGTGTATCCATCTTCATTTTGAATCTGATTCTGCTTGTGCTTTTGACTGCAGATTTGATACTGACTGGAACTGAGTATGAAGCGCTCTATTTTGAATGGGATCTTTGCTTTAAACCAATCAAAACGTAGCAAGATGCACAAACTTCAACATGACACAGACGACGTGGTAAGCAAAATGTATCTATTTCGTGGGAAGCACTACCCCATTTTAAAGCAGCATTTAAGCGTCAATCTACCACTCCGTCTCGTGAAAATCCTTGAGGAACTTGCCGAAAATGGTCTCATTCGAGTTGTAGCCGACAAAAATCGGGTCCAACACACGCGCTGCAGCGTCGATTTCATCAATGGGAGTCTGGAAATTGTGTGCCTCTGCATGAGCATGCGCCTTGGCCAACGGATTCTCGTCATTGATCCAGCTGAATGGTTTGCAACGCAGATATTGGTACAAGTCAGTATAGCAAAGCAGGTAGTTAGTATAATGAGCAAATCGCTTACCCCGTGTCGACCGAGTTCATGTAGATACGCCGCTTGCTTAGGTCCTCGGCACACGTGCGAGTCATCATGTTGAGTGCAGCCTTCGCCATGTTCGTGTGGGGATGATTTGGCGTCTTGTAGCGGTAAAACTTGCCCTCCATAGCACTCACATTGACAATAAACTTCTTATCGGAATTGCCACTCTTCTCCAACAGCGGCACCAGTCGATTGTTCATGATAAACGGCGCCAGTGTGTTAATGGCAAACACTTCCGCCACTTCTGGAGTAGCAATCTCGCCCATACGAAGCAGCCAAGAGTTGCGCGAGCGAAGGTCCACCTGCTGTCCATTCACGTCCACCATGCCCTCTGGGAACGCCTCAATGTGATCGTCGAGGTGATCTTCTCCAGCGATCATAGGCACCTGCGACTTCAGTGCAGACGTCATGACAACGTTGCCACCTGTATTAACAATCGTGGCATCTAATGCAGGGAGCGCCAACGACTTGATATGCGACTCGAAGTCCTGTTGGTGGTTCATTAGCATCTGAACCTCCTTGGTGCTCTTTTCCAGCGCTTTTGTCTCCTTGTCTACAAGCGGCTTGTAGTACATCGGAGGCCGACGCACAGTCTGGCATGCATTATGAACAATCATATCGAGACGAGAATAGTGACTGATGACGTAGTCGCAGAACTGCTCCAAGTGCACCAGATCACGGAAATCAATACCAAAGATATGAAGACGATCCTTAAAGGTCTCATACTCCGCATGTTTCGCAAAGCGTTCTGCTGCATCTTTTGGAAAGCGTGTTGTAGCAATGACTGCTGCTCCCGCCAGTAAAAGCTTTACTGCCGCTTGAAATCCAATCTTTACACGAGCTCCTGTAATAATTGCCACTTTTCCACGCAAATCCGTCGTTTGAAAGCGTTTAGTAAAGTTGAGCTCTGCACAACGTGGACAAAGCTGGTCGTAAAAGTGGTGAATCTTGTCGAATCGGCTTTTACACGCGTAGCACGACCGAAACCCGAGCAATGCACTCGCTTCCATCTTGTAAGCTTCTGCTTTGTCATCACGAGCCTGTTCCGCTTCATCATTGCAGAGCTTCTGCAGCTCCGGTTCCGGTTCCGGACCATTTGACAGAGTCTTTGTGGAATGACACACATCTTCTCCTGCCACACCATCTGCAATCAGAGGTAATGCATTCACTGCGTCGTTGCCTTGTAGCAACAACGAATCCAGCTTGGCAATCCGCTCACGACGCAGCGTAGAGCTGTTGATATGGCGACGGTCGTGCATTTTACGTCGATTGTGACGCGCACGTTTTTCTTCACGTATCGCCTTGTCTTCAAGGTATTTCTTACGTCCTACACCACCAAATTTACGACCTTCAATGTACTCACAGACAGGCGCCAATTTCTTACGCAACATGCGCATATTACTTTGTTCCAACAGGTCTTTTCGCTTGGCTAACACACCCAAGACTTTAAACGTTGTAGCGATTTCCTCATCCGTGAATGGAACTTCTTCTGCCACCACTTGCAGCTCGTCCTGCACAGTCTCCATCGTCCTGCTTTTTGCAAAATGAATTGACGATTTCTGATGGCTGTCATACCCATTCTCTAAATAGTGTGTTCAACACAACATCGTCCTCAACAACTAGTGTGTAAAACATCAACCGTCCTCGACTAAACGGTATGGGGTTGGTGTTCAGAACCTTAACTTCAAATGATTACATATACATTTGAATTACATACGATTTAAATTACATACCATTTAAATTACATATTATCTAATTTTGTAACGGGATACGATAAGAAAACGAGATATCTCAATGTCGTTAAGTGCGTTCGTGGCTGGTGTGGCGCTTGGTGGATTGCGTTACGGCGCCGTCAAGTTTCAATTACTGGAGCGTGAGAGTGTCGTGCTATACTCGGTGAATCAGGTGAAAGAGAGCTTTCATGGTGATGAACACGTACGTTTTGATAGCGTACTTTTCTTGTCTTGAACGGTATCAATTTTAACATGTTAAATAATATCTATTTAACAACAGATAAAGACGCACAAAAAGGGACGGTACGAGTCGATGCCAAGTTGGGAGCATGAGTACTATACGTACGTACGTAAAGGCTGGAACACAAAAGTACTGACGTTTCGTAACAAGATGTACGAGTTCTTTGAGACAAAGTAAAAAAGAGCTAACAAACATGGATAGGAAGCTATCTATCTATCCAAATTGAAGCGTTCGAAAAGAGAATGAGTAAAATCACGCACATCTTTCGCTATTGTTGACTGGCCTGCGATATATCCATTCATTGCGGAGATACAGCGCTGGTGTAGACTAATGTAGCTATATCAAAGGTGTCTGCAGGAAAGTTTGTACTCGATCTCCTTTTTTCGCGCGTCTACAGCTATTGCGGCCTCACAAGCACACACTTGGAGCACTTGCAGTATCTTCTTCATTGGCAGGTTATTGTCGTGGCCTGGACTAGTTTTCGGAGTCAAACACAGCAAGAGTACCATGTCGGTAGCGTTTTTTTGTGTCTGGAAGCGACACCCCAGCGTAGTATTTTGCCTGCTGTGGGGCCAGTACAATCGACAACTGTCGAAAGTCGTATCCTGATGGGTGAAGAAAAGCTGATCTGCCATCCAGTGCCCACGTATTCCGTGTGATCAAGGGCTTTTGCATCTGGAGTATTGGAAAACAACATCACAAGCTTGCTACTACCTTCATGAGATTGGCACTGCTTTTCACCTTCATGTTAATGGCTGACATTCCCAACTCGACACTATCCTCATTTGCTTGAGCTGTACGCGTGAACAGTATCAACGCAGAGTATCTCACCGAGGCTGCGGTCTCACGAAGCTAAAGGAAGTGTCTCCGTACATTTGCGGTATCTATCTTGCTAGCGACAACAACTGCCGGTAGCCATGCTGCTTTCAGTCTGCTTGTTATCATTATTGCTGCAATTTTTAAAGGGTGGATCTCACGAGCTGGAGTGAATGGCAGTTTTCGCAGACATTTACGGCCACTAGACTTGAAACCATCGGTATCCGCATGTAAAATTAAGCGTTCCAACTTGTGTTCATCTTTCGTAATGTTAGTTTGCTTTCCAGGAAGTCCAACAGGTTTTCGTAGTCACAGGTGCTTAAAACAAATTGTCCAGAAGTGATTGACGATCCGGAGAAGCCGAAATGGTCTCGGAGGATGATCAATAAATGTACCCTTGATACTCGCGTCTCGTGCTAGTTTTGGAAAAGCAGGCGCTGTCGTGATGGGAGTAGCTTTCTTTGCTGAGAACACCCCTTCTTCTTTGCGATGAACCGGCGATCGAAAGCATTTCATCCAGTCGATTTGCGCGATTGCTTTTTATCCGTGACACTTTTGTCAGTCTCTTCCTGCTGAGTTCCATGCTAATGATCCTGAGCTTCAAAGGTATCAACTTCAGTTTCTCAGTGACGTCTTCTGTTGTCATTGAAGCCCGGCGTGTTGGTCGGTTTTAAGATGACATAGATACTTCTTTACTAGCTCAGAGCACATAGACGCATTCAGCCGCGTTAAGGAGTGAGCCTGGTTGTACAAACTCGCAGCAGTGTTAGGCCGAACGTACCTCGACACCGACACCGACACCCTTCAATTCTTCTTTGTTCGGGTATCACGGAATTTTTCTCTTAGAAAAGGACCTTTGTCGACTTTTTCCTAGTCTTGTTGACTCGTGTCCAAAACGAAGCTGGATGCTCATCAACTGCATCAAATTTGAGCGCCCAGCTCCATCCCGACGGCCTCTTTTTCCTTTTACAATGTGACCGGAACCATATATCGATCTTTGCCTGTCGTGACATCAGTTAAAGGTGAACATTTCTTGCCGTACTTACGGCGCAGCTTGATTCTTCATCGTAAGTCCTGGAATGGCACGGTGGTAGCTGCAGTCTCATCCTTGGCCGTACGGCGATAACGAATGGAAATGTCGATTGTTTGACAGTGATGGGGCAGAACTTCCCATTTGTCAAGACAGTAAACATGGTGAACCCTGCTTGATTGCAACCTGGACACCAATGCACAGACCAGAACCATGCGAGCTGAAGCAAGAGCATTCTATTGCGCGCAAACCACCAGTTCTAACATATCCGTCTAAATTGTCGTCTAAAATGTCCTTCCCTGCACTTCTCTCTGCTGTTTCTTGCTTCGTAGCGGTATTGGGTGTCGTGCCTTTTCTCCTGAGCTAGTTGGTTGATCACTTCCCTTTGTTGTTGTCTATATAAGGCTCGGTCTTCAGATCATTGCATTCCGATCCCGTAATGGAGCGGCAGATCACTTAAGCTGGGAGAAGAAATGCTTGCGTCGAATCCTGCAAGCTTTTTCTCACAGCTGGCGGTGATGCCTTCGTGCGATTAATTTGCCTCGGGGTCACTCCCCATCTTCTTCCCTGACGGGACGACCTGTTGCAACCAGATGCGCGTCTTGTAGATAGCAAAGAGGTCGCGAACGAGCTCTCTGAAGTCAATACGACTATTGCGACAAAGTACAACTGTTAGATCAACTACCACGTGAAGACTACGTCAGCACTTTTTGCGTACCGATCAGCTTCGAAAAAAAATGTCAGCTTGTGACGGTCGAACTGATATTCCGCGTCAATCACATTCATAGGAAGCAGGCGCTGACGCACTTTGGTTTTGCACACTTCAAATACCTCGTGCTCTTCTTTACGCTAAGCAACCACAATCAATTAGTCTCACCTTCAGCCACAACAAGCCAAAATGTGAGCTGCTCACCTGTTCATTCAACATATCAAACTCACGCTGGCTTGCCACACAAATGATCTTCTTTGTCGGCAATTCATGACGCTTGCTACGCCCTGTGGACTCCTCCCCTGGACTACCAGACTCTTTACATACACCAACCTTAGAGACATCTGTGGCGCGTTGCACGATACGACCAATGTCTTCCCCCCGGTCTGCTTCCACCTGCAAGCACAAGCAGTTCATTGTTAGTACGGGGTCATCGATGTTGAAGACAAAGGTACCAACCAGGGCGTACCTTCACGTATTCACCAGCTTTGTGCGCCGCACGGCCAGCAAACACTTCCCGTCGCCCTCGCTTAAACTCCACGTAGTAGTACGCCTCAGGTGGCGGAGGTGGGAAGTGGGCAGCACCACTTACAGGTCGTACGTCTGGAGGTAGCGGGGGCGCCAAATCCATGTGTCCACGTGACCAATTAAAGGCGACATCGGCCGAGTTGCTGCGACTCAATGACGGAGGATATTCCATTGGAGGTGCGGACGGAAAAAGCTGAGAACCTTCCATTGATTGACTACGAGCTTGGCGCGATGACGGGTAGTTGCTGTACTCCACGCTGTATGAGCGCATTCCGCGACCCATGTTGCTCTGTGGCGATTGGTTACCCTGGTGTTCAACAGTGTCCGAATCCGGGTAAGGTGGCATTGCAAACGCATCGGAGTACCGACGATACGGCATCGGTGGTCCGTACTGAGTAAGCAAAGGAAACGATTGCGATATTCAATCAGATAAGTACTCTGCAACAAATCGAAAAGGAAGGTGATATAGCAAACCTGGTATTGGTGCATGGGAGAATCCGTAGGAATGCTGACACGCGGAGGACGAACACCACTAGGCGGTGGTTGTGGTTGCCCGGATTGCATCATGACACCCCCAGAATGAAAGCAGCGAAGTTTTGGCTGGAAGTCTCGCGCCATCGCATGCTGCAGCTGTTGCAGGTGTGGCTGATGTGGAAATGGGGGCCCATATTGCTGTTTATTGAACGGACTATATCCGGTGGTACCATACGCCGCCGAGTACGAAAAAGACCGCGCACGCAATCGTTGCAGCGGTTCCTGCGGTGGAGGTAACGGCGGGCTGACCTCATGCGAGTGAACCATCGTGAAATCCACCGATGAGGCGCGCGAATCCTTGGTCAATCTACATGAGAATAAACACAATCAGAACAAAGTCAGCATAATGAAGCTGTGTCTGTTGCTAATAACAGCTATCGACTCACCTAGGGTGGACCTGATACTCGTCGTCATACCGGTTATCAGCCTCACTATAAAAGAGTCACAGCCATTGTCACCACTCCAAATCAAATCTAGCAAATTCACTTAGCAACTACTAGCACCAACGTACGCAGCGAGCAACGAGCCACCAGTATTGTCACGAAAAAGATCGAGGTGTCCTCTTTCTCTGTTGCCTAATGACGTTCCAAAACGTGGAGACGTCATGAAAAATTCTTCATCCTGCAATTGCCACGTCTGAGCATCTTTCCTGTTCCCAAGGACCGGTGACTTGACATGTACGAGCGAACTCGTTCGATTTTCATTACCACTGTCCACACTGATACTTCTCGGAGGACGAGGTAGTTCTGCAAGCATCGGAAGACAAGAGTCCGCATAGGACGAGTCCATAGATGATGATGCAGCCACGACTAAACCCATAGCTCCTTCCTGTCGTTCCTCATCTACTGACGACGAGTCATAGGATGATGAGCTAGAGGACGATAGACATGCACCCCCCATTCCAAAATTAACGGCATTTTGAAGCTTCATGTCCGTTGTCTTTATAAGTGACGGATTGCTCTCTCCATGTCCAAAAGTTGTCGAGATGACACTCGTATGAGCTTGATGAGATTGTGTTTGATTCTCCAATGACGATGTCGATTCCAATGAGCTTGAAGACGAGCGTGTGAGCGTTGGAGGTGGAGAAGGAGATGCAATACGTCGACCCAATGGACGCCAGGCGTCTCTTAAAGGTGACACGGTCTCGTTCATTGACATCCCACGAGGTTTCCCAACACGACGACCACTAGAAATATCACTTGACTCATGATGACGACGGCGTGTAGGCGATGTCATCGTACAAGGAGGCGGTGAAGTTTCCGAATCAGCGGTAGATAAGGCCATCATACTTGTCGATAAAAATTCCGACCATTCTTCTTGTGAAGAGATCTTCTTGTCTACATAATCAAGCGATGAATGACGTGTTCGATGCATTCTTTAATTAATTAATTGGCTCGAGTCTTTTATGAATGCGCAGGCACAACCCCAAACGGGTGACCAAAGCGAGTAAAAAGACTCGGGAGTTTTTGAGGTTTGAGATTTCTTCTGTTTTGAAGTTGCGGGGAGTGAGGGCGGTCAGTTTGGACTTGGAATTTGTATAGGTGTTTACACCAAAGTCCCTTTTTCTTCTTTTTCTTTTTTTTTCTTTTTTCTTTCGACTTTTTGTACCCCGTTGATGTATACAAATGTCAAGTGTTTTAACGAATGCACAAATATGGAAGCAAGAGACGTATAATTGTGCAAGGCAAACGCAAATGCTGACGCGATTCTAGCAGCAATGGTTGCTATCATGGATATATATAATTATACATGATAACTTTAAGAGACAACTTCTTTTCTTTTGACATTGTACCCAACACCGAATTGGTCCACTATCCGAACATTCACCTTAAGGCTACTGTCACCGACGAGTTTGTACACTGTAAAAAAAAACTTGATGAAAACAAAAAACCTCCATTTCATCATGCATTCCATGACTCAGCTCAAAGGTTCTTTTTGTGCCGCTTGGACTAAAAAGTAGTCCATTTTGTGCTATTAATAAACTCCATCGACTGCAACTGACCTCGTTACCTTTTAACGACGTGTACCAGTCGTCACGACACCTTATCCGGATAAAGTTATTGACAATCAGAGTGTTGGTCGTACGCTAGCTCCCATCTCCAGGAGATAGACCGTCTATTGTGTCTACCGACCATTCTTTCATGTCGTCAACACCATTGGCTTTGACTCCTTCGTCATTCCGACGTCGCTCTCTATACAACAAAAGGCAGTTAAACGCGGTGGTCCCGTCCGACAATGCCGCTCATGCTCATTTTGGATTGGATGGACGTTCTAGAAAGCGACGTGACGCTAGCAGCAAAGGATTTGTGAAGCAACGACCCCGTGTCGTCATTCACACACGTACAATGCATTGCATGCGCTTGAGAGTGGGTGAACTCATGCGACAACTCAGTGTTCAAGTGTTTTTCACCATGATTGTCGTCTTTTACGGTCTCTTTGTGACACTGCAGCTTACAATGACAGATGACACGCTATTGTCATACAAATTGGCAGTTGATGTGACTGATGTTACGGTTGGATCGATCTTACTGCTGGAAATTCTACTTAAATTGTTTGTCTATGGAATTTACTATTTAAGAGAGATGTGGACGCTTTTTGACGCGCTGATTATTGTTATTAGCTTAATGCTGGGAGGTATTGCTGCTATGGGAACGACGTCGACTTTTATGGTCAAGATATTGAAACTGCGAGTGATTATACGAGTGCTAAGAATGATCGTGGTATTTGAGCGAGTAAAACAGAGGTCCAAGTCTATGAATCTCATGCATATTAATAAGGGAGCAATTACGTCACCTGTGGAACTCGTACTTCGAGTTTTAAATGAGTTGCGTTTCCATCCAGCAATTTGTCCATCGCTCAGAGATGGGGTAGATTTTGCTATCCATGCTATTAAGGATAACCAGCTATACGATGCGAATGCATTGCTAACAGCGGACGGAGTCGATGGCGATACGCAGAATTGGCTACGTGGTGAAATGCTGTTTAGAAAGTACTTAAGCGACATATCGCCTGGAGATGCTAAAAAAGACGACGAGCTTGGGAGCCCGAATCGAAAACGTCAACGCTCATGGACTGGAAGCTCCTGTTCCGACATGGATGACGCAGCTGAAGTTGTGATCGGCAGCTCAGATGATAGTGCAGCTGCCGGGTCCAAGCCTCCGTCACCTTACAGACATCATTATCGATACTTGCTTTCCCATGCGGATGGAGGAGCAATAATGCAAGATCTTTATCCAGCGTTGAGCTCTGATTCCGAAATTGAATTGCAGAACCTGCTTCAAGACGTAAGTTTGTGGAATTTTGATGTCTTCCAGGTGCATGTTGTTTCTGGTGGAAATGCACTTTACTACATTGGGCAGCACCTTCTTGATGGCGGTTCTTGTCAGGCGTTGAATATTGAGAGCAACGTGCTTGTGAACTTTTTGTTAGAGATCCAACGTGGATATACCTCGACGAACCCGTATCACAATGCCATTCACGCTGCTGATGTTATGCAGACTGTGCATTACTTCCTTATCCAGCCAGAATTAGCACCGTATTTACGCCCACTGGATCGTGCTCTGTCGTTGATTGCTTCAGGTATGCACGACTTCATGCATGATGGCTTCAACAATAGTTTCCACATCTCAACGGCGTCGGAAATCGCATTGCGCTACAACGACAATGCGGTGTTGGAGAACTACCATGTAGCACAATCCTTCTTGGTTATGAAGAATTCTAACCTCAATGTGCTAGGTCAGCTAGCTTCGGATGACTTCAAGTACGCACGTGACATGATTATTCAGATGGTGCTAGCAACTGACATGGCTAAACATTTTGAGGACGTGGCTCTTTTTAAAACTAATATCTTATCGGCAGCTCTTGATGAGAGTGCTGTATTGATCAAGGACGTAGGTGACAAAAAGTTGTTGCTCAAAATGATTCTTCACACTTGCGACGTATCAAACCCAGCCAAAGAGCGCAAAACGATGCTACGCTGGACTGATCGCGTAGTGAAAGAGTTTTTTATTCAGGGCGATATGGAGAAACAGCTCGGACTTCCGGTCTCACCTTTCATGGACCGAGACATTATTGTGCTCAAGAAAATGCAGGTTGGCTTTGCAGATTTCATTGTGTCTCCGCTTTTTAGTGTTTGGGCTCAGATTCTTGTCAACGTAAATACCGGTGCCTACCGGGCTTTACTCTCGAACCGCGAATTCTGGTCGTCAGTTTCAGACGACTTCAAACCACACATGATTGTGGAAGTGATTCGAGATCTGGAAGCTCAGCGGCAATGCGGTACTAAAACACAAAACACAATTCAAGAGGAACATTTTTCGCTGCAATCGCATCGTAGTGTGACGAGCATGCTACTCGAAGTAGATGATGGGTGATCGACCAAACAGCCTTTGAAGTAGACGCAGAGGCAATGCGTCGAACTACTTCGCGAGTGCCTAAATTGATGGCGACGAGTCGTTATAGCAGCGCAAAAGTTTATCGTATACTAGATGCAGACGATGCCTTCTGCGATGATCGGCGAGTGCTAGTTTTTGTTTCCGACGGCTGAATGTCCGTAGTCGAGGCGGGATAGTGGCGGCGGGAGAGCGGTGGAATGGGGCTGGAGAGGGGGGGGGGGGGGGGTGGGGGGTGGGGTTTAGGGTGGGGATTATGGGGGGGTGGGTAGGGAGAATGGGAAAAGAATGGTCTTCGTCAGTAATGGACAGAAGGAAGATTTACGGTATGAGAAGATTCATCGATCTGTTCCCAGGATCAGGAAAAAGGAATTAGTAATGGTATGATTATAAAGTAGATTCAATTATCATTGTAAGAAAGAGAGATGGTTTGGAGGAGAAATCATCGTTCGTCAAAAGTGTTGTCGAGGACCGGTGTGATGTTACCGATGATCTAAGCCATTCATCGTATGTGAGGAGAATTTTTCTATATTTATATGGAGGGGGTATTTGATTTAATTTTTATTATTAAAATTTTATTTTTTTGTGGATTGGTGGTTTGGGGGTTAGTTGGAAGTTGGTTGTTGTTTTTTTGGAATTGAAGGGGGCGATGCTTCGGCTCTTGGTATCGTGCCACCACCAGCGCGCACCCATAAATACATTACGTGGAGTACAAATTGGAAGCCCCAGCGCATGGTTTACGGACAAGATACGTCGCGAAAACCAGTTCAGCATGCTTTTTGCCCAATACACGAAGGTAATGCGCGATAAGCACCATACAGTCACGTGATGATTGCAGGTCTCCCGAACTCTGTGGTTCATCTTCTTTTCGGTCTAATTCGCTCTTTTCAAACAGGGCAGCAGCTGACGCTCCAGTATCTCAAGCGCCTTACGACGCAACTTTTGAACAGAGCAAAATGCCAGCAGCGCCTTGAACCGTCGAAGGAGAAAAACCTCAGCCTCATTAATTTTGCCCAGCTACGACCTCAAGCAGCGCACACTTGGCACGATCTTCATACTTTGCCTTTTCTAACACACTTGACCAGCAAGATAATATCAATTAGCTCGAGTGCATTCTCGTCACTAGGTTCAGGGCTGCGGCTTGTACGTATCCAATAGCCTATGATTCCTCTTCGTGATGTAAAGAAGCGTGTCGTTCACGGCGCAAAATCTTATGATAGCTAACAAACTCTCCATTAAACCACACCTTATAAATCTTCTCTCTTATTATTGCTGCTGTTGTCCTTGCGTTAAGCGCTAGTCTTGCGAGGATGAAGGTTCCGTGGGAAAAGCAGCAGTACCTCCATGACATCGATATCGTAGTAATTTATTGCTTCCTGTCGGCGTGCCGATCGAAACAGCTTGAAACCATAATCCGCCACCAACGTCGATCAGTGTTGACTGTCCTCCGAGTAAAATTTACTGAGCGCGACGGCATCTTCCAACCGGCGATTTCGCGAAGACACAGCAACTTGCTGTGCAATCAGGAGCATTTAATGCATTTGAACCGCGAAGGGTGGAGACAACAAAGTCGCAGTTCGTAAATATACACATCACGCGGAGCCACATTGTACTTAACGATTCTCTCCACCTTCACAGTTGTTGACGAGTCGATAGATCACGTGCTTTATCTGCACTTACATCATCCAATCTATCTGTATCATGATCAAAAACTGCATAGACATTTTCTTCTTTATCCACCATCGAAACATTTTCATCAATGGATAAAGTCGCTCACGAAGCTTGCCACATAGCAACAATTCCATCACAAGTTGTTGTCGTCGTCGAACCGATGCGGGCTAGGCAGTGATACTGCATCTCAGACAGCAATTACTCCTTCTAGAACACCATTGTCTTTATCTTTCACATCCTTAGATACATGAAACACTTTGTCATTGTTCAATTAAGAACAATCCAGTCTTTTTTTCCTGAATAATCACATAATTTTCGCTCAGCAGCAGTAACTGCTGCACATGCAATAGCACCGTCTGTAGTTCATGTTGAGCTCCAAGTCCCGGAGTCCGATTGACAGTCCAACACAGTCTTTCATATAGTGGATTTCATTAGAGCACAAAGTGTGTTTGCCTCGTCATAAACCGTAAAGAGAATAGCGTCCTTTCACTCCTATGTAACCACAGCATGCGTGTTACTAAAAAGTAGAGCTATATGTCGATTATCGTAGCAACTACGCTTCAGATATCCAGAAAATCGCAGCAAATGTGAAATAACTGCTTCTAATCCACTTGCCAGTACATGCAGCCCGTGCGTCCATCGATTACGAAACTACGAGTGTACTGTCCAAGCAACCAATGAACAGCATTGGGGATGAAGCACGTGTGCTGTAGAGAAGACGAATAGTTTGCTGTGGACGCTTTAGAGCCACGTCAGCGTCTGCTTAGACACCGGCAGCGTACGCTGCGAGGACGGAACTCCTCTTCTATTTCTTATAGAAAGATAAGAAAACATAGAGATACTTGGTAAGAACCTGTCTACCTTTATATGAAAAGCTATCATTATTTAGGCTAGTCGAAATGGGTCGCATCGGATGCTTTACGGCCAATCAGAAAGGAAAGATCACTTTTCATCTTTCTAGTCGTAGATAAAAAACCAATCACATTTATTGCGAACATAAAATCCTTGTTTTTCTTCATTCAAGAATTTGCTGGCTAAACATAATGGTGACGTTGTACTGCGCAATCGTTGGTGCAAAGAACAGTGTGTTCGCTATCGACATTGAAAAGGAAAAATCGGTGTATCACCTGAAAAAGGCCATTAAGGCGGAGAATGAAGACCTTCAAGGCCCTGCGCGTAACCTACAACTCTTCCTGGCAAAGATAACGGACGGCGTTTGGCTGAAAGACGACGACCCTGCGGCTCTGGAGTTGAAAACAGGAAAAAAGCATAAAGACATCCAGAAGATGATTGATGCAGATCAAGCGATTGCTACGAGAACCTTAAAGCGTTGGCTATTTGACGATAACAAGATGTTGCAGCCATCGGCAGAGCAAATCCACGTGCTGGTTGTAGCTTCAGAGAAGCTCAAATGGGAGTCAAGTCCGGTGGGACCTCATATTTACGACTCAGAGTCACAGTATTTCTGGTTGGAGAAGGAGGATACGGCTGCTACAGGACTTCTTCCCAAACGACTGATGCTGTACTGCAGACCCAACTTTCATAAGCAGGTTGAGTTCTTACGTGAAAGGGTGCTAAAAGATGGTCATCTAGGCTGGGTTCTCGGTCCTCCAGGAACGGGAAAGTCAGCGACTGCTATGGCTTTTGCTTTAACAGTCGACAGAAGTGAATGGGAGGTGATATGGATTCACGTTGCGATGGAAGATGACTGGCAGTGTGTACGTCTGCTTGGTGACGAGCGAACGTCTCGAATTATTACTGATGTTACCGAATTGAAAGAGGTGCTTAACGATAATGACGACTTCAAGCATCGTATAGTGCTAATTGATGGATGGACTGCAGCAGATGACTTTAAGAAGCTGTCAAAAGTGTGTAAGACGTGGTTTTCAAAGGAAGACGTTATCATGAAGCGCCGGCTCGCGTTTATTTGCTCCATTGCCTCTCGTAGGAAGGTTAAAGACGACCGCGATGTCATTGATCGTGCAATGGAGTGCCCGGTGTTCTCTTGGACACTGGACGAGTACATTGATGCGATAAAGGATGATACATTTTTTCGCAACGTGGAGCCATACTTGGGTGACCCCCTGAGTAATCGTTCAGCTATGGTAGAGGCCAAGTATTATTACGCCGGTGGATCCTGTCGCTATATGTTTTGCTATAACTCGACGGATGTGATGATAAAGTTGCATGATGCTGCGGATGCATTGAATAATGCTGAGAATACCGCTACCATTGGTATGTATTCACCATTATGCGTCAATCGCTTGTTTGCGATGTTCAGGGTATCTGATGTGAAAAAAGTGACACCTATGATAAGTCGCTATGCCGCTATGGTGATCGCCGAAAAGTGCGGTCCGAATACGATCCGAAATTTTATGTCAACTATCCGACAAAGCTCAAACCCGGCATTGAATGGATGGATGGTGGAGGTGACTTTCTTCTCGTGTATTCAGCATGTCGGTCTCGATATACTTGATGCGACCGGGAATATAATTGAAACGTGGAGTCAATCTTTAGTAGTGGAGTCGGATGAAATACCTCAACTTCCTGATGGCCCTGTATGGATTAAGCCATCTAAATGGAACCAAGGTGGATACGACGCGATCATGGTGAGTAAGAAGACTGCCTTTGTCCGGATGGTGCAAGTTACTAGTGCCGACAAGCACTCATTTCACATTGGCTCCTTCCATTCGTGGTTAAAAAAGCTACAGCAGTCTAACCAGAGTTTTGAGATCAAGACGTTGGAGATAACCTTTGTTGTCACGAGAGAAAAGCTGAAAAGTTTTGAGTTGACGGACGTAACTGGTCAAGGACTGCTGGAGGCGTTTCATTGGCGTAAGAACACAGAGGTTAATCGAGCAAGAATAGTCGGGATTCAAGGGCTGTACAATCTCTGACTGTAGTACAGGTTGTTGACTCTCACAGTGCCGGCTATGTTTCTTATGAAGGCGCCTACCGTCTCGGGAATATGTGCGGCAAAAGAACAGATGAACACGGACGCGGTAGTCGAAATTCAGAGCAGCAGTTAATTAATGTTAAGTCTAGTAAACTTAAATGATCTTTGACCACCTGAACATCATAGCATTCGTAAGCTAGCGTCACATTGGGCATGTCTCGATGACATACTTACCATCTTGTACTCGTCCGTCCGACTGCCAAGGAGCAACACAGCTGGCGAGTTCATCCACAGCTCTTCGATCGTCTTCATCTGGAGAACGATCTTCTTGAACTGGTCCACATGTGTGGCAAATTTTGTGCCCGGGTTGCACCTTGATGTTGTTCCACTTCATTGTGATGAGGAGCTGTTTTTATCGTCTTTATGCTCTTCGAGCAGTAGCCACGCCTCAGCGGCAGTCACGGGCGCTGACTTGGTACGTGAGACTCCTGTCTGCTTACAGATCGTAGATCTTCCGGAGCATCGTTCATTTTATTGAGCTCGGAATGGATGAATCTGCGGCAACAGACCCTTCCGAGAAATTTTACTCGCATGTTGAGCTTAAAGTGGAAGTGGCTATCGTCTGTGAGCTTGTCAATTCTGTCGGTGTAGCTTAAGCTCATACCTCATTGGGATTGTGAATCGCGCAGAAAAAATGTGAGTAGGAAGAAAATAGATTCGAAAGCGCAGTCCTTTCGCTTTCGAATCAATTTTAGTAGCAAATACTGTTCGCACAGTATCTGCTACGTCTACTTCATATCCACCTTGTCGTTCGTTTATGAGAATCTTATTACTTACACCTATAAAACAAGTAAGAGCGAGCTAAATTACTATTGCGTTACGAGTTCCAAGAACACGCAACTGGTTAAAGTGCACACTGACTGTATATTTCAATATCCAAGAGCAAAATGGACGATTGCAACACTGCTAGATATTATAATGTATAGCTTGCATTAGCTTCTTGGTTGCAATGCTCGACTGTGTCATGAAGTGGTCTGGCCGTGTTGTCGGCAAGTGTATGATGATCAGCAATCGTTGATTATCAATATTTGCTCACTGACTGAATGCAACACGCTTGTTCCATTTACAAGGCGCTTCAAGATTTACACTTGAATTACTTCCAAGCTGGCACATGTTTCTTCAAGCTTGTCCTGTAGCATGCGTCATGGCTTGACTTTCTTCTATCATGAACTCAAAAGATGATCCAGCGATGCTACTCCTCTGTCGAAAGAGCGATTCATTGCGAGCTCAAAGTGTGCGAGCTTGATGCTAGTTTGCCGTGATGCACGGCCATCAACGCAGCCTCATTGACGAAGCTTGCCAATTAAGATCCTGAGTGCTGACCAAGATGACCGCATTTCTTCGCGATAACAGACAGGTCTACTATGCTGTCAAGACGCACGTTGCGACAATGCACCTCTAGGACTGCCTCAAGACCCTTGGTGTCAGGCAGTCCGACATACGCAATTCTGGATCAAGCACCTCAGGTCGATTCGTAGCAGCAGTCACGATAATTCCGTTGGCATTTCCTTCGAATCCATCCATCTCCGTCAATTACTGATTCAGTGTCTGCTCACGTTCATCGTTCGAATGAAGTCACCACGGGCTTTAGCCAGCGCATCGATTTCGTCGATAAAGATGATGCACTGCGAATACTACGAGGCCTGAGCAAAGAAGTTTTGCACTCGAGCAGCTCCTCTTCCCACAAGCATCTCTACAATATTCGAGGCTGAGCAAAACAAGAAAGCCACACCCGCTTTAGAAGCTACAGCTCTGGCCAACAGTGTATTAACCGTCTCTGACGGCCACGTCTCTATCGGGCCACATAACAGCACACTCTTTAGCACTTTAGCTCATATACCTTAAGATCGTGCCAAACTTCTTAAAGATCGACAATATCTTCCAGTTCTTTCCTGGCTCCATCAAAATCCTGCCACATTGTCACTCGAAAGGTATTATATAGTTGATGATTTTACATAAAATTTTGATAAAGAAATTTCTTTTTTAATTTTCTTCTTTTAAATTATTTATGTTTTTTGAAATAAGGAATTTATTTACACAGTCTCAAATAAGCCCCAAGCACAACATGGCACCAATGTCAACGCTAATGGCACCAATGTCAACGCTAATGGCACCAATCTGCTAGTAACCGATGGCGTTATAGAACTAAAATCTACTCCAGAACGAGCAAGTGACACTTACATATACAATAGGTCTTTTTTGTCTGAGGTAGCAAGAGTATCCTACATATACAAAATACATTTTTAGATTGTCATATAACATACACAGATGATATGGTCCACATCTCGACTTAATACGACTGCATTTAATGTCTCTTCATACGTATACGTCTCAATGCCAGTTTTGGCCTGACGGATGCAGTGGTTGTCCACCAACAGCACTTTTCTGACCCGATGCTTGCTTACATCGCTTAAAAAATGCTGAATAGTATTCAGGACGGCTTAGCCGTCATTCCAGCTGCTATTTGTAACGAGATTTTTTATACGGCGGTTGGAACATCATACCGAAAGTACGTCACGGTGAAATTTCTATATTGCATATTATATATATTTACAATACCGATCCTTTTTGTAAGGGGTATTAGATGAGTAATATTGTAAGGTATTAGTAATACTTTATACTATCGGTGTCAGTTTCATAACTAATACAGTAGTACTAAGTACAACATAGACTGATGATCGGATGATTCCAAAGACGATGGCATACTATAGTACTTTGATAGTAGTAATGACTAGTGTAGAGTACTTAGAGTAGGACTATTCTTTATGCATTAATACAATCAGTTCTCATTATAAGTTTATGATCGCAAGTCTCTTTGACTTGTTCTCTTGTGCACTTCGCTGCTTTGGTTCCTTAAACCTTAAAGCTCCTACCATGTTTTTGCACTCTGTGCCTTGGTTCTCTGAGCCTTAAGATATTGCTTGTAGACTATAAGTACCTCCTAGTTGCGTAGAACGGGTAGACTTCGTAGTCGTTGATTAGATCCTTAGAACAAAGTGGCTTTTAGCCGTCAACTTCAATGAGTTCTAGAAAACTAAGAGGCTTTCGTGGTGAAGTGCTTTACTAAATTGTGAAGAATCCAGGGGCCAGTCGGATTGAAGGGACAAGGGGCCGTGGACTAGGGAGAAGGGACCACGTCCCTAACCGGTCGACCCGGTCCCTCGTTTGTAGACCTGGGTCCCTCATTGGTCGACTCGGTCTCTCGTTGATAGACCTGGATCCCTCGTTGGTCGACCCGGTCCCTCGCTGGTAGACCTGGGTCCCTCATTGGCCGACCTGGATCCCTCGTCAGTCGACCTCGGCCTCTCGGGCTTCAGCCACTCCTGACCAGTTAACACAAGAATCAGACCAGTCGACGCAAGGAATCAGAGCTTCAGGTAAGGATAGAGTAAAGGAGTTAAAAGGGTAGGACTATATTAAATACTACTCAATTTGCGATCTACGTGGCACGACTCCGTCACCCAAGAAGAACTTGCTCTAAGTTACTCACTGTTCCGGGAAGGGATATATTTTGGACCCCCGTCGAAGACAGTTGTGTAGCGAAGTTCAAGTGCGAATAGAGCTCCAGGATATATTTGGCCTGTGAGCTCGTTCGAGTAGCAAAACCCTCCAAGAACCGCTATCGGAAGCGGCCTCCCTTACCTCACGGTCCGGGAGCAAAGTAAAGGTCAGGTGGTTGATACCCCTGAAACAAGAAGGAAAAGGCCAGGGATAAACTCCCTGAAGAATTTGGCTTTAAGTCCAATCTCGATAAGGTCGATCGAGTGGCCACCTACCGGCCCACCGAGTGAAGCATATACACTCGAGGCCTCCCAGGTCTATCTCCCTCAAGGCAGACGTCCATATCCTCACCAAGTCCTCCGGAGAGTGTAACCCGCCAGCCGACGGGTACACAAGGTGAGAGAAGGTTCATACGCGGCATCGGGGCACCCCCTCCGACAGTCGGCAGTCCGGCACAGTGAGTGGTTTGGGGTCTCATCATACAATTTTGAGAACCCACTCCACCACACTTTCAGCCTAAAAGTCTTCCTCTGACTAAAGAGCTGTGTATCTTCGCTACACTTGGTAGCACTTATAGTCAATCCTACACATGAGTCTCTAAGACTGACCCTCTGTGAGGATGTAAAATCAAAGTCACCTCTCTGAGGCGCAACGAATCGCAATAGATAAATTATCTGCAATTGTTGGGCCCGACCAAATCGAGGCCATTTTGGCCCTGGGTCCGGAAGTCCTCAATGTTCGCCTTGAGGCTTTCCTGCGCTATGAGGCAACACTACTCGGGCAGGTCCACGACCAGGCAGCGTCAGCTGCTCCAACGCAATACATCCCGGTACCTGTGCCCGATGCAGAGCCAAAGGCTCGACCACTCGTTTTAAACGTTAAAACCTTGGAGGGGAAGTAGGGAGAGAATCCTCTTCTCTGGATCCGAAAGGTTGAAATGGCAATGAATGCCGCCATGCTCGGGTCGTAGAATCAACGAGCTGTCCTGGTCGCTTCTAAGCTTGGTGGAAGAGCTAGAGAGTGGGCTCTAATGAGCGATGTTTCTGTAAATACCGCATTTCCCACGTGGGAGATGCTTAAAAAAGAATTTACTTGCGTGTTCGCACCGCCTAACCAAGATTATCGTATACGCTCACGCTACTTAGCTACCCGACAGGATAAGAAATAATTATCGGACTATGTACAAGAGTTGAGGACTCTTATTGCTGCTATGCAACAGGACTCTCTGGCAAAGGGAGTTCGCGTATCCAATTTCATGAAAGACTTTTGTACTGTGGTTGCCACAACAGAAGAATTTAGTGTACAGCCTTTGACGTTCGAAGAGGCAGTTAGCATAGCGTTTAAAGATGAGTTTAATTGTTATTCTGCTCGCTGTGGTCTACCATTGTACAATTTAAATGCCTTTTCTAGGGCCAAACCTTCGGACCTCAGCCATTCTGAAGAAGCTGAGCTTCAAGATGCAGAGCAGCAAGGTAACATCCGTAGATGTTACATGTGCGGAAGCACTAGACATATCCTCCCTAGCTGTCCGTTGCGAAACCAACGTCAGAATCGGCAGAGCCGTAACCCTGA